AGGAAAGGGAGAGGCTGAGGAGAAGAAGGAAGGCGTTGAAGGTGTGAAGGCAGCAGTGCTGAGCAAGCCGGCGCCTCCTGCTGCTAAGGCACTTGGCCTCAAGATGCCTCCTCCTCCTGCTGTCAAGGCTAAAGCGGCTTCTGGAGTGAGCGAGGGGGAGGGAGTGGTTGTTGAGGGTGAGGGTGCGGCAGGAAAGGGAGAGGCTGAGAAGAAGAAGGAAGGCGTTGAAGGTGTGAAGACAGCAGTGCTGATCAAGCCGCCGCCTGTGGTTGCAAAGTTCGTGGGCGTTGGAGAAGCGCCTGTGAGTTCGCCACGCACTGAGGATGATGAAGGTTTGCAGATATTTGAATCGCGATCGCGTGCCACTGTTGCATCAACGGATGGCTTTAGGGGCATGGAGAAAATGGAGAATGGCAGCAGAAAGGATACTCAGCTCCGGATGCTGGCTAGTCAGTTTGACGTCGCAGGTAGCTCTGAAACAAAACAAAGGCTCATCGTAGCCTCCCAAAGTGTTGCCGGCTCAAAGGTTTCCCCACTGCATCCACCGCTCAGAGAAGATGCCTCAGATCTCTCGGCAAGCAGCATGCAAGGCTTTGGCGATACTACAGAGTCGTCCAAAGGCGCGCCTCTGAAACCGTCAGCTGTTATTGAGAGAGATGAGGCACTCCTCATGGATCGTTCAGCAGTGTCTTTTATTAAAGCACCGGATGCGTCTAGGGCGAGCTATTACGGCTCACTAGGCTTCGGGGATGAAAAGCAGGTGGATAAAAGAGTTCTTTTGTCCGCTGGAGAATTCGGGGCAAGTCAGCAAGACCCTGCAGAATGGTTTTTCCCTCAATCAATTGTTGATGCTGAGCTACTTCACCTCGAGACGAGAGACTACGTTTCAACAGGGAACTGCTTTTACAGTCTAGGCCCGAAGGCGGTTGTGGAATCGCTGTGCGATTCTCAAACGGAGTCTGATATCCAACAAACTGCATCTCCGAATTTGAATGCCAATGAAAGTATACTTATTGCTATTGACAGAATTAAAGGCCTGTACGACTCACCCACCAATCTCCTGCAATGGGATAGCAGCCAGAGAACCTCAGCGAGCATTAGCTGCACGCAGATTGGCAAACTCCCATCTGTGCAGTATGCAACAGTCCTGAGTTTGTGGAGCGAGCTTCTGCTTTATCAGAAGAGCCAGGTCATTTTGGTGGTTGGGGAGCCTCCACAAAGTAAGGTGCCGTACACTGACGCTTCTCGATATAAATTTGGCTTTTTGACGTCTTACGATGGATTTTCGGGTTCCTGTTGCTGAGAATCACAAGCACTCGAGTATTTACATGTGTCGACGTTCACAGACAAAGATCGAACTGTACCCTCACTTCTTTGTGGCTTTGGCCTTGTAATCGGATCCACCGTTAAAGAGCAGACATGGTTTGCAAGTAGAATCAGGCGCATCTATGACGTAAGTGCCACCCTCTCTAGGTGCCTGAGTTTCCCCTGGGCCGTACAGCCATCTGTACCAAAGTCCATTTCTCTGCCCTTTCTTAGCCCTTACCCAACTATCGATTTCTGTTTACTTTACAGGCTGTGACGATGTGGAGCACAGTTGTCTCCAATACATATGACAACGCATCTGTGTGTCGGTGGAGGTGGAGTCTCGGGTTTTGTAGTAATGGCAAGGCTAGAAACATCTCGCTTTCAGGAGCATTGCTAAGTGATGGGCCCCCTGCTGATGAGGGCTCCTTTGTAATTGTTCTTCATATTGTTCAATGTGAGCAAGAAAACACTACACACACACATCAAGAACCCGTAGGTACCGCTGCTCAATTATCCACCAGCTCGACACATTCGCATTCAAGGTGTATCCTTCTATCTTTTCATGCTTTTTCTACAGGTGCTTTGTCCGACTATGCCACTCCTCAAATCCTAGGAATCCCGAAATTGCCGCTGCAGGTTCTCCAAAGCTCTCTGCTACATGGCGATGCAGTGCACATCAAAACGGGCTCTCACACCTCGAAGGGGCTTTCAGCCGTCTCAGAAGAGCTGCAAGCAGCTTTAGGATTCAGTACTGCGGAGGTCAGCAAGTATTACACGAAAAATCGTGCTGTTGCACAAAGCGAGTTACAGTACTGCAGATCCTTCCTGAAATGCTTTGATTTGTTATGGTGTTACTACAGGCGGTGGCTGCAGTACGTATTTGTTTGGCTTACTGGATTCTGTCTAAAGGCATCAGTTTGAGGCCTGAAGACGCAGATGTTACTGAGATACTTCTAGGATCACAGGCAGGATCAGTGCAGTCGCTGATCCAACAGTGCACCGGGAATCAAGAAGATGTGCTGCGTCACCTACGAAATGCTCTTTATGATGATCTATTCGAACACGTCGTGAATCTGACCAATAAATCTTTGCAGGTCAGTTACACCGTGTGAGCCTACTAATCATATTGAATACGTTCTCAAACTAATTGAACTAACTGCGTAATTTTCTGTTGCGTGGGGACCCTGGTGTTCCTGCAGAGCGCTTTCCAACAACTAGTCTCAGCGATCCCATTAGCTCCGCAGGGCAAAGCTCTCCAGATAATAATTGAAGGTAGGAGGCCTACATTTACTTTGAAATAATGATTGATACGTTCTGGTTGGAACAGCCATCAGCATCTCTTCGGTAACAAAAGAGTGAATTCTTTGGGTGCGTACAGAGTCGCCATACTCGAAGTTTGCAAAAGATCGTCTGTCGTTCAGGGGCCTCGCTTGCAGAGCTTTTGAGGTACCTAGTGCGCTGAAATATCATATTCCCTTGCAAGCAAAAATTTTCTGGCTTGTTTGCTTGGCTTATAGCTTGGGATATTCTACAGTGAGGCAATGAACCAAATGGAATATTCGCTTTTGTGTGTCGCTAAGCCGCTTCCACCAGTCAGTACAAGAGATTTCCTTAGCCGATCGGAAAAATATACTGATGCTTAATGTTGCCGGTGGCTCACAGGTGCTGCAACTAGCATTTGCTTTTCGCGGCCTTCATAACCTTCAACGCATCATGGAGACTGACAGTGTGAAGCTTCCACCGTACCTGGAATCGATAAGGCGGACGCCTCAAACTCAACTTCTTGTGCAGATCCTTTTTTCCAGATATGGCGGACTTATACCATTTCTTGCTCAAGAACCCCGAAAGCCTGCAGGTTGGCAGAGCATCGATGCTTATCAAAGATCCGTATCAGCGTATAAGTTTTTGTCTCGCGGCCACTGTGTTCATGACTGGGGGTCCTTGTATCTGCAATAGCCATGGATCAGCCATTAACTGTTTCCTGGTGCAGACGTATCAAGGTGGATGGCTTGGATGACCGAAAAGCCATATATAAGAGAAGTCTTGAGAGTAATGCCCAACGGGTCGTTACTTGTCGACTGGCTGGGAAGCTGGGCGAGCACGAGCTTAATGGAGCTAACCGCAGCTTCGTGGACCGTTGATGGGTATACTTATAGCAAGATAGAAAGCTTGCTTTGCTCAGTAAGCGATCGAAATAGCAGTTTTGTTGTTCCTGTGGGCACTATGTAGTTCGACATGTTTCAAGCACTTGTCGATAAAGACGGATAGTGGAAGGATATAACCCAGCAATTGTTGAACTTTGTAATACATACGTCTGTGCAGGCATCAGCTACAAGGATGTGCAAAAACATGATTCATCCCGGTTATGCGCTTCGCTTGTTTCACGCCGTCAAGGATTCTCTAGCGACTGAACTCGTGGAAAGGCCCGTACTAGTCGTACGGTCGTCGGACTCGCGTATGTATGCACTTGGCAAAGTACCATTCGGTCTTGGCAGGAAATGGGACAAATACATCTTCACAACTTATCAGATAATGACTCATACTTCTGTCTTTATTCTCCGCAGGCCTGGTTAACTGGACGCACCAAGAGCTAAGGATAGTAGAAGACTGGCAGAGGTATGCAGGTTTTACGAGCGAGGCGTACGCATGAACTTTATATGAGAATCATAGGTAAGTATGAGAGACTATGAATTTTTGCAGGCTTTGTAATTGTGAATGTGTATCTCAGTTTTGGCTTTCCAGTGCTGGCGCGATTGAGCGATCTGCCAAAGTACTGTCCTCATCTTTTTGAAATGGGCATGTTTTATGGCCACGAGGAATCCTGGCAGGTTCTTGCGGAGTATCTCAACACGGAAGACTTTGCCGTTGGTAAAGCTCTCATTTTTGCAAGGAGTTCAGCCTATAACGCTCTGTATGGCTTCGAGTTAGCAGCTAAAGCTATTGAGAAAGACCGCGAAAACCGGCTACAAACCCTTCGGGCACAGTGGGACAAGCTGCAAACATTGAAGGCCGAGCTGTATGGTGGCGCTTACATGGAAATTCTACCTGAACAAATGCTTTCAGAACCCGTGGTAAACGATGTAATACCCGGAATCTTATTGCGACCAAGTTCAGTTGCATCATCTGCTTCGCCTGGCAAAACAGTATATCCTCACAAGTCAACGGAATCATCCATTGCTAGCATGAAGGTATCGGACAGCACGGAATCTGACGAGCACAACAATATCAGCTTAAGTGCGCGAGAGCCCCTTCAGCGAGGAGAAAGTTGTAGTAACCTCTGTCAGCGAACACACTCTCACTCTGTTCAGACAGCAACTTCCTCTAATATTCTACCTCAGTCCAGCCTTTTGTTCCGTGAATCGCTGAATGAGCCAAATGCTTCAGATCTCAAACCCAGCAGCTCCCTTGATTCGGCACCAGCTTCACTTGCATCGGCTCTTCCAAGATTTCTGCCATCGAAGTCTAACGGTGGGCAGCCTTCGCCACCCACTGCAAAAAACAGTTGCTCCCGGCTGCCTCCTCAAGTGATGTCAACCAGTTCTCCAGAAACAGATAGCACCAACAAAAACATGGAAGCCGCATTTGCACATGGTGATCCTAGTAAACCAAATATGGTGGAAAGTTACTCCTGTCAGACACCCCTTGGCAAGACACCTGTTTCAGGGAAGACTGTGACCCAGAAGCTGCCTTCTGCTATAGGCGGCGGTATGTCGACTGATGCTGAGGATGCGAAAGATGAGAATGCTATCTACACAGAAAAAATGGCAGGAGAGGAAGCACAACAGGGGCTTGAACCAACAGACGCTGCAGGATCGGGTTCCCCAGTTGAGGAGAAGCACATGCTCCGTATTTGCACCGTAGATGCAGAAGGCGAAGAAAAAGCTTGTGAAAATCCGGTTACTCAGAACGAAGAGGTAGCATCACCAAACACGGACGACATTTCGTCATGTGAGTTACCATGCAGCTCTACAAATACAGAAGATCCAGCACGTGCACTTTCGAGAGGGGCTGATGGTCAGAACGGGGAAGTTCAAGAAGCCTCGGCGGAAGGTCTTGTGCACGAAGAAATCGAACGTAACTCTGATGCTCAGCATCCTCAGTCCAATGTAGCCAGTGAATCTGACGATGCTCAGGAACAAGAGCAAACGAGTAAGTACGAGACTGCCTATGTTGCTTTAAATTTCCCCTGAGCTACTCTCGAGTCCAAAAGAGCACCGCCTGCATGTGTGTGTATTCCTACAATCTGTTCTTCTTAGCTGCAGCGAAAACGGGTCTTCGAGCAATGTGGCGTACGACTACAAACGACGGAGCTTGGCGAGGGCTTGTAATCCTGCCAAAAGAAAGCACAGAAGAGTCGGCACAAGCGTAGCTAAGTGATAGCCAATAAGCAGCTCATTGCATCCTGCTGACGGCCAAGACAAGATCATGGAGAGTACTGGGGTCGCAAAGAAAAGCCATTGGACTGCAGAGCCGAAGCTAACACGTGGTATCCTCCGCCATTCTTACTGATGCCTGCGAGCGAGGATCCGAGATTGCGTAGTGTCTTCCTTCTCTGTTAGCTGAGTCCAACATAAAGGTGTGTTACAACGGTCGGTGACACCAGAAGCGGCCCTCTTTAAGGCTCCTCAAGATGCTTCAAGAGCCACCTTCAGGAGTACTTCGTTTCTGTGGATGAGACCCGCTAAGTAGCGAGAATGATGAAAAATGCAGACTGTAGGCGCACGCATTGTAGACAGTAGGTACTCTATCAATTGATATGCATCTTAGCATCGAACGCTTTCGTTGACGTGGTACTGTGGAGATGCTCCGAGCCCAAAACGACGTGCTTGTTTCTATTTTTTTTTTGAAAAAACAGGTCTTGCCAGCAGATAGAATAGGTTAGAATAATTGAGGACGCTTGAAAGCTCTGAATAAATATCATCTCGATATCATAAATACTATACTAAAAGTAGTGTTCAGATGAGCTTACTGCCTGTTTCACGACTGTACTTTGCGTTTCGACTGCTCGTCTCCTCATTAAGACAGCGTCCAGCATTTACAGGATTTCGACCTCCAGGAAACAACCTAGTTCTGTTTCCTGAAATCTTTTGCTGAATTTTCGCATACAAATCAAGAAAGAAGAATGCTATTTGTCATTACTAACGACGCTGGTCTATAAGAATTCGCTGCAGCGTGACTTTGCAGCAATTGGCCTGCCAATGTCCTTGAAGTAGCACTCACTAGTCCCTTTTTTTTAAGCAATATGAAACTGCATTGCTGTTAGTTTCACATGTTCGGTACCCTTTCATACAGCTTTAGTATGCACTAGCCTCAATCTCTAAATGTCCTAACAGATCCCAAGTTTTGCGGCTAAAGAGATGAAACGAACATGGTCAATGGTAAGGTGAAGCATTTATGTAGTCGGTGATTGCGCCCTCTACAGAACCCCTCTCTTTTCACTGAGGCGGACGTTTTATTGCAATACTAATGACTTGGCCAGGCGTGGGTCTGTATATATCAGATTGTCGCACACGACAGGTGAGAAGATAACGTCATTTTCGGTCGCTACTGTGACCCTACCATCGAAGCAAAGAGCAGGGATAGGGAATTTACCACCGCTGGATAATGCATGCCAGATGCTCGAGTAATACTCCATTGAAGTCTAACTACGAGCGTTGGACGAGATGTAGCAGTGTGCCCCTTGAATCTGAGCACCTGGAAGCCCTAAGCATTATTCGTGTTGGTCAATGATTAAGGAAAGCCTACACTGAATTATTGATTGTAGGGCTATACCACTGGCTGCTAGCTGGTGAAAGTACCTATACGATGTAAGTCACTTGGAAGCAGCGAGGTGGTGCACAGATCCCATACGGAGAACTGCAAGAATGCTGGATTTTGAGCAGCGCATCACTAGTTTAAAACTCTGAATGAAAGGATTTACTTCTATGAGACAAAGCTAGTTATTTATTGTGCAAATTGCTGCAGGACACAAGCACGGTGACCAACTAAAAACAGTAGCGAGCTGAACCTGCTCGTAGTCTTCTCCTGTTTATCGCTTGTCCATGCACTTTCTGTTGCCGGAGCGCTCAAAGCGGAGTCTACCGTCGGCAGGATGTGTTACCTAATCGGTAGAAAAGAAAGTGTCTCGGTGTTCTTTTACTGAGCTGCGAACTCGTCCATTGACTGATGCTCACAGATTCGAGTAGCTGTGCTCATCTTACATATATGATGTGCTTGTGCCATATAAAAGCCGGCTTATTTTATATCTTGAAGTACTTTGAAAAATTGTAATCGTTTTTTGTTTGATGGCCAAATGGGTGGCCGCCATGTGCAGCATTTCTAGTGGCTATATGGTCATGAGCATGCGACGCCTTGGTGCCGCAGCCAAGTCTTCCGGTGAATGTGTCAAACGATGCGAAATGTTCCTAGCTCCTTGCTTATTCTATGTTTGATTGGTTTGAATTCTTCTGGAAGGCTCCGATCAAAGACGAAGCCTTTCCCCCATTCTGCAGACAGACTCGGTCACAATGTAGGCGGATCATCTCTTGTTGAAGCCAAGACACCCCCTCTCCCCTTGCGCCCTCCTCTTTGTTATAACCTATCCGTACTTCTGATTAGCAAAATTATAACGAGAGAAAGAAGTTGAGGAGTCGGAAAAAAGACGACGGCTGCAGGATTCGAACCTGCGCGGGCAGAGCCCAGTGGATTTCGAGTCCACCTCCTTAACCACTCGGACAAACCGCCATAGCAGCTGGAGAAAATCGACTGCGCTTGCAACGTCGATGTTGTCTTGACCCATAGTAGCACTTTATCTTGCTCTCTAGCCTAAACAGCTGATAGACCTTGGGCCCCGATGGCAGACACAAGCAAACGGGCAAGTGGAGTGATGCACATCCCTGGTACGTCGTCGCGCCGGCGATCTCAGGCGAAGAAGGGAGTGACACCCCAAACGAGACCTTCTGGAGGACCTGTCAGCGCTCCCGGAACGGTAATACACCCTTTGGGGGCTTCCACAGGGAATCGACAACCTATCACTGGATCGAGGGGCAGCGATGCGGAGCCAATCCAAGACCGGATTCATTCATCTACCATCTTGGCGCCTCCCCAATTTGAACCATCAGAATTTGTGCCTCTCGCAGAAAAGTGTCACTCGCAGCGTCTTTCTGGCGTCGTCCGGCCGCTTGTTCAATCAAACTCCATTGCGGGTGGCCCGAGAACAACCAGCCATGCAGGGCTCATTATCCCACAGCTGTTCAACCCTTCAGTCTTCAGCCATAGGACGCAATACATGCGTTCGGCGCAGCATGTTGTATATCGGCCAAATGCATGCCCTTCAGGCCCGAGCCCTGTAATTGCTAGCATGTCGGCTCCCCGTAGGGCAGCAGTGTTTGCAGCCAGTACACTAGGGGCTGCTTACCTGCCATATGTCTCCACAAACAGCGCCACACTAGCATATTCAACTGACCTTCAAGCAGGCATTCGCTTTCAGCAGCTCCAAAGGGAAGCAGGCGGGAGAAATGCGCCAAGTGAATCTAAGAGCTTGAGCAGCTCTTCCATCAAAGGTCTCGGTAGTTCCCCTGATCTTTCAGCTTGCGAATCCCCTAAGTTCGTCGCTGCTGTGTCTCATGGCAGAACAGCAACTACAGACTTTTCTCCCCCTCCTTCTGATGGAATACCCTCCACACCTGAGAGCCAGCAGTCGTTCGCCAACCAGTCAAACAGAGCCTCATTGGCATGTTGTGGCATGGATCTACAGCCAGTGAGCATCTGTCAGCTTTTCTTATGTGAGACCAAAACACCATGCTCCACGACTAGTTTCCTCGGCTCGCTGTTGAGGACTAGTTCTATGTTATTCTATCTGCCACTGAAGGCCCGAACAAGCAGATATAGGCGCTCTTGGTCCCCCACGGACTTGTTCCAGCTATTTCTGGCGTTCGCGCTTCAAGAACTCTCATTCTACTAGTACATGCCACTATTTGTGCGCAGGCTCTTCGTCGCCCCCAGCCAAGCCGGCGTTGCCTGCCAAGCAAGCAAATTGCCATTCAGCGATACAGCAGCTGCAAAACGCCGAGGATGAGGCTACGTCCTTAGTTCTGGCGGCACAGGATCGGGCCAGCGCCCTGCGTGCACAAGCAAGAGCACAAGCGGAGACCGAGGGTCAGCGACTTAGAAGCTCTATGGAGGCTTCGTTGGAAGCGATTGCCGAAAAAGTACGTTTTACGCCACTACATTTTTAAACCAACATAAACGGAACCGAAGATGTTGCTAACATCGCTGCTATACTTTGAGAAAAGCTTTAGCCTTAGTTTTTATGACTAAGTATTGGTAAAAGTTGACTGCTAAGCCATGTACTTCGAAGCACACAGACTCCATATCAGCGCAAGTCAGTATGTATGTGCAGCACAAGAGGGAGCACGAAGCGGATCGACAGGTCTGTTCTCAAGAGGAAGCAGAAGTGGGTGGCATACTGGAAAGGGATAAGAGTGCCAATCTACCAAGAACTGTTGCAATGATTGTCGGTACGCAAGAGAAATCCTGATTACCACGATTTTCCATGCACGAAAGCTTACCCTTGAACGGAGCCTCCCACTAGTCAATTTCATCGCGTTTTTTGTCCACTCATTGGAGGATGAACCCAGTGATTTCGTGTTCCTGCTTTGCACTGGCCCGTCCCGCCATGGTTGTGGAACCAAGTTTGGATTTCTGCGTTGTGTGTGTCGCTCGATGCTTTACCTTCCAGATCTGGTGCTGAATGTTGATGTCCAGTGCCCGATTGAGGCAATTAAGCTCTTTTGTTATCCTGAGAAATTGCTGGCATTCAAGGAGAGAGCAGCATTTCTACACCACCCCAGTGGCGAACTGTTGTTACGTACAGAGGACCACATTACTTGGGATCAGGAAGGCCGCGCTCTCCTTGAAAGAGACGCCCTCCGTCACAGGCACAGCTTTGGTTCCTTCTGGACAAGGCACCAAAGTAGAGTGCATGCTTCTGATCGTCCTGCCGTGTTGGTTAAAACCCCTTCCTTTGTGGATCCTTTGGACAGAGACATGAATCGCCGACTCCCGACACTCTGGGAACCCCAAGGAACCACCGAATTCGTGTCCTTCAAGCTCCCAGATTTTGCGCTTTCATCACCCAGCTGCTCGCCGAGCGAGAGCGAATCTCCGGCTCTCAGTGTCAGCGAACAAGTGGGCCCTTTAGAAGGTGCCATCCAGGGCACTGCGACTCCTGATGTCCTGCCTACAAACGGCGCAACCACTTCACCAAACGCAGGCCGGGTATCGAAACTCGGTAGCGGCGCGACAGAATAATGTATAATGTAAAGTTTGGCGAGTGGGGAGGAACTGCCGGTAAACTGCGGCTGTCAGCCTCGTAACATTCTCCATACCTTTTATGCTCAAATTAGGCGTCTTCGTTAGTAACTGACGTTCTCATTGCCGGAAGGCTCCTTTTATCCGGCCCGTAGTGTGCCTCTCACTCTGTGAAACTGGGCTTGCTTTATTGTAACTATTCACAGCGAGATGCAGGCAGGGTGGCGTAGGTATCGTTTCGAGATTTGCAAAAATGCACCACTGAACCTTATAAATCGGCTCATCGCCTCTATGCTGGCATTCCAGCTACCCGTCGTGGAATAGTGAAGAGCTCTAAAACAGAAAGCCCGGCGAAACCAACTCTCCTGCTCATATATTCCGCCTTCTGTAGCGAACAAGTTGATGAGGCTTGACAAAACTCTTCAACTCTTCGGGGCTTTCGCGTTACGCCATAAAACTACTAGGCCTCTAGCAGCAGAGTCACTCCCTCGTCCCAGGAGCAAAATCCAAGCAAGAGATCAAGCACTGCCACATTAGGAAAAGGCTCTGTGCTCTCTAGACAGTATGTACGGGGGCTCACTTTCAAGGAAGGTAGTAGGGCGCTGAAGCAGATGCACACCAACTGCCCATGCTGTAATGCTGCAAGATCAGGATAAAAGCTGCGCATACAATTTTCTTGGGGTTAAATCCTCCTCAGAGGCTTTTGAGTTTTTCCGCAGTGCGGTGGTGGGTAATCGCAATAGAAATTGCGCACGCAAGGGAAGAGAGGACGAACACGCGATCAAAATGAAGATGGAAAGCCCTAAAATCAAGAGACGGCGCGAGAACCTGAGCCAAGGCGTCGCGATAGGACTGAGGAAGGTAAACTCGAGTAAGGAGAAGGCAGGCGGAGAAGTACATCCCCATAACTTCAGACATCACCAAAGCAAACACATTGCTTGACACGGCCGTGGACATATAGCGAAAAACAGTGAGGAGTTTTTCGAAGAACCCACGGATTGTCAGAGCAATAATCCACCCCAAAAGCACCAGCGACAGATATGGCGTCATCAGTGTGACGTTCACTGGCACATGCAGCAGGTGTAAAAGTAATTCCAAAGTTCTGGTGGCCGGATCTGTGGTACTCACGCGGTCTAGCAAAACATTTGCGGCACTCATGAAAACGCGGTAAACGCATACTGCCGTCATGCCCCAACCCAGCAAGTTGTTGAATCTTCCCAGCCAGGTGCGCCCGTAGAGGGCCTGCGCTCGAGAGTGGACAAGATCATCTAAACCAACAAAGAGTTCGCGAGAAAGCTCCTCTAAGGCTTCTATTTCGCTCTGCAGCTTCTGGCACTGTTGTTCCAGCCGCCTGCCTGTTACAAACGCGCGGATCCTGTCCAGCCACTCACTGAGCCATCTAGGTACCCATCGCCACAGTATTTGTCGCACGCCAGCAAGTGCTTGACCTTCCGCCTGGCCTTCCGGCTCTGTGGGCGCGTTCGGACCTTTTGTTCCCCCCCGCAGAGTCGATCCGTCAATTTCCTCTCGGCTACCCGAATAACCTCCACTTGCCCCCCTGCGCGAGGCACTCGTAATCTCTCCCCCAAGGCCCCCATAGCGCCTGCGTGAAGCACTCCGGCCTCTTCGTGAGGTCGATGGATCAAGAGAAAAGGAGGAGGGGCGGTTGGATCCTGGGGGGGGTGAAAGAACTCCCGAAGTTGGCGTCGGCCACAAGCGAGCGCGTGCGGGGTTCAGAGACGCTTGCAAGTGGAGTCTTGCCCTTTTTTTTTCACTAACGAGGTTCAAAGTGTGCAGAAGCCGCTGTTCTACGCACGCGACTTCTGCTTGGGTGGTCGGATACAAGAAAGTGGCTACGTTCCTATAGGGGTAGTTCACACTTCCAAAGCCCGCCAGGGCGGAAACAACAGTAACTCCGCAAACACCTACATACGCCAGCAAGCGCTCCGTGTAGGACAGAAGGGAGAGACTGTCTGAGTTTAGATGCAATAGTCGCCCGGACTGGCAGAAGCAGAACCACAGTAAGGGCAGCACCACAGCGCTGCAAGCCGCTACTGCAACCCACTCGCGCCACCGGGGAGACAGCCTGCCGAGCTTCGACAGGATGCCGCTGCTCCCAGAGGATCCAAAGTTAGAGACTGCTGTGAGGCGGGAAAGAGCAGCCGCCCGTGTCTGCAGGCGCTGCATCTGCGGGAACTTCGCTGCCCAGTCGGCGATACGAAAAGAATCAGCGCTTGGGGCCAAGGCGTTGTGAATAATGGACACTGGGATCACTATGTAAAGCAACAAAAGTACACAGATTAAGTCTAAGTTCCACACAAAGCGTCGGATATGCGGGTTCAATATATGCAGCAGCTCCAGGATCAACAGCTGCAACATGGAAACGCAAGCAGTAAAAGTGGCACAGAACAGGTGTTGTACAGAGCGACGCTGAACCTCATAGTCACGATAAAGGTGTGTAGCGAAGAAGTAGTACGCGCCGATGAAGAGGCTGGCGTGGAAGAGGAATACAATAATGATGCCCACCACTATACCCGTGCCTGTCTGGCTCAGCGGGTACGCCGCCGAGAGGGGAGGGAGGGTCATCGCCGCGCCTAACGGCTCCCAAGCCGCTGGCTGGTGCGACACCCTCCGCTGGAAGGACTGGATTTGCCTTAACCAAATCCAACTCTCATTGGTAAGTTGCTAGGCCTGCAGAAAACGGCAATTACAGCGGGAAGGCAAGCACCTGTGTGCGCGCCCCCAGCGCAAGGATTAAAATAGCGCTCTTCCAGAAGGCTGCATACAGAAGATAAATACGGTAAAGTGGTGGTCGCGCGCAATATTGTGCACAAAGAAACCCATGCGGACGCCTCCTCCCAGAGCAACAGATGCTTACTGAAATTACAGATATCGTGTTCCGCACAGCTCATGAGTTTCCCGTCTTATGGAAAGATAATTCCTTTGATTTCATGTCTACGATTCCCTTAAACTCTCTCGAGCAGCCCATTTTGGCATAAACCGCAGAAGGGGTCACAGCGCATGCCGCCGCTCCGCAGCTGCCAGCCCTCCAGTGGACAGAAATGGCACCTTATGCACGATGCAGCATTCCTTCAGTTTAATTGTCACCCCAAAGCATTCTAATTGCAGGGCAAATTTCTGTAATATGGTTCCTGAAACTCAGGCGTGTGCTGGGAATACGAGCGTACCTGCTTTGCAGTACTCCTAGTAGAACGCCCAGAGCCGGTGCAAAAATTGGCTTGTCTGGAGGCTCCAAAGCTCTCTACTGTCCAGCATATAAACGCAAGGACCCGATGGTAGTCTTCGACATGGAGAAGCGGAAACGAGAGATTCATTTGGTGTGGGTCACTGGGGAAGATTGCACCGGCAGCAGGCGCTGCAGAGCAATGGACTCGGCTGGCCCATAGCTAGGTCCAGACTAGTCCAGGATCAAGGTTTAGAAGGAAATAACAATGTAATAAGGCTTTTAAATCTCCCTTTCCCTGAATCAGGTCTCACTCCAGGCCAAAGACCCGTACAGCCTGGATCGCTATGCTAACAGGTTGCCGTATGTAACGGCGTAAGCTACAATTAGACACTTTCTACTACGCTAGCTACATTGTTTAAAAATTAGTGAGAATTCATTTTGTGATTTGGCTTTCCATATGCATTATTGCAGAATTGCGTTGGCTCTGTAAGATAGGTATCAATGTGTGCTAAATGCTGTAAAGAAACACTTCGGGATGCTCAGAGTGCCACGCGAATGCAGCAAGATGCACCCAAGCTGCCACTCTGCCTTCAGTTCGGGACCCTGAGGGGAGAGGTCAGGAAACCAGCGGAGATCTGCATTTATACTTAGTGTAATGCCCCACCGAGTGTGTCCATAGGGGAATACCTAACTTCAGACTCAGTACAAACTTAATTTAGCATATTTATTTTTCTAAAAGATTTCACTTTTTCCCTTGGCGTGTACCTCAGTGTTCCAATGCAAAGAAGAAAGAACAGAGAAGGTCTGCGTAACTGCGCCGTCTCAACACGCCCACTATAATGCTCCATCTGAGGCCTTCGGAGAAGTACCTTTAGCTCTCTCTTAAATACGAACTGTGAACGTTTTTAATGAGCTCCCGTCTTCCCTTTTCCCTGAGCTTCACAACTCTTGGCGCTAGAGGAGCGAGTATTCTCTACTAGTTACAATAGCATCGAGCACAAAAGCACAGCCTTGCGTCTTCTTGACATCTGCCCCCGTCCAATGTCGAAATTCATGCCGTAGTGTTCCATACGGATACACTGAGGCCAATTGCATGCAGGAAAGCACGGGTGTTCCTGTTCTTTTGCCACTCCACAGGCAGGCAGGAACGCGGAAAGAGTGCAAATGAGAAAGAAATTGTGTGCGCCAACTGAACGATAGGCAGACTTACAGGTCAACGACGGACAAGATGCCGAACCATCACGGCCGTGGGGGTCCCATGGCTTGTTGTCAGAGGCTTGAATTGTATTGGCCTCCTTCTACGAGAAGACAGAACGCAATTAGAGGCGTAACGAAAGTCAAAATACACACTAGTTCAGCAGTTTCTCTGGGCCTCGTAAACAGGCTCGGCATACAAATAGAACCAAGTTATACGGTGAAGCCGAATTCAAGCCAAAAGTAGGCTCAAAAAGGTTGAGGCCACTTACCGATTAGTGCGTCTGGGCAAATCTGACTGCATAGAACACCGTAATAATAAAAACTGAGTACATTTTGAGCAGCACCTAAACGAGAGGGCAGCTATTTTACAGACCAAACTTGGAGAAAGAGCGAATCGCGCCTCCATTTGGGGGGAACTCGATACAGGAAGAAAATACATTGACTCGTGAAAGGATGGCAAATGGTCCTAGCCACCTAGCCCCCAAATTATTCGTCTGACTGCCTGACGATGCACCTCATGAAGCCTGCTGGTACGCTAGCCACCTGCTTTCAGAATTCCACCGCCGCTAAGGATAACTGCTGACCCCAGGCCACCAGGTTTAGGCTCAGAATCGGAAAGGGGCCACTCACTGTAGAAGAGGGATGCGGAAAAGCAACAGGTAAACGCTGTACTGTTATATCACCTAGTTATTGCGCAGGAGGAAAGAGTCAAGACGAGCGATTGGATTTATGTGATCACGTAGAGTAACACGTACAGCAAACCAGTGCAGTTGATGCGCCCTTTCTGGCCATCTGCCTCAGGATGGTTCGCGGTTGTTATATTTTGGCAATGCGCAGGCGGGCCATGAAGGCAAACCCCAAGGCACTACTGAACTTCGAGTTCTCATGAGTAATAATACTCTTGGGGGTGCCTTGAACGGTCTAAATGTAAGTTTAGGGAAAGCAACAACCTTCTGATCCGTGACAAAACTACAGAAAGGTTTGAGATGGGCATATTTGCTGACTCTGTTGCCGTCGAAGTATCGCTATTTTGAGTCTTGCCCTCCGGCAGTCCAACATTAAAGTCCGCAGTGATCATAGTCCAGATCGTTTCAGGAATTCTACGGTTTTGCACACAGCTGGCTACAGGGGCAATGCGCGGGCCTAGGTGCTGACAACATGGGCATGGCCGTGCACATCCTTCTGCCATGAGACCTATCCTAGGTCACCAGAAGCACGCAAGAGCTTTCACTCGTACCACAAACCCACAATTGCCTGGATAAACATAAGCTTACCCTTTGCGTAACATGGCATTGCAGAGAAAAACTCCTGAAGTACGTACGGCGGAGTCGCCGCTTTGTTATGAACTACCGAGGGCCATCCCCAACGTGGTAGTGTTTCACCCTTTTGTCATCCTGGATTTTGGCAATAATAGAGAATGCATTGCTGTCAACTGCATGAGAGTTACACTATTTGGATAGGAGCCATGACTCAGTACAGACAAGAGCTGTTGCGTTGTACGACGATGAATCACTAGGGCTTCGCGATGGCGCGTCGGCGACCATGTTGGTGATGCCCGATATACTTTGCCAGGACATCCAATCTGGCAAACATGTTGTAGGGACTTACTAATGTCCTGAAAGCTCTTTATGGTGTCGTAAAGTCCCATCAGCATACTTATTGTAACGAAGATAAGCTCGTGCACGCTTTCACGTGCCACTGCCTGTTCCGTAGCCGTTTAAGCACACGCCGTAGATGCTCTTCAGCGTTTTCACTAACAAATTGGCTAAATACTGGGGTAACGTTCATGTAGATAGCCATCCAGCCCTTGGTGGGGTCAAAACGATTTGTATCAACCTGACACTGCAGTTTAACTGGGGTAGTGACAAGTCTAGGCGGCGCACAGGTATATTGGAGGTTGCGGGTGTGGAGCGCCGCTCTGTGCTACTTATCAGAGTGAGTGGGGGTATGTAAAGAGCTGCCTTTGAAGGCCGATGTTGGGTAGACTGTTGATCCGCGTAGGTTTTAGAATTGCTCGCCAATAGGAGGCGTACGAATCTGGTGCCTGCCAGTAAATATGTCCAGGGGCTCGCGGTGAACACACATGCGCCAACTTTGATCCCGTTTGAAAGCACAACATCGGATTGTGTCCCAAAATGCAAGTCAGTTCCTGCACTTTGCCTTTTCCCAACGAATTATCAGCCTGCCGATCAGACTGTTCTTCATGCTGAGGTACCTTTCCATAGCAAGGATCATAGCTTGCCACTGGCCTGGAAGGTAACAAAATACGGTGAGCTGCATGCCCAGCAACTATCCCGCCTGGTGAGAGCTTGTCACTTGTCATCCCAGCAGTAGGCTTCTCCCTGATATCCAAGGATTCCTTTTCTTCAAGGGTCAGTAAAACTCTTTGATATAGAACTATCTCCGTAGACATCAAAAGGGAAAGCAAGCTCAAAACCGTCTTCTTATACTGCACTGTTGAGCCACCCTTGTAGGGACTCCGCTTCTCTTTGTTAAGGCACCGAGTCAAATTGGCTCACCTTAGATCAAATGAAAGTTGTTGGAGACTTAAACATACTGCTTCCCAGTGCTTCCTGGTATACTAAACTCCACAGCGCGCACCTGAGGCCTCACTGGGTCGCCCGTGGCATACCTAGGAGTACGCCATAGTGCGCTGGCTCACCAAAGAAATCAAGGGTTACCATGCTGAGTGAAAACAATTCTGATTTGAAGTACCATCCAGCTGCAGAGGTCTTGCTAATCGATGTGGTCTGCAACGTGTCAGAATGTACGAATCTTGAATACAGCGCTAACGAATGAAACGGCAGCGTGCACTTCTGCGTCGTTTCCTCGGAAACCAAATCAACTTCTCATTCAGTGGCAAGCAAAGTTAGCAACTCGTGACATTAGTCTGGGCTTGTATTCGCTCACAGTTGACCTTCGTTGGGTTGGATTTCCAAATGCGGCTTCGTCCTTTGTAGTTACTTCAGTGCGCACAGCCTACGTGGAGGCTTGCCGTTTCTCGATGCGCCATCTTAAATTGCCAAGCATCCTGGTTCCAGCGGCCGATTCCCTTTGCTCAATTTTTTGGGGATGGTTTAGAAGCCCGGCCGAGGCTCCCTCAGGTCTTCTTTTATCGTCCACCTTTTGAGTGTGGGCAAGGGCTGACGGCACAGCCTCGACATTCAAAGTTCGAGGTCCCAACTTCGCTCGTTCTTTAATCCCAAAACGCAGGAGTTCGGCTCATTCGCACGTACAACTGCAGGTATTGCTTTACTTGCGGAAGCCTTACTGGTTGTTTGTCTACTCGCTGATACCACCTCACGTGACCCTGTGGGTATACCATAGAGAACCCACTGAAAAGCCAGGTGTCTGTCTCCATTGTGGCTAGGGAAAGCCAAACCATCAATTTCTCAATATTCCCATTATTGACTTTACCCATCGATTCATGGAGTCCCCTTCTTTAGCTTTCTCGATTCTCCTAAAGTTTTCAGCTAAGATCTACATGAACCGACTTGCTGGGCTTATATGGAGGCTGCAACTGTAGTGTTTCTGTCGAGAAGGCCACTTCCTCACAGGATTAGAACCACCGCTCAAATATATTTCCATAGAACAAGCATGCAGCAAGGAACACATACTTTTTTCCCGGGGTTATGAAGTGCGTATGTCTAAACCAGCCGATAAAAGTTTGAAATACTTGCTCATCCTTGCGGACTCTAACTTCTCGCCGGCGTAACCACGTCCGCCAAACCATAACGATTTTATCGGAGGGGAAATCATGCCGCTCTACAACCTTTGGAGCTAGGGCATTCGCACCAGCTTGTGGTCCGGTCTCTACCGCCCCAACAGGCATTGTGCCACCTTCAGGCTCCGCCACCAAATGTGTTCTCCCACGCTTTGTTCCCACAGAAGTCTGTCCACTGAATTCCCGCATAACTTGATTGAGGCCGGAGAGATGTTGCGGGAAAGCCCGACATCCCAATGCATCTGCATCCACTGGATATGCGGGGAAAAGCTCAATCGAACCACGCAGTCCTACCAATAGCAACGTTCTCTCTAAGATATCCGGAGAAAGGCATTTAGCTCTACAGTCAATACAAACTTGATAATTCAATTCGTGAAGGTTTTAAAAGGAACTTTTCGGTTTTTTACTGTCCGGGTATTTCACACCTGCCATGATTGGGAAAGAGATTCAGCTGCAGTGAGCGTAGCTGCAGTCTCTGCGCACTTCCAGCATCCACAGGTTGCTTGTCGCGTCTTGCCCAGCGGCACACAACATTGCGTCCTAGGGCACCCAGGTGACACTACACGGGAACAAATGAATTGTACGAACAAACAAATTTAATTAGTCTGTCCTTCAGTAATTGTTAGCTCCATATCAATAACTTAGTAGGTAGTGTTAAAATGCAGCTTAGGCCCTTACGTTAGCTTTACAAACACAGGCACGCTCTCAGCCCCTAGCGTCTGGAGTGCGCACAATCATAGTGCAAAGATTTCCAGACTTTAGTCCTGCTTTTAGTTTCATTTATTCTTTTGTTGGTAAATGGAAAATTGTACTATCCACTATGGGGTGCATGTACGCTGTAAGTGCATGCATTCGCAAACTCGAGTCGTGTGGAGCTGTGATATGGATGAAGACATGTATTGTCTTCATCCATTTAGGTAATTTTCCTTAAGTACCAGAGACACTGACTGTCACCGCAAAGCATGAACCCCGGTGCAGCACACAGAAACCCGTTTCTTTGGGTTCTGTCTTCGCAGAGCTGTGTGAGCGATCGCGAGTCTCAGGGGTATGGCTTTCTCTGTGAGTATCCATAGCCTCCTTAATCGTAAACAGCGGAAAAATAGGCTTAGCTCGCGAAGCCTTCCAATCTGAAACTCCGCAAGTGGGCTAGGCACACAGGCAGCAGCTAGGAGCTGGCATGTCCCCCAGAGGAGAAGCGGCTACTCCGACGCCCAAAAGCTTTCGCACATAGCCCGTTGACACTAAGTGTAACAAGTCTAATGTGCACGAAATATGTGTATTGACATCTGGAAGTGCGCAGAATGCCGTATCGTCGGCTGAAACTCTGCTATGGAAGTAATGTGGTAGAGGAGCAGGCCAGAGCTGCCCCTGCACCTTCCTTTTCGGGTTCCGCCCGTTCTCAATGCACGCTATTCAGCTGTTTATTATGATTAAATTAAGTAGCATCCGTTACTGTCTTTGAAACATAGACGGGCATGGCGTCTTCGGATAGTACGCGTCAGTTGTTTGTAATAGCTGCTGCTCATCGGACACCAGCACCAGCAACCGAGGAAGTACTGGTCGATGTTGCTGTTGAACCCCAGAAAAGGCGATAGGCGCGTTACATACCGAACAAACAGGCATGTCATGACTTAAAAAGCGGTCGTTAGTGCCGAGTCTTGTACAGTTGCATATGAGGTGCGTTGTATAGCCATTTCAGGCTAGGGGCGGCTCTCGCCTCCGAGGGAGAGGGGTAGGATTCCTCTAGCGAGGAGCCATTACTGTGCTAGTAGGGTCTTTAACAAAGGTCTTCCCGTCTTTTGGTTGACGGAATTTAGGATTAAAAGTCTGGGGTTTAAGGTTTCTCTCTGGGAAGTGCTTGTGCCCCACTAAGCGAGAAGGGGTGCCTCCTAGGCAGCAGCCGCTCCTTCTCGCGCCTACCGGACCTGATGAATCACACAGCTGCTTCCGCCTATCTGATTGGACGTCCACTGCCTCTCCCTTTTTATTTTGTGGTTGTTTCCACTGACTGCCTCTGGCTAGGATGCAACGGCACGCCCGAAGGTTCTCCTAGCGGGTTCGGCAGTACAAGCTCGGCAGACTCCTTGAGGGGGTAGCAGCACAGGCATATAAACCTCGCCAAATGGTCCCGTCTATGAGGCCCCACAATCTGTTTTGCCCACTTTCTGCCTTTCCGAGGGGTCTCTAGCGGTGTGGCGCGCAGGCCTCGTGGTATCCTCTACTGACTCACCTCGCCCTCTCCTGTTGCCTGTCTTGGTACCTTAGCTCATCTATCCCTGCCTCGGACGTGCCAACTTGCGCTCCAGAAGCAGTGCTTTGTGTCTTACAGTCTTCGGGGGTCCTTCCCCTCCTGTTGACTTCCTCTAGATGTCCATCGTGCGGGGCGAGTTACTCCGTGGCGGCCCCCTCCGCGTTGTCTCCCTTCAAGTGTATGGGTGCAGCCCGCACCCCTATTCTTGACCACTGCTTCCAAGTGTGCCTCCTCCTATATTCACTCTGTTTCACAGAAGCTCGCTTGCGCCGAGCCTGTTTTGCCGGGAGTCCTTCTCGGCGAGGGATCATTCATTCAGTTTTCGGCGTTCCTTGTGCACAGTAGTGATGCCCTTGGTCGCGTCTGTCAGGGTCTAACGACAATCGTGTGCGGCAGCAACACCGCTCTAAGCGCGCCGTAGCTGGAGTTATTGTAGAGCACTGCTCTCTCTCGACCCAATTCTTCCGTTCCCCATACCTTGATTAACCAACCAGTCATTAATTTCCTCCCTCTTCCAGTACGGCGCGAGCTCCCCCTTCCCGTGGGATCCCGCCCGTAGACTTGGGGAGCTCTCCGTCTCTCCCCTTTACAGTGCGTCGGCTTGGCTGCCTTCGGGGCGAACACGTACCCCACTTGCCGTTCGGCTGGGCTCGCCTGGCAAAATGCAATCGGCTATGGAGGGACCGCTGTCTCGTCACGCGGTGTCTCCTAGTCCCTCTCCCTTCCCCTCCTTGCCATTTCTTACAGACGCCTACCTCCCAGGGCACCACGCTGTAGCTACGGCAGCGCACCAGCAGCAGCCCCTGCTGTTGCTGCAGAGCAACTCGCTGGAGCAAGGCGCAACCCCCGCCGCGACAGACAGGCTTTCTGCTAGTGCAGAAAGCTGGTGCGATCCTAGTGGCGCCGCTGCGCTCCATCTTCTGGGGGGCCCTCGAGATGGAGATGGCGCGGGGGAGCTCCTCTCGGGAGTACAGGACCCTACGCCTTTCGCAGCCTCCTGCTTTGGCTCTTACCTTTGCTCTCCTTATATAGAATCTCCCCAGGGGCCAGAGGGCCCCTCCGGCCCCGAGGGGCCCCCAGGTTCAACGTGTCGGTCTTTTTCGCCTCTCAATTTGGCTGCAACTCCTGATAGTGCAAGCAGCAATTTTGTCGGAGCTGTTCCATCCGGGGGGTTCTCGCTCTACTATGGACCCTCTTTCCCCTTTTCGCTGCCAAATCCTCTGGCTTGTGGTGTCGCACAAGACGGATCATTGGGAACCTTCGGCACAATAACAAGTACTCCTCCGCAGCAGAACACAACGCAAGAGACACAGGGATTTGCGTCTGATTATGACAGACTCACGAGGGAACTTGGCAGGTTTTGTGCGTCTCTGCGAGATATTGTGACCGATAAGTGAGCAAAACCTTTGACCGCTTCCTATGCCTCGAGAGCATCACTTAATTTTGCGTAGAATACCGTTGAGGACTACCTGGGATGTCGGAGGTGCGGGTGCATGCAGCGGGTTCGGCGTTTCCTTTTTTCAGCGTGTCTCTGGTGCTTTCTGTTTCTGTGCAGTCCGTCCTCTGCCGAGCTGAACTCAACGCTTGAGACGGCAATTGGCTCTGCTGACCAAGTTTCTCGAGTGCAGCGAAAGCTGCTGCTTTCTGGCCGTCAGCAGCAGCATTTGGTAGCTGACAGCAAGTTAATTCATTCTAAGGTGTACATGTTGCACCGCATTCTGCAAAAGACAGCACCCCGATACAGCCAGTTGCTCGCGGAGCATCCGCACCTTCAAAATCACATTGAGCAGCTCGAACACCATCATAGGGATCCTGTGGGATATGCGGCGTGTGTCGGGAGTGGAAGTATCACCGGCAGCGTCCAAAACTGTACCATGAGCCACCGCAACAACAGCAGCATCAGCACCAACAGGCGTCGTAGTGTTCGTCAATATAAACGGCAGCAAACCGCATCGCCTCATGACTTCTCAGAGGGAATGCTGCTACCAACTATCAAGACCGAGCCAACATCAAGTTGCGCTTGAAAGAACGCACCCGCACTTGTCCTCCGTTGACTCGGGTTTATCTATGCAACCGAGCAAGGGCATTATATGCGCCCAGGCGTCAGACCGCTAAGGCGCCGCGAATTCAGGCATCCAAGCTGCACCTTAGGTGCAAGAGGGAGAACAGTGTTCACGAGGCGGTCTACCGGGGTGCGGGGCAGACGAAATATGCGTTTGTTGTTGCGTTCAAAATGAGCGATATTGGTGGTGCTTCTTCCGCCCACTGCAGCTTACTCTCCCACTTCTGTTGCGCGAGATGAGGCGATTTTGGAGCCAGATCAGCACACATGCATGAGGGATGCTTTCAGTTTTCTTTTTTGAGGGCTGTGCTTGCTACATATGCGGTGTTGCTTTGTGGCTACTGGTATATACCTTTCCGGAGGGCCATTGGGCCCACCAGCGAGAATGTAGGTGTTGTGGATGGAGTAGTTTTTTGTTTCTGTGTTCTGTCCCGCTTGTTGTGGAAGGGGGATGTCGTATAAAGGCTCGGCGCGTTTTTAGTGTCTGTGCGGCGGAGCCCCTGTTTCGTCGTTACTTCGGTCCCGTCTCCCGTTTCATTTCATATGCTTGCTTCATGGGCACAAAGGTGGCACCTCAAAGCAGATTTGCTTGCAGGAGTTCTAGGCTTGTTGTGTTTCGCCGGCCGCTCCGTCATCGTGCCCGTCCAGCAATACATTTCCCACGAGACTCAATGCTCTGTGTGGCCTCTCCTGGCATGGGTGCGTAAAGCCCCCCAAGCACAGTCTTGTATGGCAGCAGCAGCGTTAATGCCATTCTGGTCCCAACTCGCCAAACCAAGATCGGGCCAGTGTTTCAGTGTGCCACACCTCGTTAACTGCAAGCCCCCAGAAAATGCTGAGGCAAAAGGCAGTGGGTTTGCGGGGTGTGGAAACCGTTTCAACCAGCCCACTGACATTTCAACCGGCTCTCCAGTATTCAAAGCTCGAGGTTGCTGGGACCGAACGTTTTGTAATCCATTCCCAGATGGGAAGGCTGCAGTCTTCGGCGGGTATCCCAACTGCGCCCCCAAGGCTTTCCCTGAGAAGTCTCCCACTTGCTCACCGTGAGTGCAACGCTCCATCTAGGGTCCCCGGAGCGAGAGATTCAACGTCAAACTCGATGAAAACTTGAGGTTATGCTGAGTATTTTTTTAAGAGTTCCCGACTCGGCCTGCCCTCGAATATCTCAGTTTTCTTACTAGGGGAGAGGGACAGCTCGAGTGCCTCTAAGCTTTCTGAACATTAGCGGCTTCTTGCACGTAGCATCTAGCACACGGGCACACAACACTGTGCCTTCTTGTATCCACATAACGGTACTCTGCAATGAAAAAAATATACGGGCAGGCAAACCAATTAGTAAGCTCCCCACTAATGCCCAGTTTAGTACAACGAGCACAGTGCATGTTGTTCGTGCAGCACAGCCCTCTCTACTAAAACGCATTTGTTTGTACTTCGTTTCGCACCCAAGAATGAAGGTGTGTTCCGTAGCTAAGTGCAGGCAAAGGCTACGCTTTGTTGGCTGGTAAGTTCTTTATTATTTTGAGCACTATGCAAGGGCGCACGTCTCTTGCTTATGTGTCAGAGTTTTGATCCCATCACATCCCTTGGAGTCGGCGTTTTACTTCAGATCAGGCACAATTTGCAAAAACTGCTTTGTTACTCTAGATTTAGCGACATTACAGTTTAGGAGCGGAAGACATTATTGCATTGTCCTCGTTTCTAGTAAGTACCTGAACTGCATTACACAAGCACGCAAAATACCATGAAGAGCCAATCGCTCTAATGGCGGTGCGGCATCTCAACAGTCAAATGAAGACAACAGTCACACAGCAAGGCCATCCGAAGTTTCAAATACTTAATAAAGGAAAAAAGTCAGCAAACTGTCTTGAAGCCCCGCCGCAGGTCGTAAGTGGCACAAGGTACCGAACACTTCTTTGTGCTAAATCGCAAATTCAACAGCACTTATACCTTCATGAATCCAGAAGAGGGACTTCCGGTGGTGGTCACTGACTTTCAATTCTTCAGGCCCAGGAACCCGTAGGGTCGTCACATGTGCTTGCATACCAGCCCTGTAGGTGGGAAAGCTTTCGCATTCTATCAAGACATATTCCTCCGTAGATTCCTCTAAGGCAATTCTTTTTACAAAAAGGAATTTAAGTATAACAGGGATGTGAGTAACGCTAGTAGGATTGTGAGATGCATCCGCTACTGGGCACTCGCCGATGCAGAGTCCAGTTAGATGTGGACTGGCTGTGCAGCTTAACCCTTCTTTATGCACTAGCGCAAGGGCTACTCTGCAGCTCAGTAAAGCCACAGGTGTGTTGGCACTCTACTAAGAAACTGCCCCGCACACCCTACCACGGGACTGCTTGCGTTTTACACTATATGGGCCGCGCGAGAGTCCCAGCAAACTTTCTTCCACATTGTGTTTCGTCTGACTCTGTTTCTTACTTGCGCCCCTACAAAATATCGGTGTGAGTCAATATAGCTCACTGCGACCGCTGAAGCTTTTATCCCTAGATCTAGTCTATGAGCCAATTTCGTTGACATCAGCTTGTGGGGCAGGTGACGCTTGTACTAGAAGCCTCGCACGATACCGTATTGATGAGCTATGGAATTTGATTATTGGCCCCTATCAACTACTCAACTACTTACCAATGCTCGTACCATTCTCTATATTGAAAGAACACTTTTAACTTGTTCCCACAATCTCTGTGATTGATCGTGTAGTGGACTGGAGTCAGCTGCATCTGTAAACCCACAATCGTGAATTTCTTTGCCGTTAATAGTAGTGCTACTTCAGCCAAGCCAAAAATCTACGCTTATACGTCTCGGGATAGACCTACTCGTATGTACAATATTTTGCTCCAACTGGTTTCTTTGGGATAGCTTGCGTGTCATTCTAACGGAGGCTATTGAATGCCTCTGCCAGACTTCTGCCAGCTCATCTTGAAATATTATCAAATTGCACGAGCATCCTCTCTGGTGCCTACTTTTCTGATTCATTTCATGGCGTATTGCCTCTTCGTCTTCATCTCCATTGAATTCACTACCTGTTCTATTATTCTGTATTTTTATGTGTTTAGGGATACGCTAAAATTTGGCCCTCGTTTTTCGAGTCACACTTATCGTCTGTGAACACTCAGTATTGCATAAATGGTGTGGCTAGTCTCTTGCCCTGTTCGCTGCAGTACAGCGATAGCGCCATAAGAATCTACATGGCATGTGTTTTTTGTAGGCAGCTACATGGTTTACAATGACAGTCCAACTGCTTGCACCAGATGCAAGCCAAAGAAGCTCCATCCCCAACTAATTTGACTTCAAAGTGCCCTCCACTTGCCTAGTCACCATGAGCTGTCTTGCCTTATTATTCTTTGGTCTTCTTAGTCTGGTTGTGGTATAAGGGCTTTGTGAAACAAGCGTACGCACCGTGAAAAAGGTTCCCTAATTCCAAGACTTCGGCTTTCTTGGCTTTCTACGCTTGTGCTGGGCTTTCGCGTAGCTTAGCTAAGTTCCTGTGCCAAGCATTCACCGTTGCCTTTCTGTGCACTTTTAGCCACCCACTGTGGAGGCACCAAAAAGAGCTAGACAATTGCATACTGCTATAGACAGATTTGAGCGCACATGTAGTTTATCTGGAGATATGAAGACAGGCAGATGGCAAATAACAGAAAGCCACATTAGCAAGTTTAAATTGCGCCGTTGTACAGCGCACTTCGATGTCCGACTGGCTACTAAACCATGGATGAGCAGCCCCAAAGCATAGAAATGGTCTCATCCACGAACACTTTCTCAGGGTAGTTGGGAGTGATACCAACTTTGCCGAGACGCTGCCTCTCCAGAAGAAACGATCTATTTTAAAAAGTATAGTGGGCTAGTGGAACTCTAGAGTGGGCGCAATGGCTTCTGGAAGACGGTCCCGACATATTTCGATAGTAAAAACGGGCTTTCACGGAGGCCAATGAGCTACAAACAGAACATGAACACCATTGCATAATCAAACTTGTCCTTAAAAGAAGTGTGAGGATTGGAAGAGGGGTGCTGGAGCAAAAAAGGGTCGCTTACGCCATCGAAGAAATTGTGTCGTACTTCACGGCCCACTATTTAACTGTAGGCTTTAAATTATGCTGGCAAAAGGGTAAACTGCTGTGGCCCGGATCGTCAAAGGCGCCACTTGAATAGTTCAAGAGCCTTGCAAAACTGGTACAGTGGCAGAGAATGGATTTTACATGGTGAATAAGCCATAGCACGGGTCAGACCCGGGGCCCCAGAGCGAGAACGCAGAATTGGGAATTCAGCTCGCGGTTGCGACAGGCATAAATCGCGAGTTGAAAGAGAAGATGAAAGCCGCTTTCCCGCGTAGACATTTGTGAACAAGATATTTACATAGCTCCAAGATAGACCACCTTTTCCGTGGAGAATGCAATGCCTCTAGAGCAGAGCTGCAAGCATGCACCTAAAATTACTGGAAATCCTATGGCACATTAACATTTGAGATGGAAGCAATAAGCATATATTATCTGGGATCGCTTCCTCCCTAAGCTCTCCAGCTGCCCACTAAGGAGGTCGGGTTACCCGTCAGAACGATGGCTATGTTGTTGATGCCCACAACTATGCTGGACCCTCCTTGCTCTGCTTCAGACGCTACAGAGCTCTTTTTGGGGTGGGCCCTTTTCTGAGGGAGTATAGCACTCATGATCCTGGAATGAACTACCTACGAAGACATGCTCGACGCACATTAGCCATGACTGATCCGGCTACTGGGTATCAAAGGCTTCTGCGTGGACATAATACTGCTGAACTTGGGGGGTGGAGGACACGTACACATTGCCCAATGCTTTCCTGCTTGTGTCATACTGGTATCTTGACAAAAATTGAATGACCATCGAACAGAGAGTCCGTTCTGTACAAGCGGTTTCAACCTTTACTAGTTCTGATGAGTCTCGTGTACGCTTTCCTCTTTGATGCTGTGCACGATAGCCAATGAACACATTCTCACCAGCATAGCCCTCCACACGCAAGAGCACTTGAGATAGGCATGTTCCCCGGGCATCAGAAGCGTGCCCCAAGGAGCCATGAATAAAAGCGTTTGAGGCTTCGTTGCGGATGTAGCAAAGTAAAAGCCTTTCTCTGGGCATAGATGGTGATGAACTGTATCAAGCAAACAGTGAATTTCGATCCCTAGATCTCCATATCGGCTTAGCGCTTAGAATCAAAAAAAACCTGGGGTTTGTAGCTTCTACAGCGAATCATGTTTTAGAATGTAGATCTCTCATTGTTCTAAACATAGCACGCGCAGGTCATCTGTGGTTTTACTTGGCGAACCCGAAGCACAGCTATCAAAGAGCTTACTGTGACCCGCCGTGCTGGGTCTACGCATAGAGCATACCAGGCAGGTGCAATGCTAGAGTGCTGATATCATTACGAGGAGCCAAATACCCTGCGCAAGCCGAGCGGCAGCTTCGTCTCCCACGGTCTCTAAAGGTCCGCGAGTCCCCAGAAATTCATAATATCTAAAGAGCTAGAACAGATGCAGTAGAGGTTGTTAATTGAATACGACCTTCGTCCATATTATTGACATGGTTTCCATCGCAATTACCTGGTTGGTTGTGACATTCCCAGTTGTATTAAAGAGGCAATCTATAGTAAAAGGAACTATTTGAGATTTGCATGAGCTGCTCGTTTACTGACTTTATTCTAGTTGCCTCCATCGTATTGGCCTTCTGTAGTCGAAGTGAAGAGCGACAAGAAAGTATCTGGTTCAAGACATGCTAACCACCCTCAAAGTCTGTATTTTGCCACTATAAGGTTGTCCTTTTAATTAGATGAAACCACACGGTTTGTTATCCTGCGCCTTTCCAATTTTTTCTCGTTTCATTTTGCTGTTCTGTTCTGTAATCCCACTCGCCTCTACAGGCTCGGAGCAATTAGGGACAAAGCACGAGAAAAAGAGAGCAGAAACTTTATTTCAAAGTAAACAAGGAAAATTGCCGCTGTTTCTGAGGAGTATCAGGGGCTGTGAAGTGGTTACCAGGGTGATCGTCTGGGCGGAACTCGAGACATCATCTGGTGAAGCACCTACTCCCCATAAGAGGGATCTACTTATTGCTCCAGGATAGGCTCACAGAGCGAAAAGGGTCAAAGGGCACGGTTGAAACTGCTCATGACACGTCGTTTTACTAAACTCAAACTGGAGTGATAACGAAAAACCTTCCGCCGCCGGGACTCGAACCCGGGTCGCGCGGGTGAGAGCCGCGTATCCTAACCACCTAGACTACGACGGATCGAGGGACACCCGGAAGGTGTTAGCCACGTATGTTTCCTGAATACAAGAATGCGAGGAAAACTGCGGCATGCATTGGATGTGAGTCCTCACGTGAATACTCAGGTTATTTCTGCCGACGACGGCGTGGTCAGTTACACCCAAATACGTTTGCCTTGTTACTCCCCAAACCCCCACACTGACATTCTGCGTCTACCCCTTTCCAGCACTGTTTCCCGCTTTTACCACGAGCCCATAGATTGGGGGGGCCGGTAAACCGCGGCGGCAGTAGTGGACTCAGCAGGGCCAACTGCGGAATACGCGCCTCGCACTGCACGAACACGGTGCCCTTGAACTATTACTTTTGCCGATATCCACCCTCCTGTCCGCTGCTCTTACAGGTGCCACTAAGGTTTTTGAGCTGAAATGCACACTTAGCTGAGACACTGCAAGATGAGCAGCTGCTGCTCCCCAACGAAAGTAGTTATTTAGCACGTAAAAGTGTACAGCCTCGCATTTTTTGTCATTCCATCGACGCCCTTGGAAGCAGCAACCAACGTAAAGACATCAAAAGCACGTGCTCGCATGTCCGAAAGAAAGAAAGACGCACGCTGCAACCACCACCCGGCGGCTCCTGTAAGCCGCTCTAAGGAATGATGGGTGTAGCAAGCGATGTCGCAACTTTCGGGAGGAATAACACGAGTAGGCGAAAGAAGGTTCTGCCATGGGCTCCTCGGTCTTTAAGGATAAAAGGGCCCTTCGCTTGCTAGAACGGGGGGGGGCAAGGCACTAAAGGAGGCGGGGGGGGCCTTAAAAGCTCCTCTTTGTTGCCCCCAACGACAGGGATCCCCTTTGAATGCTGTCGCTTTGCCGCTGCCTGCGCTCTTCTCTGTCGGATTTCTGCCCATCGCTGCCTGTGCCTTTCCTCGGCCTCCTGCGTGCGACGCTTTGGCTTCCGCTGCGTTTGGGGTTGTGGACGCGCCGCCTCTGATTTCTTCAAGCTGTACAGATTAGCGAGCACTGCTTCTGAAGAGAGGGGCCTTGCGGCGATCAGCGCGTCGAGCACACTCGCGTCTGGCGCTGCAGACGCCTCGGACTGCGGCGAAGCCGCGCTAGCAGAGGAAACGGAAAAACTGTTTTTTCCACAGGCACCCAGGCGCTCCTCTCTGCCTCCCGCGCTACTGCGAGGGTATGAAGCCTCTGCAGGAGCCCGCAAAAAGGGGGCTTCGAGCTGTTGCGTTTCCTGCACGTGGAGGTGCTGCTGGCAGTGCTGCTGCATGGGCTGCTGCTGCTGCTCTTGTTCTCGCTGCTCTTCTTGCTGCTGCTGCTCCGCAACAGACTCTTCGCGATGCTGTCTAGCGCCAAAATTCCCCCCCGCAGGCGCGGCAGGCGAGGAGGAGGGCCCTCTAAAGGAGGCGGGAAGATACTTTGGCTGCTCATAGTCCGATATTTCCCCTTCTTCTGCGTCTGAGTCTTTTGAAGGGTTGGGCTGCGATTCTGTTTTCCTGGAGGACGCGGTTGGGAGAGCGGCTCTTTGGGCAGACGCCGGTTCTGCGGAGCAATGAATTTCCTCTGCCCTCCCTGGTTTATCCGTTCCCGCCCTCCGCTGCAGCTTTTGCCACCTCGCGTCTGGATCCAACGCCTCCTCGACGTCGTGTCTGCACTCCGCCTCGGACGACTCCTTGTGCATGCAGCCCGCAGCAGCGCTGCTGGCTTGGCTTCCCCCGGGAGACAGCTGCGCGCCGGCGTCGAGAGCAGTTGTCAGCGACAAGGCGCTAACAAGATCGAGAGCTTCTGCCCGTTCCTTCGCGTTTAGGGCAGTGAGTGCCTCCAGCGCCTCCGCCGAGAGACTTGACTCTGTCAAGTCTCTCGAACGTAACGTGCGAGCATCAAGCACGCCTGCAGACTGTGCTGCTACTGCTGGGGTAGCAGTTGCGGGAGGCTTCGCGACTTTCGCAGCCATCCGACGAGGAGCAGGGGGGGGCGGAGGGGGCACAAGCGGCGGCTCGCGCGCTGTAGGAAGAAAGAGTTGCTCGACGGAAGACGATGGAGACGCAGGCAGTGGCGGGGGAGGCGGCCTCTCTGGCGGGAGTGTTGTTTCTGCCTTGGAAGTAGAAGTTTCTTGGGGGGGGGGGGGCAGCGAAAGGGATGTCGAAAAACACGAAGAAGTGCTGCATGCATGCGCACCAAGCGATGCTTGCGCCGGTGACGCCGCAGCAGCAACAGCAGAGGCATGCACGGCATTCGCCTCTCGAAGTTGTGCTCGCTTAAGTCGTCGCTGCTGGGGATGATGCAGAGCTGCAGGAGCTGCCAGTGTCAGATCCGGCGGTTCTGCCTGCATGCAGAAACCCCTGGTGCGTTTTTCACCTCTGGCAACGCTAGAAACAAAGATCTCCTTTGGAGAAGGCTGCCTCTGTGAGGACGGCTGCTCCCTGTAAGCTCTCTGAGATGTGCAAGCCTCCGCTTCTGGAAAGGCGCCTTCGAGAGCTGTTGCTGCTCCTGCTGCTTCTGCTTCTGCTCCTGCTCCTGCTTCTGCTCCTGCTGCTTCTGCTTCTGCTCCTGCTCCTGCTTCTGCTTCTGCTGATGCTTCTGCTCCTGCTGTCGCTTCTGCTTGTGCTCCTGCTTCTGCTCCTGCTCCTGCGCTACGTGCTGCTGGCGCGTCGCTGTCTGACAAGGCTCCCAGAGGGGGGTTCTCTGGTGTCGAGGCGAGGGTTGCTGCCGTCAGGAGACTCGGTGAGGCTTGGCACAGAGAGTGAGCAAAGGCTGTGTCTGCCAAGCACTTGCGATGACACCGTAAAGGAAGACTCTCAGAGGGAGTCTCCGCATCGCGAGCCGTGCGGGGGTTGTGAGGGCCTCCTTGGGTGCACACAAGAGAGGAGAGGAGGTCGGCGAAAGTCTGTAGATCCCTCACCGCAGCGGAGCCAACGTGCTGCTGCTGCTGCTGCAGCGTCCTCTGCAGCTCAGTTTCAACCGCAGTAAACACCTGCTGAGCGCGCTGCAGCAGCGGGTGCAACAGCCACAGGTTCCTTGCAGAGGAGCAACAAGCGGGGGGGGCCTCCCACACGTGTCCAGCATCCCTTTGGAGTTGCTTGCTTAGGCTGCTACTGCTGCTGCTGCTGCTGCTGCTGCTGCTGCTGCTGCTGCTGCTGCTGCTTGTTTGCAGCGGGGGCATCGTGGGGGGCACGTCATTCGCCGAAGGCTTCTGCACCCCCGCTTGCCGAGCTGACGCCTTGCTGCTGGCCATCAAGTGGGCATCAATTTGTGCCTGGTGTCTGTACGGTCTGCCCGTGGTGGCTTTAAAACACGTGCGGATAAGCGACGGCGTTTTCCGCCTTCTTCAGAGGGGCGGGAGCCTCCAAGCAGCCACGCTCGCCTTGCCGCTAGAAAAAGGCTTTGCTATGAATCCGCTGACACGCAAGCGACTATATAAAGAGGCCCCTTGTAGTCTCTTGCAGCTGCAGCTCCCTCAAGGACTGAGGGTGGCCTTCGCATTCCGAACGAAGGGATGTATGTGTATCTGCATATGCCCCTCGAGAGAGTGGGTGCAGATTGTTGCGCCTTCGCCGTCGCACGTGAAAAAAGCGCAAGATTCGCGCACAAAGGGAATAATTATTTCGCAAGGATCGCGCTAGGAAGAATCGGAGGCGGTCGGAAAGAGAGCGCTTCTGCGCGGCTGCCCCGGCTGCCTACAGGGGGGCCCCCGTCGGTGAGGAGGGGGCCCCTCCTCGTCCAGCCAGCCCGCAAGTTCGGGTGCCTTGATCTAGGCTTGTTTTTTTTTTCGTTCCACTCGCGTGCTGCACACTTTGGCCATTTGTGGGTGCGGGGAGCCAGCCGCGGCGCTCTGCAGTGGTCTCGATGCATCCTAAGTAGGCGTCAGCGAGGCAGGGGTTGCCTCCGATCGCGGCGCAAAAAGGCTGCAGCGCGTGAGACGCAGCACCCCTGCGTAACAGGCATCCGCAAGGCTTGGCCTTTTACGCGTGCTTTCCGAGAAAATGCTCCGCTTCGGCCTCCCAGCCGCGGGGCCCCTCAAGGGGCCCCTAAGGGGCCCCTCAAGGGGCCCCTTTAGGGGCGCCTCCCGCCGTTTCCGCGGCATCAGGGGCCTTTTGAGAGTCGCAGGGGGCCTGCGGGGGCCCTTGTCGTGTGCTGCAGCTCCAGCAGCACCAGCAGCAGCGGGGGCAGGGGGGCCCCCTCGACTAGGGGCCCCCGTCTTCTTGGGGGGAGCTGCAACGGAATCCACTGCAAGCAGCAGACTCTTTCACACGCAGCAGCGTCTAGAAAATCCTCCCGTGGCTTCCTCGCAGCCTCCTTTCCGTAGAGGCTCAAGCGTCTTCGACGCGGAGTGTCTAGAGGAGACCTTCTCAGAGGCTCCCCCCCCCCTTTCAGCAACTCCCGTCACTGGATCTCCGCCGGTGCCTCCTCTCGCTGCAACAGACGCAGCGGTACAGGCAGCAGCTGTGCAGGAAGGCGTTGGCGGCAGTCTTTGCCAATTGCCTGTGCTGGAGCAGAGGCTCCCCAGCGTCGGGAAGCCACCCCCACCCCAGCTCCACGACAAGGCTCGCCAGCCATCCAGTAGCTCCTTGACGAGGGCTTTTGATTCGTGGCAAAACGCTTCTGTGGATACTGTCGATTCGGCAGAGACGCTGCAACGACACTGGCGGCTGCTACGACGTGCAGCAAAGCAGCAAGTGCCGCTGCCACTCAAGGCAGCAACACACCTCCGCTGGCTGCTGAAGAGGACTGCTGCGTTTTTGCTGCGGCAAAGGGCCTCTCCAGTCGCAGCTGCACAGCTTGGCTCTCCCGCACAAGTAAGACTTACAGCAACAGCAGCAGCTGCTGCTGCTGCGACAGCAGTACCAACACCAACAGCAACGACACCGTCACCCCCTCCCGCGGCAGTACCGACAACCAGTGCCGATGGGCCCTTGTTGCGGCTGTGCCTCAACATCTTGTCTTTTGCTGCCGTGTGTGTTGAAAGACAGCTTGTATGCACAGCAGCGCCAAGTGCTGCAGGGGGAAACGTGCTTAGAGCTAACCTTCCCCTGATCCAGCAGCTTTCGCTGCAGCACTTGTTGCCACAACTGCGTCCCCACCAGCAGCGCAGCATCAACAGCAGCAGCAACAACAGCAGCAGAAACACCCCCAGCAGCAGCAACAACAGCAGCAGAAACAACAGTCCTGCGCTGTGTATGCCTGCCGATCTGTTGGTGGATCCAGCGATCTTGATGCTTCAGTGGCTGCAGCATCAAAATCGGCGGCTAGCAGCAGGAGATTTGCGCTTTGAGTTGTTGCAACCCGCGGAAGTGGCTGCAGCGGTGCGATGTTTGTTACTAGTGGTGTCGCATTGTGCTCCAGCGCATCATCTTCAGCTAGCTGCGGCTGCTGCCTCTGGCCCTACACTGTTGCACCTGCTGCAGCAGCACGCGCTGCAGCCTCTGGCTGCTCTGAGCACGTACAGCGTCTTGCTGCTTGCTGAGAACATGAAGGCTAGCTCGCCGAAGGCGTCGTCTAGCCCACACGCGGCATGCCAGCCGCCGCCATTAGCGCCAGCGCCGAGCACTCTGACATCTCCACACGCGCAGTCGCAAGAGGGGGAGCCGTCGCCGCATGTCTCTCGGGAGCTGTACGATCGTCTGGACCGTGCGCTTCTCGCCTTTCTCTCACAGAAGGTCTGCTCTCTTTTCTCCGAGACGGATGGTGGACGACACGACGAAGTACAGAAGCGGCAAGCTCATATGCAAGGCGAAGAAGCGCTGATGTCAGGCTCTATCTTCTCAGGGGCATCTGAGGCGTGCGCAGAGCTGCTGTTGCGGCCGTTGGCGTGTGCTGCGGTGCGGCTGGAGGCTGGCGGGGAGTTGCTGCAGCAGCTGCTGCTGCTGCAACAACACGGGGGAGCGCTGCCAGTGCCGCAGCAGACGGCGCTCCTCGCTGCTCTGGCTGCGACTGCTCGGAACGTTTTCGCATGGCGCGACGCAGCAAGCCTCGAAGCCAGCAGCAGGAGCAGCAGCAGGAGGGGTAGCGATAGCAGTAGTAGGAGTAGCAGCGGCAGCAACAGTGTTCACTCCCCGCAGCAGCAGATTGCACTGTGGTCTTTGCGGCGGGAGCTGCTGCAAGCTGCACGTGATAGCGTCTTGTGCCTCCTATTCCACTCTCCGTACCGCCGTCCTGCTGACGTGGCGCGTGCGTGCGATCACTCGCAGTTTTTTCTGCAGCCGCAACACCTGAAGCAGCGGCTCAAGGCCCTACAGGGGCTCTGCGAGGTGTACAGACACCCGGAGGTGTGCACAGCGCCGATCGCATGCGCACTGCTGTGGGAATCTCTTTTGCTGCTGCGTAGCTTCACGGCCGGTCCAGGAGCAAGCGACTCTGCAGCTGCACCTCAGCAGCCACTACTGCCTCCTCTCGTGGCTCCCATTCTGAGGCTTGCTGCAAAAGCGATCTGCTTCGCACCGCTCGCAGAAATGCAGCTTGGCAATGCTGAGAAACAGTACTCGCCAGCGGCAAGCGTGGCAGCGGCGCTCGAACGGCCCGAGGCAACTGCACGAGGGAACGGACAGCTGCTGCAGCAAGCCACGCGTTTCTTTGGAGGCTCTGCTGCCTTCGGCTTGGAGTTGTTCAGGGAGGTCTCTACACAGCAACAGGCGTGGCAGACCAGGGAAGGGGAGCTCTGGGAATATCTCCTGCAGCAGCAGCAGCAGGAACGCACAACATCTCATTGGCAGGAAACTCCTCCCGCACGGCGGTACGGGCACCAGCAGATGGCGTCTCGACGCGTAGCAAAGGGGCCTCTTCCTCCTGCTGCTGCTGTTGATGATGCTGCTGCTGCCGTAGCTGCTGCCGGTGCTGCCTGCATTACAGCGTCTCTGATGGTCTCCTTTGGAGGCTTCCAAGGCGCTGCAGGCGCTCTCGTATTTCTTCAGCTGCAACAGGCACACAGTCAACTCGCTGCACTACACGCAGAGCCAGCACAGATGGCATTTCTTCTCAGCATGCATGCGCATTGGCAACAACAGCAACAAAAGCAGCAGCAACAACAACGGCAGCAACAGCAGCAACGAGGTGCAGTGAAGCGTCTGCGGGAAGTATACATGGATCCTTGGTCTCTGATGAGCCACGTTGATGGCTGTTTTAGACTGTGGTTGCAGCAGCAGCAGCACCATCTGATGCAGCTGCAGCACCAGCAGCACCAGCAGCACCAGCATCTGATGCAGCAGCAGCAGCAACAACAGCACCAGCTGATGCAGCAGCAGCACCACCACCACCATCTGATGCACCAGCAGCAGCAACAACAACAACAGCACCATCTGATGCACCAGCAGCAGCAACAACAACAACAGCACCATCTGATGCAGCTGCAGCACCACCAGCATCTGATGCAGCTGCAGCACCAGCACCAGCATCTGATGCAGCTGCAGCACCATCTGCAGAATGTTTCGGCTTCAGCCGCAGCGCCGGAGTGCGCTCCTTCAGGCATGAGCATGCAGCGTCTTTCTTCCCAAGCTACAGGGCGCATGTACAACCCGCAACAACAACAGAAGCCGTCGACGGCAGTGCAGCAGAAGCAGCTGCAGCTTCAGCATTGGAGGCATCAGCAGCATGGTCAGCTGCAGCTGCCTGCTGCAGGTTACGGCAGCAGCGTGAGGCCAGCCAGCAGCAGCAGGAGAAAAAGCAGTCTTCTTTGCGATTCATGTCTTCTTGTTGAAAGCGCAGCCCTCCTAGCCTCTGCTGTGCCGGCTGCCCCTCCCGCCTTTGGTAAGACAAGGTTGCTCCTAGAGGAGCAGCAGCAGGAGCAGCAGGAGCAGCAACAGCAGGAGCAGCAACAGCAGCAGCAGCAACAAGAATTGACACTCCCCTTGGGCGCAACTTTGCGTCGTGTGAAGAAGACAATCGCATTCAATAGTGCAGCCATGCGTGCTGAGACGCCCCTGCCACAGCGTACGAGGCACTCTAACGAGCAGCTCCTCCAGCTGTTGCAGCAGAATATTTGGGAACTTCAGCAACAACTGCAGCATCCACTGCAGCAGCAACGGCAACAGGGCGGAGAGCTTCACAAGACATCTCTGCATGATGCGGATGCAGGAACTTATTTACAAGGCGAGCAACAGCTGCATTACGGGGTGCAGCAGGAGCAGAAGCGGCCCCTTGCATCAGCGTTAAGGCTGCAGTGGTTGGCGCACGCGTTCGCATGTGGAAAATACGGAGCTTTGCAGTGCCCAGAGGAGCTTTTCCCGCTGCTGCAGGACGTGCGTGGGATGGTGCGTGCGGCTGAAGACGGCGTCATGCTGCAGCTTGCCGCTGGAAGGGCAATGCTGCAGCAGCAGGATACTGCCGTCCGCGCACATGACGCAGAGTCAGCAGCTGCCGCAGGAGCAGAGAAAGGCTCGACGGCTGCAAGCCTCCCTGAGCGTGCTCCTGAGGACGCTGATGCAGGTGCTGGCGAAAGGCAGGGAGCTGCTGCTGCCTCTGCTGCAGTCCCTAGCGGCAGCAGCAAATCCGCCAGTTATCGCAAGCGTCACGCTGAGACGGCAGCCGATGTAGGGGTGGATTGGCGGCTTGCCGCAGAGCCTCTTTTTGCGCCTCCAGATGCGTTGCTGCACCTGCTCTCTGTCTTTTTGAGTCCTTTTTGGCTAGAGGAAGTGCTGCCCGCTGTTGCCGCCGCTGGCAATCCGCTACGTGAGAGCATCGGCAACTTGACGAGCCCGCAGAAGGGGCTTTCCGTACTTGTGCAGCCTCACCAGCACGAGCAGCAGCAGCTGCAGAAGCGTTTGGAGCAGTTGCTGCTGCAAAAACGGCTGCTGAAGCTGCAGGAACTGCTTGCTGACGATGTAGCGAGGCTCCAGGAGCTGCAGCAGCAGCAGGCCGAACAGCTGCGCGCCTTCCCTGAAGCCTTGCGGGCACTGCGGCAACAGAAGCCTCGCCAAGAAGCCCGTGCAGAGGGCTTGCTGCAGCGGCAGAAACTCCAGCAGTGCGCCATGGAGGCGGATGCCAGCGAACGCAGAAGCCTCATTCTCTCCAGTGCATGCGCAGCGCTGGCCTTCGCTCAGGAGCATTTTCGGCAAGCCTTGCTGCAGCAGCTCCTGCTGCCCCGAATGCAGCAGCAGGAGCTTTTTCTTCACCGCATGGAGGCTCTTATGCAGCGCTGTCGAAGGCTAGGCTTTCTGCGCCGTCAGCTGAAGAAGACGGGAGCCTCGAGCGACAGCAAAGCCGTAAGCGGCGTGGAGGGGCCTCCACAGCAGCCTCAGCAGCAAGACACACTGCGGCAGGAGGTGCTGCACTTGTTGGCGAGCGGCTTTCAAGAGTTTCTTGTCCTTCTTCGGTCAGTAGAATAAAGGTTCTTGAGGTCTGAGTGTTGGGGGCGGGAGGGCAGTTGTTCTCGATGACGCAGTTCATTGATGGCGTCGTGCTAAGTAACTGCTACTGCGCGTTGAGCTGCCTTCTTTCCCCTCCTCTCTGGGCGGCTGCTGTTAGACCGTGTGTGGCCCCTCTCTCGACTTCTTCGCTTTCCGCTTTTTGCGCGCGCGCTGCCGTTAGCCATCTCTCTGTCCCTTGAAATTATTGCTCTCCTCCCTGTGGGTGGACGCGACGGCTGTCGCAGTTGGGGGTACTGTAAGGCGTCCTGGCTGTTAGAGGCGATTTTCTTCCCGCGTTTGAAAAGCACAGAGATTCGCAGCTTTGGATGATGCGTAGCCGTGATGAAAAAATGTCAAGAGATTTTCGACTTCTCAGGGAGGCCGAAGGGCTACAACGTGCAGGCTTGCCACATGCGTCTTCCGAATTCGAGCGACTGCGTGCCGCTCTGCTCTCCCCGCAGCAGCAGCAAGAATTCCGCCGAGATGCGTTTGCTGCATGGGTACGCACTGCCCTGTGCAGCTGCAGCAGCAGCTTGTTGCAGGCAGCAGCAGACCTTAAGACTCCTCCCTCAGTGAACTTTATCATCAGCGTCTGGCGGGTAAGGCTGCAGCAACCAGCAGGCATCCTGCGTATGGTGCTTCTCTCAGACGTCTTTTTGCTGCTGCCGGTGCTCTCAGCCTTGCTTTGCGCCTTGTATGCTGCCTTTTCTCGCTGCTTGTTTGCTGCTTTTTCTCGCTGCTTGTTTGCTGCCGCGCTGGCGGCCTTCTCCATGCCCGCCTGACTGACACTGCTGCATGCTGACGCCTTTAGGCCTTCCTCTTGGAAGACTCCTTGTGTGCGAGCAAGCAACAGGCGCACCAGGATCAACAGGATCAGGAGCTGCAGCAGCTGCTCTTTGGCGCACTCGCCATGCGCATTCGAAATCAGACAGCAGCGGGTTTGCAGCCCCTGGATGTGTCAGAGGTGCGGCGTCTGTTAGAGGGCTCTCTGCCCTCGGAATAGCAGCCACAGCAGGAGCAGCAGCATCTTGTGTCTTTTTGTTTGTGCGTGCGACGCATACGGATGTGCGTGCTGCATGTTGGGTGCGCTGCAGCTGCTAAGCGCGGACTGCCCCCTGCCTCCCCGAGTTTCTGCTGCACTATTCTCTTCGCTGTACCGCCACAGCCTGCCCTTGCTGCTGCACCCTGAGCAGCAACAGCAGCTGCTGTTTGCTGCGTTTCGAGCCGAACAGGAGCAGCGTTGGGCAACGTCTCCAGGCGCGCGCGACACCCTCCTCACCAGTATCTCCCCCGTAGTGATACGGGGATACCTGGCGGACGCCTGGTTAACATGCCAACGGCATGCAGAGGTCGTCAATCAACAGGCTATCTTTCGTCTCCTGGCCTGCTGCTTGTAGGGCTGTTCTTGCTGTCACTGCTGCTGCTGTTGCTGGCGTTGCTCTTACTGCTGCTGTGCTGGCGCTGCTGTTACTGCTGCTGCTGTTGCTGGTGCTGCTGCCACTCGTGTTGCTATTGGTTGTGCTGTTGCTGCAGGTGCGTTACTTGCCTCCCCATGCATTGGGGGTATGTGTCTATATCTCCGTTTGCGCATGTGGCTAATATCTTCTCTTAGGGCTCGCCGCCGCGTTGAGGAGCGGCTGCTCTCGCTAGTGCTGCCTCACGTCGAGCGATTTGCTGGAGAGGACCCTGCAGCAGCAGCAGCAGCAGCACGGGGAGCAGCAGCATCGGCTTCCCGCGGAGAAGAACGTCTGCCACACGAGTGGCTGTCTCAGTGCGAGCAACTCCCCAGCCTGCTGGCCTACGCCTCTCAAGTGGCCGTGTTTGCTGCTGCGTCGGTTGCTGCAGTTCCCAGTCCGTTGCTGCCGCAGGAAGTTGCAACTCTCTGGAAGCAGCACCACCAGTTTCAACTGCTAGAGCGCCGAGCAGACACAGATGTAGCCACCGAACTACCACGAGCAGCCGTGCGCAGAAAAGGGCCTGGGCATGGGCTTTCTACAACAGAGCTCCAGCAGCGTATCGGAACGGTGCTGCAGCAAGTAAATGCTTCTTTGTTGCTGCAGCAAGACACCTGGTGCCGTTTGCGGCGTGTTATTCAACACGTGGTGCAGCAACAGCACCAGCAGCACCAGCAGCAGCGTGCGCAGCTTCGACACGTACCCCACCTAGCGACATCATTAGGGGCTAGTGCGGACTACTCAGGCCTCTCCCCTAAGTCTGCTGCTGTATCTGTCCCAGAAGGTTTAGGCGACACACACCTGCACTTGTTGCAGCCGCTGCTGCAGGTAGTGCACCAGTGCAGCCGGCTTTCTCTCGCAATCTGCGCGTGGGGTCATTTCGAAAGTTTGGCCTTGCAACAGCTGCTACAACTCGCCGCCGTCGCTGTGCATGCCCTGCTCCCCATTGCAAGTCTCTGGCTACAGATGCAGCAGCAGGCGCTGCGGCAAGCCGCAGCGAGCGGAGGCACTCATCCCCCCATGCTGGTGCAGCAGCAGCAGCAGCTTTCGCGAGCTCGTGCTGCAATCGAGGAAGCCACTGGCGACTTGGGCCTTGTAGTCTCTCTGCTAGAGGCCTTCTGCCCCCAAACCCTTCACGTAAAGGCATACATATACACTCGCTTCTAATAAGCGCCCCACACCAGGCCAGGGTGTTGGACGCTGAGTGGAGTGCACCGCACGCATGTTTCTTTCTTTGTTCTTGGATATGGACGTCGTGCCCCCGCACACTTCTTCTTCATCTCCCAAATGCATGGCTGAACGCCCTTGAGCAAACGGGGGGAAAAGGGCTTTCAGAAACACGCTTAGTGAACGTGCTGCTGCTGTGGCTGTTGCTCTTCTCGCAGGGGCTGCTGAGGGAGTCAGACATGCAGCAGCTGCTTGTGGACTGTGACGCGCTGCTGGATGCAGCAGCGGCAGCTCGTCAGCACAGTGGGGTGCTGCCTCAGGCTGCTCGTGCTGCAGCGCATCCACAGGGCGGCCTTGATGATGCATGCTCTTTCGTCGAAGAAACTAAAGCCGCAGACGTGAGAGAAGCGCCTCCAGAGGATGATGCTCTGGATACAACACGGGGAGCAGAAACGGCATCAGCAGCTCATTTTTTGTCAGCAGCAAGCGCACCAGAAGCGCAGGCGGCCGCAGAGTCAGAGACAGCAGATGCAGAAACAACCCAAGATGACGCAATGTCGTCAGAGGAAGCAACCGCAAGAGCGAGCAACAGCCGATCCGGCGATTGGAATTCCCTAGAGGCAGAAGTTGTGACAGCCCTGCGTGTGCTGCTGCCAGAGGCCGAAGGCCCCCCTGCCAAGGTGTGTTGCTGCCTTCTTGAACTATCACTCCCTTCAATTGGCGGTCTGGGGAGGGGCGTATAGCTCTGTTCTCGGGCAACACCCGACAACTGCACACTGCATCTCAAATGCTGGTGAGAACGTTGCCGGAAAAAGCCTTCTTAGAGACATACTTGACGGCGTCCACCACACAGATCGGTGTGCTTGCAGGCTGCACACATAAGGCTCCGCGGCGTCGTCGTATCTACAAAGACATCTGAAGGCGAATCGCAGCGACAGGCACAGCAGAGACCTTTGTTACTGGCATTTATTGCTCCCGCGGACACCCAGGGCCGTCGTCAAGGAATTCTACTGCCGAAGAAGTTGTTGCAGCTCTTGGTTCTGCGGCGGCTGGGCTGGGAGGTACGCTATGCTTCTGTTGCTCAGTTTAGTAGAACTCGAGACCTTAAGGCGAGAGGCTAGGTGCCTCTCTCTGCCCGCATGATTTGCAACTCATGGAGAGAAAACTGGTAGCCTGCGAGCGTTTCTCTGCTGCCTTTCCAGGTGCGTCTTGTAAACCTCTCTGACTGTCGAGGTAAGGGCCCCCTAGAATTGCAGCAGCTCCTCGCTGATATTTTGCACGCTGGAGAGAATTCCTCATGTCTGTGGGATCTTCATCATAAGGTCCAGGGCGGAGGCACCATAGAGTCTGGTGGTCTCCCACACTCTCCGTCCAAGATGTAGACGCTGGTCAAAGTTTCGTGTTTAGGGTGTCAAAGAGACACCCGCCTACTCTGATGGTGTATGTATGGAAGGGAGCACCTCTAGCAAGTCTGGCCTTCTTGGCTTTTGCGGTGTACGTATGCTCTTTGAGGAAATGATAGCACCTCTGCTCAGTTCGGCTTGTTGGACCTTAGCTTCCTTAGAATCCATCTAAGATCCTTGTAACCCACATCTTCCCTCTTTATCACTCTGTCATCGACTCCCTAACAGCAACAGTGCGGGGGACAGCGAATTCTAGAGAGTGAGAGAAGCAGGGGTTAAAGTTTCTGCGGAATGCAGATTGCATACCATAACCAGCGCAGTATGTGCCGTCTGTTGACTTCTTTTTCTTTACCTTTACTCATCAAGAGAAGGCACGTTTAGAAGGTGACTTGCTGTAGCTTTGTGAGGCGCCGCATAGGGTGCGTCTCCAATCTGAAGTGCAGGCTCAGCCACTCTGAGATTGAGACGCTGCAGTCATTCCCCTTTTGGCCCCTCTGTAGGCATCTCAGCCAGTCCACCGGTGCTCTACTGACCACCTCATAATTGTTGCTTGAGTCCACAAGTTGCGAGGGTGGATCTATACACGTGTTTATGGCTAGATTAGCATCTTACTCTGTATTACTTACGTAAAGAGCAGGTGTGTCCAGAGCAGGCTTCTGAGAAAGAATTGCCTGTTGGTGACCCTGGTTATTTACACTGGGGCTCATCTATTTGGCAACGACACTTTGCATGAAATTTGTTTGCTTTTCCCTCCTCATCATCCCAATTTTCAAGAGCCACACGGGCGACTGGCCACGCTATGCCTGGCGATCCGCGTCCCCAAACGTGGGCATTATTTTGATACAACGTACATCACCTTTAAATATTCAGCATCGTTGTGAACTTTCAGCCTTTAGAAGGTCTAGGGAACTGTCCCTGGGTGCCACTGTTAGTGTACTGTGGTGCCACTGTTAGCGTACTGTCGTGCCAGTGAGGGAGAGCAGTAGCGGCGCTAGAGGTAGCTCGCTGCGTGGTCGTCTTTGTTTGTTTCTCCCCCAATTGATCCTTTTTTTGCACGACTGTGATCCTCAATCTATTTAGCCTTTTGCTGTACTTTCTGGCCGTTTATTTCCTTAGAAGGGCCGACGCTTCGGTACCCAGGCCGTGAGCCGCTCAAGTGACCTCGAGCTAGGCACAAGCCTGAAATCTTCGTGTACTGTCCTTGAGCATAAACGCCATTTCAGCCATTTCGACCTCTTTGAAGTTTTATTTGTAAACCTCGTTTATTTGCTCTCGTACCAAAACGCTGAGAATCTAGGCCCACTCAGAACTCGAAGATACATTCCTGACACCACCTACACCTTCCGAAGATGTTTATCCTGTCTCTCCTATTGTTCATTTGTTTCATCCCTATCCTCGTCATTCTTTTTGTTGTTCAGCTAGTCTGCTTCATCTTACGATGCATCTGCTGTTGCTGCCCATGCAAGGCTGTCTGCCACTCCCCCGACACCCTGCATGCCGCCAAACTCCCTGGGAAAGTAGGCGGTGGATGGGGTTGTTGCTCAATAAAATATGGAAGTGATGTTGTATAATGGGATCTGATCTGCAGCAGGATATCTCAGGGCATAGCCCTCTGGGGCCATTGGGAGTGAGCGACGCCGTGCTGTCGCCTTTATTCCAACCCCTCACGCACGACTCGGACTCCAAGGAAAGCAACCCGAGGGTTCAGCGCCATGCGGGCCTTGCATCTATGGCCAAAGAGCTGTCAATGTCTCCTTTTCCTCAGTGCTATAACGTCCCCCACTATAGCGCTGCACGGCATTGTGCAGACGCGAAATTTGAAGTTACTCATGGGGTGTGCTCATCAACGAAGGTGTCAAGTTGCCTCACGAACAAGAGTGCTTTGAAATATATTTGACTTCAGTCTTGTGACCCAGACATGGCTTATTGGCCAGTAGCTGCAACGGGGTGTCCGGGTGTGATATTTGCCCTGTGTGTGCTAGCTTCTCATTTTCGGAGTTACAGTGTACCAAAGGCGCCAACGGGAAAAGCTTAGAATATCTGGGTCCAACCACTACCCTTAGATGGGAGAGGCATAGGGACTGTCACATTCAACCCACGATGCCATTGTAAAGACACTTCACCCCAAGCAAACTTAATGGAAGATCATTTCCGGGGGAACTCCTTTCCCTTGCCACCTCGCTTCACAGTTCGGATACCCTGAGAGAGGGTCAGCTATGATGGATACGTCCATTCGATAAGACCAGCTCACTTGCACTGCAACGCTGCGGCTGCCAGGACGCACAGTTCTGCATGCGGCATATGTATGGTATCGCTTCACCAAGCATAGATACTCCGAGCATTTGACTTGCACTTAACATCTCGCGCACACTCCCACAGCATTGCCACTTCTTTTATTGAGCCAGAAGCATTCCCCAATAAAATGATGTACAAGCAGTGAAAAACAATTAGTCAATTCTTTAACAGCTCTTGGATAAATGTAATGTAAGTGTAGTAGAAAGCGCTGAAGAGGAGCCTAGTCGGCTGCGTAGAACCCTATGGTGCTACCGACTGAAAAGCTTTACCTCTGGTCTCTCTAAGGAGACACTTAACTCCATATTCATACAAGCTTGGTAGAAACATATAGTCTAGAGTCAAGTGTGCCCCTATGGGGCTTTAGGTGCAGAGTAGCAAAAACCCCACGAACCCTATCTGACTCTCGTTTCTCGTTGTTGCGGAAGGCTGTAGAGTGAAGAGGGCAGGATGCGGTAGGATATCTTTCAATGGAGCTGCTCAGAACTTGGGCTACATGGTGGTGGTGGATACACAACTAAACACAGCAGTAGCTATAGAAACAGGTAGAAGAGCAGATTAGTGAGCAAGTAGAGGGGCATGTAGAGCTTCAAGCCCAACAAGAACATAGGATTCCACAGCGAAGCCCAAACCAGTACGAGTGTGGCGTCCCGCATAACTGCTAAGGATGAACAGGCACAAAACCTTATTCAGTGTGGTTAAGGTAAGTAAAAACTCATTCTCTCGTTGCTACCTGATCCATTGCTTCAAGGTGTGAAAGTATTCAGCGGCAAAATCATTCGTCTAACTGACAGTCCATAGGCAGTTGGCTTTCATGGCTTTGACCACTCCGTGCATTACCCTCACAACACCTTCCCTTCATGCGAAAATTCATGTCAATCGGTGCGAAACAAGCGTTCGATATTTTAGAAAGAATCTATTAGATCAGAATAGCGAAGACTCCACTCCGGTTAGGGGCTGTACTCATCGGTGGAAAGCTTTTGCATGCGATGTATCCAAGTGGAGATCGCACGTGTTGTAGATTTGTGATGACCCATTCCCTGTTCATGACAGCGTATCTTTGAATCAATTTTAGATCGGCTGCACAGCTACTCCCAGGAAGCCTCATGGGAGGAGAGTGCTGCACTGGTGTGTGCCTCTTCGACGCCGTACCTTTTCTTTCATCTCCTGAGCTTTTCGTAGCTGTCGTTGGTTGATCACCATTAAGCTGGCCCCTGCTGCTCTTCAAAACGGCTGCGCGCCATTCCATATCTCTCTCTTGCAGCCCTTGTTCCGTTAGGGCGCTGTAACTACCTCTAGGTTACAGTGTGTCCACCCACAATTCCTTTCTGTTCTGCTCGAACTCACCCGTGGGAATACTTCCGCACTCCCGTCTCAGCTGTGCCTTCTAGTTCACTTTCGTTCAGGTCTGCATTCAGAACTGTGCTTGCCCATCCTTGCTTCCAATGGGGTGGTGCCACACCTGCATGCAGAAACCGACCAGACATTAGTTGCCCTGCAGCTGCGAGTGTTGCCTCCTGTGTGTCGCGCCAGCTCTTCAGCTGCTTCTCCTTGCATAATTGCTACTGCCTCCCTCCTGTGTAGCGCTAGGACCCCACAGACAATGGAGTCGTTCCTCGAGGGCTTGCCACTGGGGGTGCGCGTCTTTACCGCCTCCTCTGCTTTGCTGCTGATGGTTGGCAGCATTGCGACTGTGGCTGCACCCGCGAATTACACCAATTGCATTGTCTCTATCTATCTCATCTGCTTGGCAACCCTTTGTTTGCTCTGTGAATTTTCCCCATACGGTCTCAACGTTCTTATGGGAGTGTGCCCCCTCTTGGGCGAGTACATCTTCAGAGGCATCCTGTATATCCTGTAAGGCAGTGTGAATTTCCGCAGTCTCCATGCTCTGACCCTCTCTAGCGGCGGAAAAAAATAGACGAACCTCTGTCTTCCCTTTGCATTAGATTTGGGTGCCTGGAGGGCTGGTGGAGGGGCACGCACGGGTTGAGTTTGGCGGGAGTCTCTATGCATACAGACAGGTGTGTTTTCAATTGCGAGAGGTGTTGTGTTCGATAGGGTTGGACTTCTGCCTCTGGGAATTGACACCTTGGGCCTTTGGGGTGGCATTCTAATGATTATCTCGGGAGGTCTCAACATTCTCATCCACGCTCTACTTCCCGTGCACCCGTACGTGTTGTATGGCCGGCGATCTTCAGACACTGTGGACGAAGAGGAAGCGCGATTTCACGAGTATGCTGCTCCCGAAGCGCACAGAGCGCCTTTAGACGAGGCTTTTAGACGCCGGTGTTCTGGGCACCCAGTGGGGTTGGACGAAATCTTTCGGGGGAACCAGAGGAGCATGTATCTTTCTTTTCGCCATCCCTTTCTTGATGGAGCTAGGGCTCACGATGAGGCTCGAAGAAGTGCCGCACTGTCTGCAGACGGGGGGCCTCTTCCGCGAAGGGATAATCACGAGGGCATGGGTGTTTTTTGCGCGCGCTCCTGCCTCTTCTGGGTATAGTTTGTAGACAGGAGGCACACATAGGAGGGGCCGAGTCAAGGTGGACTTGTTTCGGGGGTGTGGCCGTGTTGTAGCGTGCAATCGCATGGCCACGGTACACCTCTAGCGTTCGTGAACTCGAAGTGCAGGAGAGCCTCTGGGGAGCTGCATCCTACGAGTATTTGAGGCTGCTGCGTGTATGTCTGAGTATGTGTTGTCTGTTTTCTCAGCGATCCGGAAGCGGAGGAAGTCAGCGATCTGCGGTAAAGGGGTTCTAGGGCAGAACCGCCGCGCGGCAGTGCCAGGGGCATGACGGATGCGGCAGAGACATTAAGGCCCCGTTTAGAAGAATTTGAGGCCTCCTTCCAGAGAAGGCCTTCGAATTTTCCCCCCCCCTCTGGCCTCGTTTGCTGCAGCGAAGGTAGAGGCCTCAGCAGCACGTTATGGAACGCGATGCTTGCTCTCCATGCTTTGATCACCGCAGCCGGTTCGCTGAACTGAGACGTATGATGCAGCAGTAGCAGAGTGTGGGCCTTGTGCTCGCGACTCTACAGGGACAAGCGCGAAGTCAAGTCTAAGGAGGGACCTAAGAGGACAAGGCTGCAGCTATTTGCATGCGCTGCGCCATTGTACATCTTGGTGAAGATCCCAGTATATTTATTGGCAGTACGGAAAGCGTTAAACATAGCTATCCACTGGGACGCCAACTACAGAAAGTCCTCGACCGCAGCGGCAGCAAGAATGGGGGTGGGGCACTCGGTGCGGTAGTTTTTGCAGCAGAAAAAGAGCTGATTTTAGCTGGTGGAGGGGTGCGGGGCGGCATATTGACATTTACTGTTGGGGTTTCTTAAGTGAGGCATTCTGGTAGCTCCGCCTGCCAAAGAGACTGACTAGGACGGGCGTGTCATCGTCACCCTCTATGTTCCCTAGCAACTGGCGTCCTGGGACGGCAGCTTGTGTGAAAATTCAGAGTGATAGGTCCACAGAGGGAAGCAGGATAGCCTTAATGTAGTGAAGCCGCCTCTTGTGTCCTACCTTCACTCTTGTCGATTTACCAGTACAGGAAGAAACGGTGCTGGCCCTGTCGAATTGAGTGGCTACAGCTGTGCAGCGTGCAATCTTGAAAAAGGCCCCAGTAACAGAATTTCTATTCATGTACACTTCTAGGAGAGAGGCGTTAGCAAAGGGGCCGGCGACAGCTCTGGGCCCACATGGAAGCCTGTCGTTCCAGATATAGTCGTAGCGGAGATGAATGCCACCGTTAGATTCTCAGTCTTGGGAGGCAGCAGTTAATCCTTATCAGGAATGTTCAGCAAAAGCATTGCTGCTGTGATTGACATGAGCCTTTCTTCTAGGGAGATCGATATCTCCCGGTTGCCTTGATCCTTTGAAGCACGGATTCTCGTAATATTTGAGGGAAGAGGAACGAACATGCGCAGGTCTACAATGTGAGAGCTGAGACAGCGCATGCGCTTTGCAAGCCACATTAAGATATTCATACTGTGTATTGCTTCCTTTCCGTGCCTCACTGTATTTGTTTTACATGTTTGCGGCTTCGCAAGTGGCTGGAGCCATGGACATTGTGCACCGTCTGACTCGCACCCTTCGATTGAAATGTTCGGCTACCACGGTACACTGAGTGCTTCTACACAGAACTATATGCCTCTATGGTCTAACATACTTTTCGAGTAATCGTCTCCACATAGGGCAATATTTTGAGTCCGCTTTTGCCTGCCCTTAGAGCGTGTGTGGCGAACCAAGTCACCGTAGTGGCTATGTGCACCCCTTCAGCACCTCAAATGTGCTCGCAATGATCCAAACGGACTGCATCCGTGCCTTTGTAGTGCCCATATTCTCGGGAGAATGACCAAGAAGGGAGTGCTTTATGCTGGGTGCGAATTTTGTCCATTAAAGCCGACAGAAGGAGTCTATTTTCAACGATACTCCATTCAAAAAGGCACAGCGACAAAAACATCGCAGCGCCTAGAAGTGTGCATCCTTCTGCCTGCGTTGGCTGTAGTCTGCGCGTGTCCTTACTTTCCCAACGGTGTCTGTACTCGTCTGTGCTTCTGTATCCCTCGACGTTCGCTTTTCATGGTTTCCTTCTCGATGGGCCTTGCAGCCACTCCCTTTTGAAGCGGCGATGATTTCGCGAAGGCCTGCAATTTTCTAGTCATGAATAACACAACACGGGGACAAGGACTTTCCTCAACTCTCCAACGTTATCCAGTGCATTTGCAAATATGTTTCATCCGCCTTGCAGTGGTAGCATCCACAGGCTAATGGTTTATCGCTGAAGAACCGTAAATATGGCATGCTTCTACGCCCTGTTACACAGAAATTTCAATGGAGCTCCGCGGGGGCGGATAAACGGTGGGAAGCACTGGAATACGTGTATTACTGGTAACGGCACAGTCTCTGAATTCCTGCGCAATGGCTGAATTGTGTGGAAGGTCTCCACTTATCACAAATAAATAGGTATTTTAGCTTGCATCCGCACACGGGCTAAGGAAACGGTGCTGCTGTGCTTCACATATCTGCTAACGATAGACCATTGGTCGGAGATCGGTCAGGTTCAGGAGCTGACACTTGGAGCCAGTAAACTGTAGAAATGAGGGGGGTCCTGCTTCCACTATTTTCGCAGTATGTTCATTTCGTTGCCAATGCTTCGGATTTTACTGAACCAAGTAGAAGTACACCCGTGCACGCACCTACCTGCCAAGTAAACTAAAAGGCATACGTGCCCCCGCTTTCGGTCTGCTCGGAGTCACCGGGCTCCTGATGTACCGTCAAGTTGGTCTTCAGTCAATTGTGAATAACGGCCAACGCTCCAAATTAAAATCTGATGCAATACTTCAGGCGCGATAATGAAATATGTATGATTGACCTGCAGTATCGTTGAGGGTTTCCTCTCTTAACCCTTATTCCATACTGCCCCTTCCAGCCCTACGTAGCTTCTTTTAAATTTAGGATGCTCGTGCATTCGGGCTTCTCATTGGCCGTTCATTCTTCTTTAGACTATCGTGAGAGCTACGGCTTTGAGAGGCTCGCCGATCTTATGCTTTGGGCAACAGTTTTCCAGGGGGGTATTCATGTTAGGTACATCGCCGCCAGTCTAAAGAAGGCACTTGAGAAGTCAGGTGTTTCCTAAATGCTGCGCCAGAGGAGCGATTTTATCGAGATGAACCATTCAACACGCTGATTGATGCAGTAATGACCAAACGGACGAATTGGCGTCTGCGGCTCTCACGGAAGCCAGCGAGGTGATGATTCAGAAATTAGAACAAGCAAAAAAGTACGCCTTCCTCAGATGCATCTCTGGCCTAAGTGCCCTCAGGGAGAAAGCCGAAAGCAAGGAGGCCAGGTGAATGTGGAAGATTCTATGGCGCTGCTAGCATGCGGACTTTCCTGCAACTACAAAAGGGTTAGGCGCTCAGCGTTTTGATGCAAGACACAGTTCGAAGGCAGTTCATTACTTGTGGGGGCGAGCACTTGTTCTATGCTACTCAGCATTTTACCGTACAGCACCTCTTCAAATTCCGTGTAATGCCACTGCTAGGCAGTTTCACTAGTAGCTGACTTCTCATCATAGGAGTGATGCGATGGCCTGTACAATACATCGCCACGCAATGACTACTCCAGAAAGATTCATGTGTCCGCCAGTATTCATGCCGGTGTTCTTGCTGCCACCCCAACAACTATTTTAAACCGATGCGCTGCTTGTTTCAGGGAAGGATGCGTGCGCAGAAGGGCAGGGAGAGCCGCACTCGCCAGATTTGAAAAGGGCTTCCCAATACTTTTCCCATCCGTCGTTTAAAAGAGACGGCTCACTCTTTTGGGTGCGACCCCCACCCACCACATGCCCTCCAGGGCCCTTTTTTACATAGGCCGACCTCCGCCGTTGAAAGATGTAGTCACATGGTCAACGTCATAAGCACTGTTGTCACATGAAAGAGGAACGGAAAAGGCAACAAAAATAGCAAATATGGGAGGCCCCCCTTGCCTCGAGCTCATTCCTGCTCCTTTTCCTTGCACCCCATTTGACTCGGTAGCAGCCCCTTTTTCTTTTCCTGGGAATAGTGTAGCAAGAGTCTACACCTCTATCGGCTAAGCTCCCATGCGTTTTCGATCTAAAAAGGACCCCTAAGACACCAGTCAATCAACCGGTTGTCTAAAAGCTGCTTGTGCATTACTGTCGTGTGTCTCTGCCCCTCTGCCTTTGAGTCCGTTCTGCGGGTTTGAAATCAAAGGAGCAAGGCAGGAAGACCGATGAGCACCAAAAAGCAACAGACTTCCACGAGGCCCTCTCCTTAGGCTCGCACCCGCGTCTTGAACACAATACCGGCTCTTAAACCGTAGGGATCCATCCCATAAGCACCAGACACTTAAAGCCAAGCAGGAAGACACACCAAATGTTTGGGGGAGGAGGGCCACAGGGCACTGCATTTTTTATTAGCCCCTGGATTTCTTCTAGAGTCCTTCTTCGCAGCAGACAACATTAGAAACGAGGCAGCACTAGCAGCCACCTCCTGCTCCTCCACTGACAGCAGCCTCCCACAAACGCCAATAGGCAAAGCCGGTTGGGGAGACGGGCTCGATAGTGCGCGTCTCAGTGCTAAGCGAACTCCTCCTAACGGCATCACACCTCAAGTCCTTTGTGCGGTCCTAGATTGTAACCGTGACGTGCTGGTCAGCTTCTTGTTCAGGATCAGGACGAAGGTCTCCCCGCGCAAATCTCTCTTCGCTATAGAACTTGGCCTTAACTGTGCGCCCTCCAAAGGCGCGGCCATTGAAGGTTAAAAGAGCTCTAGTGGCTTCTTCTTTGCGTTCATATTCACAGAAAATTCGGACAGCACAATCATCTGGGACGCCAGCAGCTTCGAAGATGCGCACTTGCAAGAGATTGCCCAGCTTAGCTGCCTCCTCCTCTGTTTCTTCCTTCAAGTCCGAGTCTACCTGCCCCCTCCCCACCATATTTAGAAGCAAAAGAATGCGGGTAGGCGCCATGTTGAACGTCACGGCGCGCGGAAGCTGAGCTAAAGAAGTGACCTCCTGGCCCTGAGGGGGTGAGTAAGCACCAGCGGCACAGCACACAAACACGCACGATGTATGCGTGCTTTGATTAAGCGCTAAAGGTTCGTTGCCATCTAGTCTTTATGAGGCAGGACAGGCATGCAGGCCACGCCTGCGTGTTGCTTCCACAAAGCACCACAGAAACAAGCCAGCAGCAGGAGCCAACAACCACCAATACACATGCGGAGTCAGTTAAACGCCCACTACTGTATCAACAGACAGACAGCAAAGGCAGTATAGTTGCCCCTGCCCTCCCCCGGTAAAACATATGCCGAGCTGCTGTTCCCCTTTCATGGAGAGAGCAAAGGTCACAGAGCATCATGAGACAAGCATCCACTACAGGGCGAGATCTAGAAATAACGGGGCGAATTACTAAATGCACGAAAGCAGAGGAAACACTTCTACTAGATACGTAGGCTGAGAAGACGGCAACAAACAAAGACACCTTGAAGAGAAGCAGGATGTTGAACCATAGAACAAGTCCTGAGGCTACGGCGGTACATTTTACGGCCATCGGTCTTCGATACAACCGACAAGGTGCTCTAAGGAGAGCCGCACGAGGCAACAACGGTAAGGAAGGGAGCAGGAGGGCAATCACCGAAAAGACGCAGAATTGCAGGGAGGCTGGCTGCTGGCTGGCCTCACACATCCTCAAGTTCAACTTTGGTCGCAGCGAGTGAGAACAGGGAAAGAAGCGCACGAAAAGGGACCACAGTGCAGAGCACAGGTATACGGGGAGAACTAGACGCGCAACGAAGAGCGAAGGAAGGGCATCCATGCCATCAAAAATGACGGCAGAAAAGGCAAAACTAGAGTTGGCAGCAGTCAACGACCGCCCCCGTCTGCCCGCCACTGCGCTTACTTGGACGATAATACCACTTCTCATGGCCGTCTTCCGTGCGACAAGCGGCGCTGTAATGCCCTGTTTGTTTGCACCGAGGCCTTCTCCCTGCTTCCACCCCATCTTTTCCATCATGCGAGCTGCAAAGGTCTTCTTGTTGGGGTCGATGTACGAAGGCAGCACAGGCGCTTGCGGCTCTGGGGAGGCGATGGCGTCTGCGCCTTCAGTGCCTGGGCCTGCACGACACAGAAGATGCAGACGGAGGCTTTGCAGATCTACTGAGAGAAAGACAGGAGAGGAAAAGCGACGCAGCAAGGCACTGCGCACGTGACGGCAGAGCGTTCCCCGACAGCCGCTGCTGCTTGCGTAGGCACAGCCCCCGCAAGAAGCGCACGAAACTCTCCCGCCAACAGACACGCGCGGGAGAGGAGAAGCAGCGCTAGTACAAACACCTGAACATGCAGGGGTTACAGCGGCAGAGGGCGAGCTCGCTTGAACCTCGCCTACACAGCCAATACACATGGCCCGACGTTCATCCAGATGAAAAAAACGATCCACGGGGTAATGGGCACATGGAAAAGACGGAAAAATCAGTGAGCAAACCAGACATCTGTCCACTAGACGGGGACGCACCACTACGCGCAGTCTCCTCCTCTAGTTTTTGCTTGTCAAGTTCCTGCTGTCTGAGCCGTTCCAGCTCTTCCCTCTGTTGCTGCCGCATTTTTTCTCTGTGGATGGCTGTATAATCGTTCGGCTTCGAGGGGTCGTACTCCTGAGGCCAAAGCCCCACTGCAACCCACGTCGTTGGATCTAAGGGAGTAGACCCTCCAACGGTTACCGACAGCACATTAACGATCGGCTCTGAAGAGCTGCTGCTGCTTGCTTCGCCAGCGCCAGTCGCCGCTTTCGCTGCAGTGCCTGAGGCGCCATCTGCCCGCGCGCCAGAGGCATGAGCTGGCTTGTGATCGTCAGCGCCAACGACACCCGCATGCAACTTCTTCAAGCGCTCTAGGACGAGGGCTGCATCCGCAGCCGCTGCCTGCACGTTCAGCGAAGGCGACGGCTTCGGAGCTGTCTTCGCAAGTGTCTGCCTGCGAACTACCGCAGGAGTCAGCAGCTTGAGGCGCTGAGCTGCCCAGACAGTCCCGCTGCTGTCCGCTGTAGCAGCGGCCCCTGATGCTCCAGCACCGGCAGCAGCAGCTGCCGCAGCAGCAGCAGCTGCTGCTGCCGCGCCGGATGCGCCGGGAGTTGAGCCTGAAATGCTCGCAGTTGCTGCTGAGGACGCAGCGGCTTCCGCAGGATCATCTGGATCGTCGTACAAAGATCCTAACAGCGAGCCGCTGGGTGCTGAAGGAGTGCTGCTCTTCGTGTCTCCCTCCTCCCCCTTCGACGGGGGCGGCAAGTCTCCGTACAGAGAATCCAGCATCGTCGAGATGACTACCGCCAGCCCCCTGTCACGACGGGTCGGGGTGGGGGCAGGGTGGTAGTGTGGCCTCTTGGATTCTTTCGCTGCGAGTCTCTCCCTCTAAAGAAGGCAGATAAGCCTGCACGACAAAGCCCCCGCGCGGCGGCCAGCAGTCCCCCAGCAGCGCCCCCGAAATGCGTTACAGATCCAGAGAGAAGTCCGCATAGATCTGCCTCTTGACGTGCGTTACGTGAAGCCGCTTGTCACCAAGAAAGGCGTGCCCATGCATGCGTTCCGCGGTTGTGCGTGTCGCAGGCAGGAGGCAAGACAAAGACCTCGCCTGGAGGGAGGAGCCGCTGAAGAGAGGCTTTCAGAGCTCGTGCTTGGGCCGTCATTCAAGACGCTACTACGCCCACCACTGCCTGTCTTTCCTGTTTTTTTCCCAGCTTGGCCGTAGGGGGCAGACGGCCTTCGGGCCTCTTGAGGAACCACTCAAAAGGCGTGCCTCCTCTGAAGCCGGGTTCGTCACGAGGACGGCAAAAACCCAGACGATATGGCGTACAAGGGTTCAGAGGAAGCAACTCAGCACACACATTAGGGGTGCAGGGAGGCGGAAAGCGGAGGAAGAGGCCACACCGAGCTCCTGCGTGGGCCGCCAAGGCAAAACAAATGGGGAAAAATCAAAGAGCAAATGACGGCGGAGGCTAGAAACCGACATTCGCAGAAAGCCCCAGACATGTGGACTGCATGCACCCAGCCCCAAGGAACCGCGACCGGCTGCGTTTCCTCTCTGGAAGACTTTCTGAGAATATCGCCTCTGAATGACAGCACAATCGCAGTTTTATCGGGTTAGACGAATTCTCGTTGCGTGAAAACGAGCTAACGTACTTCTGTCTGTCCTGTTGCTGGTGGGGAGAGTGGGGACGATGTAGGGCACAGGATGCAACACAGAAAACCCCCATTCCCCGGGCGTTTCGATTATCGGAGGATCCAAACTACGTGACTTCGCGGCTGTGGTGTTTTGGGGGTGCGCGCTACAGTGGGAGCCTTCTGTTTCATTGTTCACCCATATAGAATAAGTCTGCTGTATGTGCGCTTCTGTGTATTGGAGAAGAGGGGGAAGTGCATCTAGGGGCTCCAGAACCGTGGTGGTGGCTGAGCATGAGGAAAATTAGGGTGTGAAGGCCAAGCATTTTAAAGCAGCACAGGGGAGGCTCAACGCGGTCTCAGCGCTTTGGACCCTGAGCGGGCTAGGCTACACTCTAACATTCTTAGCCAAACTATTTATATTAGCAAAGAATCTGCAAAGAACTGACTCATTGATTTGTCGGCTCACATAACGCTTTTTGGAGATTAACGTGGTACTGTTAGCTCGATAGTGTAAGACGAAATGTTTGGTGTCTTTGTGCTGCATGCTACGTGCAAATGGGTGTGAATGCGTTGGAGTGCTTTGAGGTTGCATCTATGCTCGTTCTAGCTGTCCCTTTCCCCTTATGTCGGGAACCCCGAGACACGTGGGCAGCGAAAGGCAAAAGGTCCTTCGGAATTTCTATCAAACTTGCAGACGGAATGGAGCTAAATGCCTTTGCCCGGAAACCGTAGATATAGCTTCGCAGTTGACAACACAGAATGATTGGCTTCAGTGTTTCCCCGTTCATCTACTGCCTGTCGATGCAATCGGATGCCAGGCTTATCTTTACCAGTTGTCCGAATCAATTAAGAAATCATTGGGTGAGAAATAATCAGATATGCTTTGTCAACACATTTTGAGAAGCGCCCCCTATCGATGGAACCAGGCGGTCACACAACGCCTGTTGGGGCGTAAGAGTCCAGCTCACAAGCCAATATGAAGGCATTAGGTCCACGGCTGCCAGAAAGGCATGACTTTCGATAAAATATTTATCGATGCGCCGGGGAGGCGATACCGACTAGCAAAGTATGCAGGCCGTAAATGGGGCAACAACTCAGAGATTTCATGAGCTATTTGGAGATATGTCTCGCCCTTTACCACAGCATGAATGCGTGCTCCTCGAGACACATGTATTGGAGGGAGAAGCTGTGCACTAGTGGCTCTGTTCATGCAGAGGGCGTTGCTTGCCTGCTTGGATTACTACAGTTCAAGCCTTCATACAAAACCTGAATCATCACTTTGTGCCAAAATTAGCTCAAGAGCACACTCTGGGAAGACCGAGAAAGTTGGAAAAGCTAGGGCAGAAAAAACAATATCAGTATATTGTTATTTCGCGATGTGTGAATCCTTGATTTGCGAAAGCCACAGCGTAGATTACCAGCCTATGAGTAATTGTCTTGGGTGCACCTAAAGTGTCACGCCAGATTGCCGCAGAACGGCCAACGATTTAGCAACTGAGCAACTGTCCGTGGGGCTTCCACGAATGGCGTACTCGAGGTTATGGGAGCAAATGAGCGCATGTTATATGTTGGCTTAAAGGGAAGAGCCAAGTTGGATTTGGAATCAATTGCTGTAGGGGTTGTGCCAACTAGCCTAAGCCTACAGTCTCCGCTGAACTTCGAAAAATCAGGCTCGCTCTCCCAAGCAGTCCCATACACCCCTCCCAACAACGCACCTGCTGGGGTCGTACAACTCGGAAGGGCAGAGGCATGCAAAATGCAAAACTTTTGAAACGGGACTGAATGCAGCGGAAGCAAGCTGAAGGAAGGGGACAATGAGGGCGGATCAGGGAGAAGGAAAGCCCCCACGAAAGTTGCGACCTCGCGAAGGAGGCTACAGAGGATAGAGCCGCAGTTGGGAACCCAAATCAAGTATGCATTTATGCAGCTGATAATGATATTCAAGACTCTCGAGCGCGACTTAACATGGGAAGTGGAGTGATTCTATTGGCCGAGGGCACGGCGCAAACGAGCACTTTGCCCCTTCACTAGGTAGGACAGCTCTCAGGACTCGGGCTTACTGACGGTCATCAGAACACAAGGATCAACACGGCTGTGGCAAATAAATGATACTTTGATTGGGAATAGGCTCTATCAACATCGTCTGTGACTTTTATGCTGCGTAATCTGAAGTATGCCATGGCTGACCCAGTGGAAGGCGCGCGTGCGGCCACACACTACTAGCTGTGGAGCAATAGCGTGTCAGTAAGTGCTACGAAGAAGCAACTCTTGGTCTTCCCGATAACACTGATCTCCTTTGTGCTGCTCGAGGTAGAGTTGTTTCACCAGTGTAGCGGGGCAGAGTCTCCCTGCGGGCAGCTAATTAGGCAGTGAAAGGAGACAATTCTGAGCGTGCGTACAGTTGCTATGCAACTGCGTCTTTATGAGGGAATTATGTTTAACGTTCAGGCGAGGGATAGAGTAGGCGAATATGCAGCAGTTCTCAGAAGTGCTCAACTTGACTAGCTGCCAGCAGGCTGGCCACCTGCTGATTGCGCACAAAACCGAATAGAGCTAGCTCCTGGCTGAGCCTCATATTATGTTCGAAGATATCGATGTCCTGGTCTACGTAGGAGCCTCTATCTACTCTGGGCCTGGACCTGGTGGTCCAGGGTCCTCAGGCACTATAATCAGCGAAGGGATCTAGAGAGCTGCTGGCTAGAGGGCGTGAATTTATGTTCGAATTTAAAGAGACAAACGCACAAAATTTCAATAAGCGGCAGCTGGTAGTGTCTTTCAAGCCTGAAAATTTGGCCTAGGTAGATCGGCAAACTTTAGGGGGTGTCCCAGAAGGGACTGGAAGAAGTTTGCTGCCAGAAGGCCGGAGCTATTTGCCATATTTTCATGAATCAATGCTCCATTTTCCAATAATTTCCCTACAAGTTGGAAAACCCTCAGAATGATCCAAATTGTCTTAAGAAGTTTCAAAACTTTCCGAGATTCATTTGCGAACTGTACCGCGCAGACAATTGACTCGCATGGAAGCGGAGGATTTATATGGGGCCGAACAATTGGTAAGTTCTAGGAGTACTGAGCGCTTAGGAGACACTACGTGAGGGTTTCTGGTGAGAAAGCGCAGGAAACGCCAGTCCCAATGGTTGACGGACGAACAGTTTTGGGCTTTGCTGCCTGCAGAAGGACTCGCGGCTCTATTTGATGAACAACGCTCTGCCGCCATAGACCTTATTCCCCGCTCCACTTGATATATGACTTTCTGCAGGTCATGCTTTGCCTTAGATTGCTTCTTTTATCTATAAGTATTGGTTTTCATCTGTGCAATTATTATTGCTGAGATGTTTTCTACACTTAGGTTTATTCTCAGGCTTTCTAAGATATGTTGTGCGTATATTCTTCATTACGCTTTTGCTGTGGCTCTGAAATCGTTTATGCTGCACGAGCTGCCCGCATATGCTACCAGAAATTGAGGCACGGAGTCACTTATGACGAAAGGTGTATTGGATTACGCATGCACTTTTAGTTTGGCCTTGTTTTCTCGTGAGCCGGGGACTCGCGCGTTTCAGCACACGGACGACAGCGAGTCATCGTGCCACCATAGTAGTCATGCAGGTTTGGTTCCACATTTGTTGTTGATGAATGTGTGCGTCATTCTTATCGTCGATTCTGCCTCTACTGACTGATGCATAGTAAATTTGGTTTCCTCATATGCACGGTTTTCGCGTTTCTGCCTGCTTGGAGAGTGGCGATAGTGCGGATAATCTTTTGCTGTCCTTTATGCAGTTGGTTGCGACACGGATCTACGGAAGAAGAGAGCGTGCATTTTAACGCGAAAGGGGGATATGCAATGGGCTATGCTATAATCAAGCATTTTTTGCCTAAATATTACTAGTGTAGTAATATTCAGACAAGAATTGACAAAGAGCTTACCAATGGATTTACCTGTTTGAACATCTTATTATAGCAAACAACTTTCAGCTAGATACAAGAGAGGCGCTCCGTTGCGTGCATCAGCGCTAGTTGTTGTGTGTAACTAGTCGGAAATGCTTGGAAAGCTTAGAGGGTGCAGCAACGTGTGAGCTAGCTGTCCCTATCCGCGCACGTCGGGAGCTGTGAAGGACACAGTCAGGGGAAGGCAAAATTCTTTTATGCCTAGAGCACTCATGAATTTTCTATTATGCATGTATTGAGTCGAGAATTAAGCGTCAGGAAACGTTAGATTGAGGGTTCCAGGCTGTGTACCCGTTGACCTATCTCCGAGGAGAGCAAGCTAGCTTCGGACTACACAAGCCTCCTAGAAATTCAATGAGTATTCTTCCAAAAGACTTCGCATCTTCCCCTGCTCTCGCGCCCCTCGAATTTTTAATGAGGAGAGGGCCGGCCAGGGTGCGTGTAGCTGCACAATCTAAAGTAACCCGAGCATTCACAGCTAGTTGCGAAAGCATCTTTGTACCCGCTCATAACAGTGCGTCCTCCTTTTGTATCGAGCTAACGGTGCTCTGCTCTATAGGACACACGAACAACCAGTACAAATAGTGAACCATTTACTATGAACTATGTCTCAGTAGTGCAGTCGAAAGTGTGCAAGTGAAGCTACTGGGCTTGGTCAGTACGCAGCGCCGGCATGTTTCCCCATACGAGGACGTTGCTTCAGGCCTCATCTGCTTCTTGTACTTTGGTCCCCCATTCTGAGTGCAAGCTCACTCCAAATGTCGGCGGCAATGGGCTCGAAAGCGCGTTCTGTGCCGACAACTACAGGAAATCAGGGCGCGTAGTGCTTCCCAAGAAGCTCGAAGGGTCGAGCTCCCTCGCCAAACGATAAATGGAGTTCTTAGAGGCATATTGGACGCTATGCCACAAAGAATCGAGGCGCACTGGCAGCCCTTCCTGCTGAAGCCGCTACAGCGTACCGAGAGCAAATTCGTTGAAAGCCTTCAGAGTGGTCACCTGCCGGCACTTTGGAAATTCTGTAGGTTGCTACGTGTATTGACTTGTTCCATCAACTACTAAACCCCCATCTAAACAGCCTAAAGCCTATACCCTAAGCCTATACATCCCAATCCCCAAGCCCTTGGGGGCCCCTGATACTTTTCCCCTGGACCTGCCCCCCCAATTGACACATCCTTGCACTCGAATGGCAAGCCCACAAAGCTTTCGGGGTTTCCGAGGCTACGGCTAAAGAGACAGCCACCCGCACCAGAAGAAGGCGTGGCATGCAGGGCCCTGGCACCTAGCCAGTTATACAGAGGCACTGCGAGTCAATATAAAGCTGTTTCTCAGCGTGAGCGCCGACTTATTACTACAAGGAGTGCGTAAGCCATGACAGCCTAAGCATCCCCGAACACTAAACTCTTGCCTTCCCAGCACCAGCAACAACCAAACGCCACATGTATCTGTGCATGCACAGAAAGTACCTTTACGGGGCGCCTTGGGAGCCCAGAAGTACATGTGTAGGGGCCTCCTCTCCTTTGCGGGGGCCTTCATACCCTTACCATGGATACCACGGCTGCCCTTGCACGGGGGCTTTCAGAGGTGTTGTTCCCAGTCTTCGGGAACCTCCTCCTCCTCCTGAAAGTTAAAGCATGCAGCCGTAGGAAACAATCGCCCTCCCTACCCGTCAATCTGCATGATGCAGGACGCAAGAGAGCCAGAAAGAGGCCTCATGCCACGTGCTAGATACATACCCACATGATAGTAGAACCAGGGCACATGCAGACACCCCCAGACCCAACCACCCCCATCTGCAAACCCATATCTCCACAGTCCCACCCACCCAACCACCACCCACGCACACCAACCCAATCACCGACCCAACCACCAACCATGTACACCAACCACGCACACCGACCCAACCACCACCCACGCACACCAGTCACCAACCATGCACACCAACCCAATCACCAACCCAACCACCAACCACGCACACCAATCACCAACCCTGCACACCAACCACCAACCCTGCACACCAACCACCAACCATGTACACCAACCACCAACCCTGCACACCAACCACCAACCATGTACACCAACCACCAACCCTGCACACCAACCCTGCACACCCACCACCACCCATGCACACACAAACACACATGCACTGCTTCAAGTGCTGACAACACTCACATGCATTGGCTCAGGTGCAGCGTCACGCCCGTCCTCTCCCCGAGCGCTCATTCCACCGGATCCGAAGTCCGCTTGGAAACCTTGCGGCATATACGCCGACTTGAGAGCCGTCGCTCCACTGGTTGTTGCCACTGCGCCTACACTGACACCTGCAGTGGCGCCCACACGGGGGCCGCTGGTGGACACGGGGTTGAAGTTGTATGTGGGAACTTCCAGATAGTCGTTGAGCCGCGAAACGGGGATAATAGAACGCCTGACACCACGAAGAAAAACCGTCGCAAACACACAAGAGACACCTCCTGAGCGACGGGACAGAGGGAGGGGAGAGGGGGGCGGAAAGGGGAAAAATGAACAACAAGGGGTGGCAGAGCAAAGCGGCAGCACTACCTCAAAAGCGGGGGGGGGGGGCGCGTAAGCACGAGCCTGCTAGCTGAACATGCATTGCCACAGAGGCTTACTGGCTTCCAACCCAAGAAATCCACGGCCTCCAGTTAACAGTATCCGCCCTGTGTACGATTGCAAGCGCCGCAAGAACGCATGTATTTAGCGACTGCCATTCTTTTTCCCTCGGTTTACAAATGGACGACATGAACCCCCCTCTACTCCACACAGACACACGCGCGCGCAGTTTCGACACTCGTCGCCAAATAACACGCAGCACCAGCCGCAGAAGACGCCGAGAGACAAAAAGACACCCCTGCACCCTCTCTTTCGCGAGGAGCAGCACTGCATGCCTGCTCGTGCTTATACCCATCCCCGCTGCACAGAATACTGCTAAATACTCCAGCCGCCTATTCTGGAAACTCCTCTCTTAAGATGTTACCAGAGAGACAATTGATCCCCTACGACGAGAAGCCCCCTTCTGGCCCGCGTCAACATCACGTTGAGACGTCTCGCGTCTTTCAGGAACCCAATTTCGCCTCGCGGATTCGAGCGAACCGCGCTGAAAATAATCAGATCCTTTTCTTTCCCTTGAAATCCATCAACTGAATCCACATCTATTTGGTAGCTTAACGCCTTGTCCTGCAACCACACAATACAGCGGAAGCCACATCTCCAGCCGCAAATTCTCCCTGCCGCTGTGCTTGTCTGTCTAAGGCACTCTCTCCTCGTTTTCAAGAGTGCGCGTGCCCCTGCCCAGATCTCAGATCCACCCCGTCGCTGCTCCGCCTTCCTTCCTTTCTCCTCGGAGAAAGCCTGCCTGCCTGCCTTCCCTCCCCCCCTCCCCCCTCGTCCTTCGAACCCTGAGCTTCCGGAGAAACACACTCTTGAGTGTCTATATATATACATATACATATATACCCCAGGCAATGCGACAGTCTGCCTCCACACTGCGATCTCGAAGGGGGCAATCCCACTCTGCCGCTCGCGCTCAAGCTCCCTCTTCAAAAGACCAAGCAGCTTACAAAGGAGTCATTCAGTGCGAAGCGGATGCGGGCTTTCTGCGCATCATACGGCGTAAGAATACCAATCTCGCTCGGGCGAATGGTGCCACACTGCAATACGGACCGCAAAATCGCCAATATAGGGTCGATTTCCCTGAAGCCACACACACACACACCAGACGGCAAGCTTGCGAGCACATCTCAATCACGCCCGGGCAGTGCTAACTGAACATTGGGAGGCCCTTCATTGCAGCCGCCGACTTTTAGTGAGCACAGTGGAGATTTCCTGGAAGCGCAGCAACTCTGCAACGCCCCTTGAGTGCAACGTATTTCAGACGTCGCGTCTGCCTCCTCAGGAAACCCTGTTTAAAGATCCAAGCCACTTCCAGATTTCCCTTTTCTGAGCACTGACTGCTAGAAGGGAAGACAGGGAAGAAGAAAAGGCCTTTTTGCAGGTTTCTTTGGCTTGCACAAAGAGGCCTCTACTGCCCTGCCGGCGCTCCACTAAGAAAGCAAGAGCTAACCTCCCTTCAAACAGCCCCCCAGGCTGTCTCCGGCAAGCACCCGTAGGCACGTGCGAAGGAGCACCTTGTTCGTGGGAGGCTGGTGCTCTCGTGAAAAGCTTCACAGCCTCCCTCCCTCCCCTTTGCCCCCCGGCAAAGCAAGCACGCGGCAAGTAGCAACCAGGTGTCTGCCTCTTGCTGCTGCGCAATCCTAGAAGTGTGGAAGGCAAAGCCGACTTACACCAGGCTGTACTTCGATGTTCCCAGCGATAATTCCATGTTGGCGAGGCCAGAAGAGATGTCTATGAGGCACACGCGGCTGTGGGGAGAAGGCCAGAGAAAGCCTGCGACGGGAGGGCGATTGCAATCATCCACGTCTGCAAAATCACAGAAAGCAGACGCACGCAACCGTAAGCGGCAGCAGCGGGAGCACATCATACAGATATCCACATACATACATACATACACACATACATATATGCCACAAAAAACACATTCATACATAGACACAAATATATACATACACATACGTGCAGACACGCACACATACACATACACACCGAGACGTATATACACACATACATACACACAGATACATACATACATAAAAACATAGGCATACATACAGATATATATATATATATGTAAATATGCACCATTGCCATACGAAAGCGACACTTTGGCTGAGAACGAGAAGCGATACACACATGAAGGGGCATGCCAGAGGAAGGCATCCGTGGGCAACAAGGCCAGAGAGCGATATATATATACATATATACATACATCCATCTATATATATATATGTAGATACAAAGCATAGACCATGTGTGAAGAGAGGAGGCGGCGTCAGAAAGCGTCTCAGGAAGAAGCCCTGCCACGCCACATTTTGACCTTTACACAAAATACCAGCAGAAAGCTCATCTTACCTCTGCTAAAGATTTTTCCCTGATAAAACTGCATATTTGGGAAATGTGCGATGCTGGGATGCATCCGCCTCTGCTCGTTTAGAAGATGGATCGGTGCAATGCCGCTCCCTACAAACCGTTCTAACAGAGAAACTCCCAGCCTGCCAAACGCGCAAAAGACCAGAAAGCGTAATGCCTATGCTTGAAATATACATATTTATACACATATATATATATACATACGGCAAAAGAATCCAACAACAATCAAGTAGAGAGAGCACGTGAAGGGGAAGAAACTGGTATCTCCGAAAATGCGCAGAAAAAGCGACGGCATCGAGGCGCTAGTATGGACAAGGAAAAGAGTTGGACCGTAAGAAGTCTTAAAGATTACACAGCGGTGAATGTGTATGTATCTATGTGTACGTGTATGGGTGTATGTATCTATGTGTATGTGTGGCTGTACGTATGTGTGTTTGTATGTGTATTTGTATGTATGTGCATGTATGCGAGTCTGTATGTATTTGTGTGCATGCATGTGTATGTAAGTGTCTGGCTCGGGTGCGTGCAACGACATCTGCTGCACGAGTTGGCATGCAGGGAATTCAAACTATTAGACGAAAAGAGAGGGCCCCATTCATCAGCACACTTTAGTAGCTCTATAAATCCAGCAGCCTACGGCAACAGCAACAAAACACCCGAACGCGGAGAACGACATCATAACACCCAGCAGCACGAGAAGCCGAGCGAAAAAGCAGCAGGAGGAGAGGCCAAGAGGAGACAGCTCACAACACACGCAAGTGCGAGAGCTCGTAAAACATCAATCAAAGCTTTTCGTCAGATGCAGGAGACACAGCAATATTTCCAGACAGTGCTCTGTCTGCTTGCTTTCGAACGCTCACCCCCCATCACTGGCTTCCCGCGAAACTATGGTAGGTGGCAGCTGTTTGTGATCTCCGATAAGGACGACCGACCGACAGCCATGCCCCAAAGGAATCAAATTGGAAGGCTCTGCGAGGCAACACATGCGGCAAAGCAGGACAGAGCGGCAGCAGCACTCTTGAAGGGTGATGGTCTCTCGCTTCTTCGGCAAAAAAGCCGCATGCTGTCAAGAATGCAACTAACAGCGCCTCGCCTCGCCTCGCCTCGCCAGCGGGGGCAGCCGACCGATAAATGCCCAGCAAAAACAGCACCCCACGACCGGCAGGCCCCGAAAAAACATCCCTGCATGCATGTGTGCATGTGTTGTGTATGCATGCATCCCTGCATGCATGTGTGCATGTGTTGCGCACATGCGTGCATCCCTGCGTGCATGTGTGCATGCATGCATCCCTGCATGCATGTGTGCATGTATGCATTGTACTCACCAATGGACTGCGCGCATTCATCAATTATAACGCGTTCAAAAGTGACGTCGTCAAACATCTCGTGACCACTTCCGACGCAAGTCGCAATAATGACGCTATACTTCCTAACGGCCTCCCTGACGAGCAGCATGCGGAGGCTTCGCGCTTCTCCAGAGTTTTTGTCTCGCATCCTTAGGAGATCTCGATACCTCGGGAGATCTGTAGGCGAGAATTGAAATGAAAGCGAAGAGACAAGAACCAAACAAACAAGCACAATGCACAACAGTGAAACACACCCCTTTCTTCCACCCCCATCAACCCCACCGACACGAAAAAACTTTCATGCACTAGAGAGCTCCCCAGAAATCGTCAAGACACACAGCCAACCCAGAAAAAAACCAAAAAACATGCACACTCTACGCTGGGACCGTCCGCATATGCATGCGCATTTTGTGGCAAATTCTATGAACAGCCGCTGAAAGCACCTTGAATTGATTCTTCCTTCAGATCTGACTCGCTGCCGCTGCCAACGCGCACACTGCGGATGCCTCGGTTGCTCAGCCCTTCCATCAAGTTATCCGCTGCACAGTCACCACGCAAGAAGAGCAAAAAATCCAAGTTTCATCGCAGGAAAAAAGAGGCAATATGAGAACCTCGACAACACGAGAAAGAGTTGCGGCAATACATACACACATATACACACAAATACACACACACTCATACACACATACATATACACACAAATAAATACGCATATACACATATACATACAAATACACATACACACATGTACATACATACACATACACACATATACATACAAACATTTACACACATGTACATACACATATACATATACACACATACATGTAAACACACATACATACATACACATATACATATACACACATCTACATATACATACACATACATGCAGCCCCTAGGCCCCCTTCGCCAACGGGCGCCTCTAGCTAAACGGTTCCCCCCAAGCAGCAAGTGAGAAATATACCGTCCGCAAGAAGACGTTTGCACACACACGCACATACAAAAGACGAAGAAGTGCTGACCTGCGACATTGGAATCAGCAACGGCTAGAATCTTCTTCGTTGGATTCAGCCGCTGCCACGCGTCGATGATTGCACAGGCTACATGCGTCTTGCCTGTTCCGGGGGGCCCTGAAGTGCGCAGCCGCAGCAACACCCAAAGAGAAACAGTTTATTGTTCAATCTGAGAGACACAAGGGGGGCAAAAAAGAAAATGAAGAATTTTGAGGGGGGGGTAGTGCAGCAGGGGGAAGAGGACGCAGGAGAACGCCTCTTCCAAAGCGCAATAAGTCTTGGAGGAAGAGGAGCAGCGTCAGCAGCAACAACACAAGGCCGGCAACAAGAAATCCCAGCGTCAGAAGGAGTGACAGCAGCCCGCTGCCACACACACAGTCTTACAATGCATCACTATGCTACACGCCGCCTCCTGCGCAGCAGTTATAGAGGGGCAGCGTGTTAAACAGGTGTAATGTGCTGCCTAAGGAGAAGTCTGCGTCGTGCAGTCTGTGTATGGATGTATATGTATGTGTATGTATGTATATGTACATATATGTGGATGTATGTATATGTATATGTGTGTGTATGTGTGTGTATGTGTGTGTATGTGTATGTATGGACGTATGTATGGACGTATGTATGTGTCTGTGTGCATATATGTGTGAATGTGTATGTATGTATATATGTGTGTCTGGAATCGACGGCAGCAATGGGAAGCTACTGTCTCGACGCGTCTTACCTTGCACAAGCGTCAGTCTGTTTGTCATAGCGCTGATAGTTGCCTGCCTTTGCGCCTCGTTGAGAGGCAACCCCGTCGGAAGTCTAAAGCCGTCTGCCAGCATCTCGTGAGAGTCTTCCATGCTGCTGCGGCTGGAGGAAGGAGTCTGACGACGGGCCTGCATGGCCTACCACGGCAGGAAGAGCATACACCGCAGGGATCTGAAATACGAACGGAGGCAACGGCTATGAGGGGCAGCAGCGCCAGAGACGCCTTGCGTGGCAGCTGCGAAGGTAGAAAATCATTCTTCCCCACCCCCCGTCATGCTGGCTGGCGGGAAGAAGGGAAAAGTCAACGGAGAAGGACGCCTTGAGGCGTGCAAGAAAGCCGTGGATTTTTTCTAGCAACGGATACTCATCATATGGAATGTAAATTATGAATAAATATGCATGATGTACATAAAGAAATATATCATAAAATATATGCAATACGCAGCATATCTACGGTGTACACAGATCCATGATGAGCGCGCGAAAAAAGCAAAAGAAGGGCTTTTCCACAAGCTTACAACTTGTTGCAGAAGAGAAGATTGTACCCGTTGTTTTTTGCAGGAGTCGCCGTCAGCAAGCTCATCGAGTTGATGCAGAGGGTTGTACTGTTGAGGATCCGTGTCGCTCAGCTGGGGAACAGGGCCCCCTAAGAGGCAGCAGCAGCAGCAGCAGCAGGGGCAGAGAAGGCGCATGCCAACGTCATCCACGCATGCTGTATGTGTAGGCAGAAATGTGCCGGTTTGACAGTCTATGTGTATGTGTGGGTGTGTATATGTGTGTGTGTGTGTGTTGCTCGTGGCGAGGATGCTGCAAAAACAAATGCAGTCAGATGTGCAGCGTACGGCCAGAGACCTTTTCCGCAACGGGTTCACTGGTGTGCAGCAGGAGGTAGCGGATTTCCGGCGCGAAGACGTAGGGAGGGGGGGATTTCTGGCATTTTGGAAGACAACAGCGCAAGAGGCACATGGGGAGAAGCTCCCTGTATACAGCATTCTACTGCATTAAGAAGCGCGTGGCTATGGCAGCAGCCTGAGCGCAAAGGTCTTTCCAACATGCATGCGAGCTGCGCTCGTTAGAGGCAGAGACAGAACATGAAGACTGTTTTTCGACATACGCCTGCGGGATGCTTGGACATGGTGAGACCTCTCAGCGCCTGCACCATCCTGTCATGTGTTACTGCCGGCGTTAAGTAATACAGCTTGAACTTGTTGGAAGCTGCGAAGCCAACGACACTTGCAGAGACGAACGGAAGGTGCAGCTCAGTGGAGAAGGGGGGGAGGCAAGAATGCCGATACACCAGCGCGGCGACAGACGAGCTGTACTGCGAACGGCCATGCATTTCGTGGTATCCTGCCTGAGCGTCTCGCTGCTCGCGAAAAGAAAGAGAAAGTTTCTCGCTCTCCTCCCTCCCCCTCGAATGCCCCTGTTGAATCTGATGCTGCTACGGTAGAAGCAGTAGTAGTGCTGCTGCTGCTGCTCAACATGCAACAGCAAGGAGAAGACAGGAAGGAAAAGGGAGAAGCAAAGAGGCCTTACTGAAAACTTCCGGGTATTTCTTAACTTCTGCGGTCGCCACACGGATATTGACATTCATAGAATCTGAAAAATCTCCCTTCACGCTGGTTACAACACCAACAAAACATCGTTGCTGCAACCACACACAATACGCAAACATTGCCGACATACCGCTATCCACAAACACACAGAACGCCGCAAACGACTTTTTTGTACGCAGGCAGGGCCCTCTGCGCCTCCTCAAAAGGCCAAGGAAAAACACCGACCACCTTTCAAAACACAAAAAGGCATTTTCGACGGCAGCGCCCCCCTTCTCCCCCCGACAACAATGCATGCACGTGCTGGAAAGCTCAGAGCCTCAAAATCCAAGGCTTAAGTTTCTCCTGGTGTACCATCTTTCAGGAACAGCGAGCGCCTCGGCTAGCTGCACCACCTGCAAGAAATGCCCCCCCTTCTTCCCCCCACTTTCCCCCTGTACACCAGCTGCAGCTGCTGTACAGCTGCTGCCCTTCCCTGCACCGTCTCTTACCCAAGATTCCTCTTCAGTAAACGTATGCGTGTCTGCAGGACGAAGCAGTACAATATCATCTTCTCTGAACTGAACGCTTCTGAGGAAAATACGTTCCTCCTCTGCAGCAACAACAACCCCCGCCGCGCAACTCTCTGATGTTTCTTTTTTGGCACCGCTCAGGAAGCCGGAAGGTGGCCGTAAGAAGGAGCACAAGCATGCAAAAAGCATCGACCACGCGATGCAAGCAACAATCAAAGCCAAAGACACATCTTTCATCAGCCTCGCCAGGACGCAGCTGCTGCGCAGCCAAATGTGCTGCCCTTTCAAACCAAAACTTTCAAACTGCCCCCGCCCTTCTGACTTCAGGCATGCCTCGAAGGCAGCCGAAATCGACGCACGCGACGCTTCGAGTGCCCCTAAAAAGCCTTTTCCGCCCCCCTTCCCTCCGCTGTACATACACCTCGCGAGCACACGCGCCATCGCAGGCCCCCACGACCAGCCCCCGCGCAGCTTTTTTCTCTCCGCCGCTGTCGCCTCAGCGTGAAAAAAGGCTTGCCTCTAAGAAACGTAGAAAAAGAGAAAACGGGAAACGTCGCCGCTTTGCGAGTAAGCACAACGTGTTTCCCTTCCCCCAAATCCGCGAAAGCTCTCCTGTCACTGATGTTTGTTGCCACCTGCGCCTGCCACTCCAAAGCCAACATAAGCCTGGGGGCATACATATATATACACACACACATATATATATACTTATATATACACACACAAACACACATATATATACATCTACACAAAACATGTACATACACAATACACACCATACGTACAAACAACCTCTGCAAGCCGCGAACAGAAATACAGATCTTCTATTCGAAAGGTCACCACTAGCCAAAGCACGTCAAGCTAGACACGCCATAGGCGGCTTCTGCACCCTCTTCATCACTAGCAGGGATGCCTCAACAAATCGCGACCGCAGCTTGGAAAAAAGCGCAACCCCTTTTCAAAGAAAAACTACGCCATCAGGCATTGCTTGTATGTACGTATTACAAGCAAGCACGCATACATACCTACATGCACACATGCATGCACACATGCATGCAGCAGCGGCAAGGAACGGAGGGCAGCCTACCGATAGTTGTGGAAGTACCGCATCGCCAGTGTGGATGGGAACCAGCTGCTGTCTAGCGAAAGGCCTCCCAGCTCGTGCAACACTGACTGCATGCACGCGCAAGGCAGCCATGCAAAGCTTCGCATTTCCGCCAAGTATCGAAAGGCACGATGAAGATAAGAAAACTAGTTCAAGCTTATTAAAAGACCCCCCTCTAAAAAGCAATCTTTCGCCTGGCCCCCCCGCACCAAGAGCTTCCATCCACCCTTCATTTCCCCCACCATTTTCCCCCCCCTCCATTTCCCTCTCCCCCCGCAAGCTCCAGCCGCGCGCATGCACCTGTCCAAATTCGCAGTTGGTCAGGACTGTACATTCGTCTAGAAGCGTTTCCCACAGATCGGGAGGCATCACTTTAGGAGCGTCATAGGAAGACTTGACAGGTTCCTGTGTAGATACACCGGAGGGGCCTTGGCCTGTGGCAACGTCCACCATCCCCCGCCGCAAAAACACACCCCCCGCACATATTTAGACACACGCACATGGAGGAGAAGCAGCTAGCAGCCAGACACACCTGTGTATCGAAGGGTGTGTGAGGCATGCGCGGCACTAAAAGGCTTGCAGTCGGGTACACCCGAGAGGAAGCGTCACATGCGCTGCTCAACGTGAGAAGCGGGGGAGAAAATCTAATCACGAAGACAGCAGAAGCCGCATACGCGAAGGCTAAGGAGTTCTGTAAGAAAGACAGGGACGGCTCTTTCTGCCCACCTGCTGCTTCTCCCTGCGCTGCAACTGCCACTGCCGATCTGGGTGCTGCCTGCATCTTGAGCTGATCAATGAGAACGTTCACAAGTGACCTGTTGCCTTCTGCCATCGCCGCTCTCCAAACAACGGGTAAAAACAAACGCCACACAGCCCCTCGAGTTTCCGCGATTAACCGGCATGCACTCTCCACGTACAACGCTAGGTCCTACAACGGAGCACAGAGGGATAACACAATGCAAATGCATTCATGCATGGATGCATGCAGAGATGCAATCATGCAAAGATGCAATCATGCAGAGATGCATTCATGCAGAGATGCAATCATGCAGAGATGCAATCATGCAGAGATGCAATCATGCAGAGATGCAATCATGCAGAGATGCAATCATGCAGAGATGCAATCATGCAGAGATGCAATCATGCAGAGATGCATGCAGCTTCAACCCCCCCTTTGCCCCCCACCACCCTTCCCCCTCCCCCGTGTCTCTCAGCGATGCCCCTATAGCGGAACGGCACCTCACGAGAGACGCGGGAGGCGTGTATGCACCATTACGGCAAAATCCTCTCTGCCAAAGGGGGGAGAAAGGGAGGGAAAAAGAAAAAGCCGCCAGAAGGCCGTTAATGGCATCAAAGCAAACTGCTACTTCCCGCTTGCATTTTGCAGCACAGCCTCCTCCTGCATGTATATCTGTAAATATGTATATGTGTATCCCGACGTGTTTCTTCCGCCTCCACAGTTTAACCCTTCTTGTAGGCACCAACAGCGTCCACCCCACGCACAAACCCCCCACAATGGCTCACCTTTTTGTTCTCCACGAGAGCGACAACTGCCATAGCGGCCTGCCTGTCTTTGTCCTCCACGTGCTCGATGAAGCCTGCTGCCTGCATCATCTGCATCGCTGCCTGCGCACGCGCGCCTGCCTTTGTAGAGCCTACTGCCTCTATCACGTGCTGCAGACAACGACAGAAAGAAGAGAGAAACTCCTTTTACACCCACACGTTAAACTGCTTACGCTGACACACAAAACGCGAGCCTAGAAGGCGAGAGAGAGTTGGAGGGCCTCGCAGAAAGGGTTCAAATGGAACTAAAAAGACTGCAAAAACATGTATATTTCGGTGCAAAACCATGTATATTTCGGTGCAAAACCATGTATATTTCGGCAGAATTTCCTTTGTGCTTCCTCCAGCGCAAAGGAAATTCAGAAATTCCTCCTCCCGCAAAGAATTGCCAAGCTATCCGTATGCGTATAAACGACGGTTTCTTCCCGTGTGCTCTCCTGAAGAGGAGCAGCTGGTAGTGTTTCTTCCTTCTGCGGGAGCACTCGCGACTCTCCGCTACGCATGCATGCCTCTAAAACGCTGCTCTATGCAGCCACCAAGGGGCCTCTAGAAGAATAATGCGGGGCTTACAGAATGCATTCTTCCGTCGTTCGATTTCCATTTCCACTCAAGAGAGCACTTATGCCCTTCAGACGCCTCCGTGATAGTTTCGGTGGCTTTAATCTGATTCTGTGCAGTTACGGTGTTGTGCAGCATGTTGATCTCGCCAGCCGTGTGTTTAGACAGCTGGGAAGGACGCGCAATCGGACTGCGATGCTCCTGAGGCTGCTGCTGCTTTCTGCTCTTTGAAGCCTCAGCATTCAAGACAGCCCGTCGGATCGCAGCTTTTTCTTTCAACTGAGAAGCCGCAAGACACACGGAAAAAAATCGCTTCGCTGCGAGGCTCCTAAACGCTCACAAAAGTGCAAAAAGAAACACACAACAGGTGGGGCACGCCACAACAAGAAGTACAACATCCCCTCCAAGATTTTAAGGCCCTCAAACGGATAGGTGGAGAATCACACTCCTCTCCCCTGAAGCCGAACAGCCAACTCCAGAGAGAGCCACACACACGCATGCTGCGTTTGGCTGTTTAGCCTTGTTCTACGACGACGGTGCTTGCCCAAACACACACACAACAGGTACATGCGCATATACATATATTTACATATATATAGATATATACTCCAATCCCCCTACTCCTACCCCTCGTAATACTAATATACCCGCCACACACACTTCCTCACCTCCTGCACGCGAATATACATATCCTGCATGGCAGCAATCTCGGCTTCTGCCGCATGACTCCCGCTCCCCGTAGCCTCCACAACTTGCATCTCGCCATCCATCAAGAACGTCCACTCAAAGCTGTGCTCTGCAGGCAATCCCACCAAAGTGCAAACGCCCCAGGAGAACTAATGCACACTGGCTTTCTCAAGGCACATAAAAAAAACACTCCCCCACTTCCCCACATACATCCAGCAGCACATGCCACTCTAATGCGAAAGCGGAGACGCAAGCAGCAGCTACGAGAGACAGGCACAAAACCACAAATACAAAAGCCACTCGAGAGCTTCACCTCCCTTTCTCCCTCCCCACACCTGTCCACCTCTGGCAACGCATTCCCGCTGCTGCCTATACTCCCCTAGTTTCCCCCCCAAAAAACAAAGCCCATTCCTACACTCAAACAACGAGAAAAGTGCAGGCTGCCACAAAAACTCTACTCACGCGGTCTTGAGGTTGGAATGACTCTCTGTTTTGCGTTCAGCTTCCCTCGCAGCGTGTTGAAGATGACACGCGTCATTTGCTCATATTCCTGCATGTAGCAACAAAGCCGAAGCTTTCCTATGATAAAGGCCGTCCTTCCTCTGTCTCAAAAAAAGGCGAAATTGCATCCTCTCAGCCCTAACACCTTTTACCCCTCCTTCTCTTCTCTCTTCACCCCTCCTTCTCTCCTCTCTTTACCCCTCCTTCTCTCTTTACCCTCAATCTCTCCTCTCTTTACCCCTTCTTCTCTCTTTACCCTCAATCTCTCCTCTCTTTATCCCTCCTTCTCTTCTCTCTTCACCCCTCCTTCTCTCCTCTCTTTACCCCTCCTTCTCTCTTCTCTTCACCCCTCCTTCTCTCCTCTCTTTACCCCTCCTCCTCTCTTCTCTTCACCCCTCCTTCTCTCCTCTCTTTACCCCTCCTTCTCTCCTCTCTTTACCCCTCCTGCTCTCCTCTCTTTACCCCTCCATCTCTTCTCTCTACCCCTCCTTCCCTTCTTCCCTTCTTCCCTCCCTCTTACCTGAGCGGCCACAGCTCCCAGCTGCAGCAGCAGCGATTTCACTGCCTCTTTCTTTGCATCCTTCTTCGACCGACCAATGCCAGTTGCCTTCATTTCTCTCCCCCGCACTGTCCACATCACCGTATGCAGAAATCCGCCGTTGCTGCCTCCTCCAGGGGCACGTTCGCAGTGCTCCTGCACGGCTGGCTTCGAGAACTGAAGACACACAGGCGAGCACACAAAACACAGAAAAAGAAGACACTTACACCAGCCCCTGCCAGCCCAGAGAGGCGTTCAAACAGCCACACACACAGCCACTCCCAGTGCGGCTGCCGACAGCCACCAAGAGACAATAGAAACCCCCTCTTTTGCAGGCTCCCCCCTCCGCAAAGAGCGAGAGAGGAGCGCAGCGACACGGAGTCAAGGAGGGCTGGCTGGCGCTCTGCGGGGTGTTCAGAGCTCCTGCTGCTGCCACCCGCATGCCTGCCTGCATGCATGCATGCATACATGTGTGCATGTGCATGTGCATGCATACCGTCTGTCGAACTCCATAAAAGTGCAGAATGAATTCATCGTCTAGAGTCAGCCTATTGAAGGCTTCAAGGCCACGATCTCCGAAGAGAACGCTCGTAAGAACATGAATGTCTGCCTTCCCAGGCGAGGGGGAAGAAGAGGCTTTTCCCGCATTCCCCCCCCCCTCCTCTCGACTGTGTGGGGGTGCAGCTGCAGAGGCAGCTGCACCTGCAGAGGCGGCTGGCAGCGGCAGCGTGGAAGGCGTGAAGCTGGGAGGGTGCCCAACTCGCTGCTGCAGGGAGGAAGTATCCGCATCCTGAGGAGGCGTCGGAGTCGAAGGAAAAAGCCCCCCTCCTCCCCCTCCCCCTCCCCCTGGCTCTTGACTGGTAGGAGGCGTCTCTAGGCACGCCCCCGCGCCGCTTCCCCCCGTTCTGAAGGAAGCGAAGTTGCGCGCGCCTGAGAAGCCGTGGCGCTCGCTCGCGGGAGGAGAAACGAAGCCAGCCGTCGAGGCTGGAGGAGTTGCAGCGTCGGGGGGGGGGGCGCTCCTTGAGAGGCTCGAAGAGCCTCCTGCGCCGTCTCGCGGAGCGGAGCGACGCCATCGAGAGAGAGGCCTCGCCATGGCGGCAAATGGGCAGCAGCGGCTCTGCAGCTTCTGCCTTGGGCAAGCGCAGCAGCTGCCGACGTAGGAGAGGCTGCGAGAAGCAGCAACGGCAGGCAGCACACAGCGGTGCACTTCACCTGCTTGCTCTGCGGGGGGGGCCCCCGGCAGGCGCAGTGCCTTCAGGGGAAGCGGGAGGCGTTCGAGTGCGTGAAGGAAAGAGCTCTCTGAAGCTGGTCGTGCGGTGGCACTGCGAGTGCTTCTGAGGAGTAGGGGTCGGGGTGTAGCGCGGAGCCGCTTGGGGGGGAGGAGGTGGCTGTTGGAGGGGCCAAGGAGGAGCCTGATGTGGAGAGCGTGGCTCAATAATACGAGCATCACGATCACACAGCCGCCCCTGCAGAGAAGAGGAGGAACGCTCTGCCTCTTGCAGGGGAGAAGCAGAGCAGCTAACTGGCAGCGAGCGCCTTCACAGATAGGAAAACCCCACTACCCCGGAAATTGCCTTGTAATAAGTTCTCAGCCCTTGTGGCACCTGTACTCGCGCACGCCTGCGAAAAGCGAAACAAATGAAAAGTATTTAAACTGAAGGAGGGGCAGACGATGGCCCTTGTTATCCCTTCGGGCATAACGCGGGAAATTCTTTGAAAGCCCTACGCCTGCGCCGGGTAAGAACGCGGTAGCGGCTCCCTAGGCATCCGATTCTATTAAAGCCAAAGCTGGATAGCAATAATAAATAGGAATGGATGGATAAAGAAAATCCTAAAAGCATCCACACAAAACCGTTCCTAGCCCTTCTCAGAGGCGGCTCCCACGTGCTGCAGCGCTCATCGGTTCCGTCTGTCTGTTTGCATGCAGCGCCGTCCTACGCGCTCCCGTTCCCATATAAAACGCTTCTCCCTCTATTAGGCTTTTATCTTACATAACTCGGATGAGGGGGCCACATACTTCCACTCTCGTCGAAGGCCTGAGCTCCTACAGACAGACACGTATGCACATCTCCTACCGACGCAAGGCGGCTCCTTGTGCTCTGCAGCCCTGCCTTCCGTTAGATGCAGCACGAAAAAATCACTTCTATTAGGGTGTAGGAATAGAATCGAATGCAGCTGCACTGCTACAATGGGGTCCAACAGGGGCACGCGTGTCGCCAGGCTGCCTCTGGTCGGACATGTGCCTTTGAAAAAACCTAAAGATACATCCTTAATGGGTGAGCGCCAAGCCTAGTCCTTCCTGTGGCATCCTTCGCTACGGCGCTGTAGACAGACGCGCCAGTTCAACTCCAGCATATCGGACTGTCAAAAGGTCCCTCCACTGACTCGGGGAACCCCATAGTGCAACGCACTGTGGAGGGATACACAGTAGGCCACATGCCAAACACACAACTTACGAGAAACCTGCTGAGCCTTGTTTCTGAAAATGGTCTCTTCTCTCCCTTCCCATGGACCCTTCCCTACTGCAGGATTTCCTGCAGTAGGGAAGGGTCCACAGGGTTCGGTGCATGGGCTTTGCTGCACCCTTTGAGCACATCGAGCAAAGTACATCGAGTTGTGTATAGCAACCGAGGCTGTACAGGCAAGCGCACAGCGTTGAAACGTATCGTGCTAACCTAACTCTACCCCGCAACAAAGATTGTGAATGAACAGCCACATTATTCAACGCGTCATATTTGCTCAAGCATAGTGTGAGGCGTATGATGCACACCTGATATGCCCATCCTATGATTTGGCGTGTGCAGCATGGAGTGCTGCTGCAGATTTCTACGGGGGTGCAGGTGGTTCGGCGCATGGCACTCCGTCTGCACGGTGGGGGTTGAGTCGGGCTCGCGAGGTTGCACCTTAGAATTAGAGGTCCATAAGGCAGCTCCTCCAGGAGGACGTGAAGTGTATCTTTCCCGCAACGTCCTCGCGATTTCAAGATACACCTCACTGCTCCCATGGAGTACAGTTGATGAGCCGCCGAACATGCATATATACATATATATATGTATAGGGTCAAGCCTATGTACGGCGGCACCACATTAGTAAAATATATCCAGAAGAGCAGGAGAACGAGAAGTATTGCAGGCGTAGTAAGCCAATGACAGGTAGTTCCACACGGCGGTAGAGGCAAAGCATTGGACAAAGGGCTGGTTCTCATAGAAACAGCATCGAATACTTGGCCCTTACACACCTCAGGGAATATGCGCCCTAGTGTTCGAGCTCCTCAGAAGCTGCCAGGCAACGTGACATACTCGCAAGGCTTACATCAGAGAGGTCCATGCAACACCGCTCAGCCTCTCCCATCGTGTGGTGTGCGGGTATGGGGAAGGCATATTATGCTGGGAAATCCCTAGGAAACAGCTCACGAAGTCTGTTGTACTCCCGTTTTCGATCCATATGAACATCGGCAGAGTAAAGCCACTAAAGCAGGCTTTGCTGCGTCTCTTTTTCGAACTGGCATGGAGAAATCACTACCCTTCCTCCTCCTGTGGGGACCGTCAAGTTCGACGGCCCCTGATACAACCTCGCATGGGTGCGCTGCCTGGTAAGCCTGCAGCAGTACGGCGGCATCTATACCCCTAATCTGCATGCAGTGCCGATGTCATTATATACATATACATATATCTTTTCTGCGCTCTTAGGTGAAGAAGCCATGGCGATTCGCCGTGCAAGATGCTACAAATGCTTGTGCATAGTTGGGCCTTCCTCGCGTTGCGCCAACGGCTGCGTTTTAGTGCAGCGGTCATGGCTGCGATTCGCTTCAACTGCCCTTTGTGAAAGGCGGCATACATACGTGGTTTCGACAAAGCACTAGGCGGCATACATACGTGGTTTCGACAAAGCACGAGGTAGGGGAGGAGCTATTCTTGTTTGAAGATACCCTACCCGTCCTACAAAAGGTGCCTCTGTTGTAACGTTTGGCCCCCCTATGCCCCAGATCCTCTCAACTAACGAGCAAAGCCCCTCGTGCTCTTCGTAACAACCCCTTAAACGTATCCGAGATGTTTGTTGAGTCTGCCTAAACGCCCTCAATGGCCAAGCTGCCGCTGCGCCTGCTACAGCCTAGCCCACTGGTAAGCCGGAACGTTGACTTCGCGCTATACACTTAATCCCACAAATGTGAGCTGCTCTCATCGTTCCCCCTCTAAGCACCTGAGAATCTCTTCGACGGCAGATATAGAGCTACTCGGCAAGGAGCCCTCCCCCTCTAACGCCTCCCTCGCTCCCTCCTTCTTGCATCGGGGTACTCAGTTCATCCGTTGGCGAAATAACTCCAAAAAGCCTCGGACTCCTCCCCCTCGAGCTGCACAACACCGCGTGGCACAAGGAAGCATCGTACGATGGTGTATGACATGCAGGAGCACAGACACCCTCCTAACTGTGATGCACAACCAAGCGAGCACCGGCAGCAATAGCCCAGAGTAAACTCCTGCAGAAAAGACTAGGCTCAGAGCAATGGCAGTAGCTGGTATTAACAACAACAACACCTCCTCCTCCCCTCTCCCCCGCTGCGACAAAAGGAACCTAACGTGCACGACGGACTTCGATCGCGAGATGCAGTTGTTTTCCAGGCTGCAGCTGCAGTGTCTGCATAATATAAGCTCTAACAGCCTCGAGATCCTTTTGAAGATCAAAGCCAGCCTCCGATCCTACCCACAGCCACGCATTCGCTCCGGCATTTTCTGATTCCGTGGCGACGTCGGCTGCAGAGCGGCAGCCTCCGCTGGCGGCTTCAAACGTGTCGCCCTCCTCTACCATCAGCAAGAAGATGCCGTCCGAATAAAGATCTTCCGAGTCAAAGAGGTCTAGAGGTTCATCGAGATTGGGCAGGCAAAAGAGTTTGGCTGCAGCCTTTCTGTCCTCCCTCCCTACCACGGGGGCTGCTGTTGCACGGGGAGGTTCAGCAGCGGTGCCAGCAGGGGGAGACGACAGATTCAGTGAAGGCTGCAGAGAGGCTGCCGAGGCAAAAACGCTGCTGCTGGCGTTGCAGCTTTCCGCAGCAGGTCCTTGTGCCTCGTCATAGAGACCAAGCGACTCCTGCAAAATCCCTTTCTGGAGTGGCTGCCTCTGAAAGGCTGCTGGCTCTTGGACCGCCTCTGCGCAAGAGCCATGCGCGGAGGGAAATTCTCCCCTTCCCAGTGCGGACGGATCGAAAGTGCAGTAGTCTCTCCAGTGAAAAGGTTCCTCCGAATCTTCAGGCAAGGTTCTTTCAAGCTGCTCGAAAGGAGGCAAAACACACAACAGACACGCGATAGCCACAGAAATACATCCTCAACAGCAGCAAGCCCACCCCCCCGCCTCTGATTCGCGCGACGAACCGCCGTTTAAAAAGCGAGCTGACGCCTTCCTCACCCCCGAAGCGACATGGGAAGAAGCCAGATGCGGGTAAGGCGGCACTGAAAATCCGAGAGTGCTCCAGAAGTCGGGAGGTTCTGAGCCAGGGGTGACGGTTTCTAGACGGAGGACTGAAAAGCACCGAAACAGACAGCACGTGCCCCTACATAGGCTGTTGGGGAGAATTTTAGCTCCCCAGGAGGGAAGCGCTTGTGCAGCAGGCGCAGCGCCCACAAGTCGAGTCAGCCATGGAAGAGAGTAGCAGAAGAGCACAGTCGGCAGCATTAGATGCAGCAGCAAGAGGAGGCGAAGCTTTAAGCGCCTCCCTCGCGATGCACGCAAAAGTATTACCCTCCCCAAGGGCCCCCCTCCCCCTACCGCAGGCAGCACTGTGACCTACCCAGACAACATCACATACACACACAAAAAAAACACAAAGAGCAACAGCTTACCACGCCCCTCCACGAGTGCCACATTCGCTTCATAGGCTTTCACTGCAGCCTCGACGTCAGCTTCCGAGCGAAGACACTTGCTGGAGTTTCGCCAAATCCATCCCTGAGAGCCTTTTCTCAGCATATAGGCACCCTGCTCCGAGATCGGCGGGAGGGGCCCCCCCCCCGGCTTCCAGTCCGTCATTTCTGACCACAGCAGGAAATCGGGAGCATGAGGCGAGTGTATCACCAGACGCAGCAGCAGCACAAACGACGCGTCGTCTCTCGGGGAAGCCCCCTGCTGCTGCGCGCTCCGACAGTTGCTGCTCCCCTCAACAACGGCTTCGCCAGAGTCTCCTCCCGGCTGTCTGGGAAGCTCAGACAGCAGGGAGGTGACTCTGGGACCAATCCCCTTAGAGGGCCCCCCAAGAGACGCCGAAAGGAGACTGGGAGGCTTCCTTCGCTCCGCGCCTTCCCTGCGAATCCGCTGAACAACAACGCAAGTCTTCCCCCCCCCCTCTGCGGAGGAGGAAGGCGGAGAGAGGCAAGCTGCATCGCCAGAAAGCCTCCTCGAGGCACCTCCCTCCGCCTCTCGCGAAGGCGCTCCTGCCTCCCCTGACGGCTCTTTTAAGTCTGCGTTTTCGACTCCTGTTCGAGGGCTTCCTTCTGCATGCCCTCCGCCTCCAGCTCCCTCCTTCGGCAGGAGGCTCCCCCCCCCTCTAGAAGCGTCTTGCGAGTCTCGCGCGTCGTCTGCCACGTCTCGGGAAAGCACCAGCGATCGCGGGATCTTAAGTGCTAAGCGCTTCTGCAGCAGCAACAGCTGGAATGTGAAGCCTGTATTCGGACTGCAGATAGCTCGGCGCTTTCGCATCTGCATGCGCATCACCACCACACACAGAGAGAGATAAAGGGACAAAACAACACGTGCAACCACTGAAAGTGCCACTCGCTTCAACGACGGAGAAACCGCTGAGAAAATCCCCAAAGGCCACTAGTAAGCCTCTAAGGGTACAACAACGGCATCACCCCGTTTCCAACATGCCCCTCTTTCTTTCTCTCCAGAAGAAGTAACCGTAAATCTGTTTTGAAAACAGTGAAAGAATCCATCTACCCGCCTGCCTTCCCACAGACGCCGCGCTACAACACGTCTCAGGCTGCGCGTAAAGCAGGGGCTGCTGCTGTTGCTGCTGCTGCTGCTGCTGCTGTTGCTGCTGCTGCTTTGAGAAAAAAGCATCTCAGAGGAGTCTCTCTGCTTACCCATTCGAACGCCTCAGCAAACGGAAGTCTGAGCTTCCACATGAGGAAAGCAATGGCCAGCGTTGCTGAGCGCGAGACGCCTTCCTTGCAGTGTATGAGCACGCGAGTTGGTTTCATTCGAAGCCTGCGGCTGCCGCTCAGGGAGCTTGCCACGTCAGAAGCAGCAGCAGGAGTTGCTGCTGCTGCTGCTGTTGCTGCTGTTGCTGCTGCTGCTGCTGTTGCTGCTGCTGCTTCTGTTCTGGTCCTGCGTTCGCTTGTGGAGGGAGTGAGAGGCTCAGCGGCTGCTCCTGTAGGAGGCGCATCGGTGTCGCTTTCTGTGGCGTGAATTGCCTCAGATATGAATCGAATACAGTCGTACAGCACGCACATGATATCCTGCTGCCGCGTATCCTTCAGATAGTAAGTCTTGTATACAAACAGGCGATCAAAGATGTTGGGGCAGATATCGCCAATGGTATTCACAATATGGGTAATGCCAGCGGCTTCCAGACACTGCACGCACACGCCGTAAAAGGGCACACGCACATACACGCACATACACACATACACATACACTCCTGGCAGGCCCTGGTGTCTGTACACCATGGTGGAAAGCAATACAACAGATGGGCATGTGCTTCTTTGCATGGAGAGAGGAAGAGAGAACGCGCGAGAAATCCCTTGGCTACTGCTTCCGTGAGCTAGAAGGGAGCACCTCCTGAGGAGGAGGCGAATCCTCAACTCCGCTGCTCGCATGCAGCCAGTCTGTCTCAGTGCAGCAGCAGCCGCAGCAGCAGTTGCCGCAGTTTCTGTCGCACAGAGTCTGCATCTGTGTTGGCAGACGCACGATTCGTGGCAATCACCTGTACGTCGCACGCAGCAGCGGCTCCCGAAACAAAGAGGCGTCCCTCGTATACATCGCTGATGACGCGGCGGAAGTTGATGAGCTGCTGCTGCCTTGTTCGGCTGTACAAGCTCACACCGTCCTGGAAAGCAGGCAAAGAAGGCGGCAACAACAGCACCAGCAGCAGCATCAGCAGTCGCACCAGCAGCGTCAGCAACGGCGCACAAGTTGGCAAAAGGACGCGCAACGCTGAAGGATGCTGCACTTCCTCACTCGCCTAATACCCCTTTTTTTCCCCTCTTCCTCCCCCCACTCCCCCTTCTCCAGGAGAGACACGTTTTCAGGCGGGAACAATAACTGAACGAAGCGTCGCTCTGCGCCCTCTCTCTGCTGCCTCTCTTCCTCTTCCTCCCCCTCTGCTGCACGCGCTTGGCACCTGTTGCGTCAAGTGCTTACCTCCTCAGTCCGCCTTCTCCTCGAGCCAAGGAGGGAAGTCGAAGCTCCACAAGCCCTAGAGTCGCTGCCGTGACGCTGCTGCATCCCCCCAGGAGAAGCAAAAGGCGAAAAGACAGAACCGCCCCCCTGAGCCTTCCCCCCAGCAAGGCTTGGCAGCCGCATCCCAGCACACTGCTGCTTCTGCTGCATCTGGACCGTTGCGTTGCTGCCTGCAGGAAGAAAGGCGGAGGAGGCAGCTCCTCCCTCCACGGGCAGAAGCGCGACGCCTGTTGAAGTAGCGCCTTCTCGCGCAGCAGCGCCTCCCTCTGCAGAATTTGCCGCGGGAAAAGAGGCCCCCCCCCCCCCTCGCTGCTGAGCATGCAACGCTACCGCGTTCGCGGCTGGAGAGGAGGAGGCTGCTGACGCTGCAGTGTCGGAGGAAGGAGGAGAATGCCCTCCCCCCCCCCCACTCCCCAGCCTCGGAATCGCCAGCTTGGGAACCCCCTGCAGTCGGGGGGCCCCCTGTAAACGCGAGGGGGGGCCCCTAGCGGGAATTCCCCTAGCAGCAGCAGTCCCCTCCTGCAAGTCTGCAGCCGCAGCAAAGCTCCCCGCTGGGGAGTCGGGCGGAGCAGCGTCGTTGGCAAAAGGCACCCTGTGGCTCCCTCGGTGCGAGACAGAACCATCAGAATGTCGAGGGGAGACACTTCGAGAAGAAACAGCTTCGGCTACGCTACCGCTAGGAAAGCCCTCAAAGAGCGCTGCTCGAGAATCCTGCTGTTGTTGCTGCTGATCATGTTGATGATGTTGATGCTGACGATGTTGATGTTGTTGATGCTGATGATGTTGATGATGATGCTGATGATGATGTTGTTGCTGATGATGATGCGACTGTTGCTGCAACTGTTGCTGATGTTGCGACTGTTGCTTTTGTTGCTGATGCTGTAGCTGCTGGAGCTGCAGACAAGGAACACCCTTGCCTGTGAGGGCGAGGGGGGGAACGACAACAGCAGTGCGTTGCACAGGAGTCTGCTGGTGAAGCTGTTCGTGCAGCTGCACTTGAGCTGTATCCTGAGTTTGCTGCAGATGCAGGATGTTTCTCTTGGCAGGTGTCATGTCACCTTGATTGCTTATTGCAGACGTCTCTGAGTCGGCAGAAGCGGTCGCACAGCCTGCAAGCACTTCTATCCCTTCCCCAGACTGCTTCCCACCAGTTGCCAAATACGAAGACACCCCACAGCTCAACTGGGGAGGTTTAAGCAGCAGCCGCTGCAGCAGCGCGTTGCGGGCGAGTAGTGCGTGTGCCTCTGCCGAAGACATCAGCTGCTGCTGCTGCTGTTGCTGCTGCTCTCCTTTTTCGCCAGACATCCATTCCCCTCCTCCTGCAAGTTGCTCCGCAGACCCCCCCCCCCTTCTTGCCTCTCTCCTTGCTTCTCCGCGATGCGGTTGAATGACTGCCAAGACTCCCCACGGCAGCAACGCTGCGGGAGACAGACACTGCGGTCCCTTCTGACTGCAGCTTTCAAGTGCCTCCACGAGACGCAAAGTGCGCAGACGGGAGTGATCCTTCGAAACAAAAAGAAACAACAGCCACACGAGCAACAGCAGCCATGAAGCTCCTCCGCGTGGCCTTTAGAAGGCGCAACAAAACGATAGAATAAGGGCAGAAGAAAGAGAGATTGATAGAGAGAGAGAAAGAGAGATTGATAGAGATATATATATATATATATCGATATAGAGAGGGATATAGAGAGATAGCGAGATGCAGACATATGAAGAGATAGAGAGAGACAGAATGGGAAAGAGCGCAGGAGAGGCATACACATACACCTATACATATACACCTATACACATACATACATATGTACATACATCCTCTCAGCTTACGAGGATATAGCGGGGTGCCTCCAAGCCCTCCCACAAGTAAACTGCCCACACGTGCTGCTCCTGCTGTTGTTGTTGCTCTGTTTTTTGTAGTTGCTGCTGCTGCCCCTCCTCCTGCGAGCAATGTCTCGTCTTGAGGAAAGCCTGCGGCGCCTTTGTCTGGGAAGTCTTCGTGCTGGCTTTGCTATGGAATCCGTCCTTGCTGTCGAGTTGTTGTTGCTCTTGAGGCTGCTGATTTGTCAGCTGCATGCAACACTGGCAAGGCTGTACGGCATGCCACACGCTCCGACTGCAGCTGTCCAATGCAATTGCAGAATGCGCTTGAGAGAGGAGGCGCAAGAGATCTGCACTCAGCAGCGTCTCTGCGGAGAGGCTACAAGTGTTGCTGCCGCTGTTGCTACAAGTGTTGCTGCCGCAACGAGCGGAGGAGGAGGGGCTTTGTGGCGAGTGCTGGCAGCCGTCAGTGCTGCCTCTGTCGGCGGCAGGCTCTGCTGCTGAAGCAGCAGAGCCTCCTGCGTGGCTTGGAGAGGGGAGGCTGCCTCGCCGCTCGTTGTTTTTGACGCACGCACAAGGGAGCAGGAGAGGCCCCTCCGCGTGAGGCTGCTGCGCCGAAGTCGTGTATACATGCACGATGAGGTAGCAACTCGAGGCATCGAGATGGAGAGAACTCATTCCAACAAGTCGGCGTCGGGAAGCTGCCAAGAAGGGGCCCCCTCTTCCCCCCTTTGGGGGAGTGTCATCGGTTTTTGGGGAGCGGCTCCTCCCCTTCCCGCGCTTCCCTGGTGGATTTCCGGCTGTTTTCTGAGGAAAGCGGCTCGCACTGCTCGGTAATTCGAGGGAAAGAAGCGTCTCGCAGCAGCCGCAGCGGCCAGGAACGCCTCTCCGACTCATGCGCCACGCAAGCAGCAGCTGACGCTGCCGCAGCAGGCAGCCCGTAGAGGGGCCTCCTTGAGAAGGAGGGGCCCCCTGGGGGGCCCCTTTTCCCCCTGCTCCTTTTCTCGCGGCAGCAGCAGCAGTAGTAGCAGCAGCAGTAGCAGCAGCAGTAGTAGTAGCAGTAGTAGTAGAAGCAGCAGAAGTAGCAGAAGTAGTAGTAGCAGAAGCTCCCCAGACTCTGAGCGTGTGCAGCACAGCGTCGAGAGACTTGTCTCCTTCCTCTGCCTGCCACAAGCCAGCGGGTGGCTGCCGCGTGAGGCTGGTGGGAGAGGGGAACCCTGTGGAAGAGGACGCTGCTTCTCGTTTGTCGAGCGGCAGTGGAGCCTCCTCGCCTGCGGATCTGCGGCAAGCCAGGGGGGGGGCCCCCTCAAACTGCACAGTACTGCCCACCCCCCCCATGTGCGCGGAGGAGCCTCGCGTGCAAGCGAGGCTCTCGCGGCGTTGCGAGCTGTGGAGAAAAAGGGTGCGGAGACGCCTCAGAAGCCCCTGCTAGCCATTCCGATGGCGCTCGCTGCAGGGGAGGGCACACCTGAGGAGCGCGCGAGAGGGGGGAAGGAAGGGGGGCAAACGAGCGAGACATGCAGCATGCCCGTGGCAAGTGGGAGGTCGTGACGCGCGCAGCCACCTCTCCGCACAGCGTGGGAAACAATTTGAGACCTCTGTTCTCCAGTAGGAGCCTTCCTGCTGCAGCACTAGCAGCTGGGAGGGGGGCCCCTGTTCGAGGCGGTGTCTGCTGCTGCGACTCCTGAGGAAGGTGTCTGCAGAAAGCGGCTTTGAGGCGTTTCGAGGGGCTCTCAAGGAGGCTCGCTTCGCGTTTGGAAGCGCATTGGATGGAGCTGTGCTGCAGTCACGCGGGAAGAGGCGTGTTGGCTGCTGTTGCTGCTGCGGAAGGCGCAGGAGGAAAGGCGAGGCGATGTACCTCTGGGCTCAATGCGCGAATATCGAAGAGGCAGCAAAAAATACTTGACTGCGGTGAAATACTGGAGAGCGAGAGAGAACGCGGCTGCCGCTGCCGCTGCTGGTGCTGCTGTTGCACTGCCCCTGCAGCAGCAGGAGGCGCGACTTGCTCCTCTATGTATAAGGGCGTCCAGAGGGAGAGGGAGGCGGCTTGCGTTGGCGTAACTGCAGGGTGTCTTGGGGAAGAAGAAGGGTATTCCTAGGTCTCGAAAGACGATATTTGCAATGTTTTGGCGGCAGAGGCTGCAGGGAGGCAGAGTTTCTCGAGTTTAAAGGGTTGCCGCTGCCGCTGCCGGCGGTAGCAGTACGTAGTGCGTCCGTGGGGCCGCCTGTGGCGTGACTTTGCTAAAAAATCCCGAGAGGCCCCTCGAAATGTTTGCACTGGCGCATTCGGCTTGCAAAAACACGTATTTTAAGGCCCTTTTCGCCGCACATGCCCCCCTGGAAGGCTTCAAGAAGCAAGGCCAGAAGAGAAACACGCAGCAGTTCGCGCCACATAGAGCCTCACACCACGCAGGCACTCTACTACTGCCCAGACCAGGCCGCCCACCCGCCTGTGAGTGAGGCGTGAGAACGCGGCGTTAAATTGCCCCTTTTAGCTCTTTTAGACGACAGAAAGGTTCTTGATCGACTCTAGTAGGCACCGAAATACCTATTTAATGGGGTGCTACGAGGGGCCTACAGGTTCCAGAGCCTTTGAGCGCCGCTACGCGACACTGTGCAGTGGTGCCTCCTCTCCTCAGAGGCGGGCGAGTGAAACAGAGTCTCTCGTAGTCTCCGGCGTTCTAGAGCTTGCTCCTCTCGTCCCTTAAGACTTTTCACACTCACACACAGGTACCAATGAAGCGGGAAGGCTTTTCTGTCCAAACTGCGGAACTGAATTCTCATGGAGGAAGACCATTCAGTAGGCGCCCATAGTACAATCGCGCAGGCGGCGGCGGCAGCGCTGCCGCTGCTGCTCCCGCCACGCTGGATTTTAAGCCTTCTGCTTCCCCCTCTACAGCCTTCGATACGCTGTGCGACTCCGCGTTAAGGCGAGGCGAAGGACCGCGTTGGCATCAAAGGCCTCTCTCGGGAAGGGTGTGGCGGGGACGCCTTCAAAGTGTCGATGGTCTGCGAAGCCAAACGCCGCTGCTTCCACGTCGACACCCACCATATTTCATTAACCCTCCCTCCTCCGTAAGAAGCCAAGATGCTGACCTACGGCGCCTCCCTCGGGGAGATCCCCGCCGTGAAGGAACCTATCCTGGAAGTGCGCTTGGCCTACATGAAGTTCAATACAGATGTGCTGCCTCTCATAGAAAACAAAAACAAGGTGTGGCTTTGCACCTTGCGCGACGCCGCTGGCTAAGGCTCTATCGGACCTCTGACGCTACCCTTGCTTGCCTCCACATTCCAGTGCTGAACAGGTTCAGCTAGACATGCCCATCATGCTTTCGAGCCATCTTTCGAGCCATCGGCGCTTTTCTTTTGCCCTCCTGGGAATGCTCCCGCAGGTCTCTATTGCCGTGATATACAGAGGGGAAAACCTTCCACACGCATGTGGTGACCCTCGACGCATCTGCTACAAAGTTTTCAGGAAGAAGATAGATGATACCTTGGTGCGCCCTTATAGCCAACTCTGTGTTTTGCTGTCTTTGTGCGGCGCGTTCTGGGGTCGCTTGCCGCCGTAGGTGTCGCTGCTGGCACCCTACAAACGATCGCAGGTTATTCCCTTCTGCGACTCTTGGCATCTCTCGGATTTAGCTCTTTGCAAGCTCCCAAATCCGGTGGCCACGTTTCTCTCCTCCGAGGGGGTCGTGTTGTGGAAGATTTGGGGAGAGAAAACCTCAAACTGTCGAGCCTCTCAATGTGCGTTTGACTCTTTGCTTGTGCATGCAGGTCACGCTGACGCTCAACAACGCTTTCCAGCTACCCTTCAGCTCCGCGTTTCCAATGACATCCCCCAGCCTGGAAATTTACGTGATGCTGGTGAGGCCCTTCCCATTGGGTTAGAAACTTAAGCATGACAGGCGCATGCTGGAGGCCTTACGATCGTGAAAAGAGGGAGGTGGTTCTAGCCCCTTCCCGTGCAGTGTGCCTTCAAGCCTAGAGTCCAAAGTCGCGCGCGTGCTTTTGAGGCGGTGCCGCTCTGCTCCTTTTCCTTCCCCTTCTAGTCTGGCCTCTCTATGTCGTGTGGGTGTAAAGCCTCCCGTCTGCCTCCTTGCCGCTGGGTGCCCTGCTTCTCTTGCCCTCAGGAAAGCCTCTCCAACCTGCGCAAGTGCTTGGCTAGCGCGCAGATTTCTCTGGGTCGCCGCTGTAGAGGTCTTAGTGCCCTCCTTCCCACCAACGCATTCGGGCTGTTCGTCGGCACAAACTCCAATGTTTCGGCGGGTGCGTCCACAAGGGCCTTCTAGCGAATCTCGCTGGAGAAAACTCCAGTGGCTCATAGAAAATAGAGCGAGAAAGCAGAGAAATCCTGGGTAAAAGGCAACGCTTTCAAAGGGGGCGGCGGGGCGCTCGGCCGACGCTAGAGCACTAGAAGGACGCCAGCAAAGTCAGTTCTAGCGTAGCCAAGCGTCGACAACGGCATGCTCACGCACCCATTACAGGTGCCTGCAGTGTCAGCAGGCCCGCAGCAGAGTGTGTGGTGTACTGCTTAAAAGACACGGCTTGGAGAAGCGGTTTAAGGGAGGCATGCTTCTGGGGGCGGTACCGCGTTCAGGCTTTGTAGGGAGTCGGTGTAAGGTGCACAGTGGCAGCCTCTTTGTGTCTTCAGGGACTGTGCACATGAGTGTGCGTCTGAAATACACCACCGTCAAGGCCAAGAGTTTCAGTTTCTTCTGGAGTCAGAAAACGCGCCTTGCGGACGATGAATACGCACAGCAGCGGTCAGCAGCTTTGCTCGCTTCTAACTTGTTTGAGGGGCCTTGCGTTGAGAACTCGTTGAAGGGGCGCAACTAGCTTCGCTTTACAGAGGCGCCGCTCCTAGGGGGGCAGTCCCAGAATACGCCTCTCTAGTCTAGCCGTGTGGCACCACTGCAAGGCCGGTTGGTTTCTCAAAGGAGGCTCCGAGTGACTCCCAGCAGCAGACGCGCGGTGACTCCTTGCAAATTCGGCCCGGAAAGGCGAGCTGATCTCGTTCTTTATGAATCCTGCTGGCTTTCTGTGTGTGAGAATGCTATGAAACAGGCAAAACATTTTGCCCCAACTAGAGGCTCAGTGCGAAAATTCTAGCGCCATTCGAGGTCTCCTGAGGCAGGCGCGCAAAGAAATACTGGAGCAGAAGATTGAAGCCTTCTCAGCGGTACCTTTTTAGCCTCTTCTATGAAGCCCTCCTGTGTTACATGCATATTCAGCTAAGCGGGGTCAAAAGAGACTTTAAGACCCAGACGTCCCTCTTTTCTCCCACAAGAACGCTTTACGGTCCTGCAACACATCTTCAAAGCGTCTCTCCGGCGAATTGAGACATTGCTGCATTCTTTGTGCGGCCTTTCTGTCCTTGCTCCCCCACCCACCTGCCCCTCCCCCCCATCTCTGCCCTGTGCCGTAGCCCATTGCAGGTGAGATGACATTCAATCTTAAAGGTCTCACCTCGCGCATCGACGAGCTCCTCGTGCAAATGGACAGAGACGGAGTTGTTGTCGTCCCCATGATAACCCGTCTAAAGACAGGTGTGTTTATTTATATGCATCCCTTACGCAGGTGGGGGCCCCTAGAGACCCCTTCCGGACTGTGCGCACAGACACGACTGTCCGCAGCTCTACTGGTGAACGAGAGTCGAATTTAGCAACTCTGAACAATGCTGCCTGAGTAGCTGGAACCCGCGACTAGCGCGAACACGACGGAGCAGGTGGGGAGGGTTGGTTACTACTACTACTCCTACCAATGCATGGCGCAAAAGGAGTTCGAATCTTCGTTTCCTTTTGACTCCCTCGACACGTAGGACGGAGGTCGACTCAGGGTAGACAGCCGCTGGGCTCATTGTACTTTTTTCAGGGGACTGTTCTGCCAGTCGATTCGCCACTTTCTTCCTGGACAGCCATCCGTACCGAATCCTTGCAACCACCCCAATTCCTTTGTTAAGCTCTGACACAGTCGTAAGGGCTATGAACGGGAGTATACGGGAGCGCACGAGAGAACACGGTACATTCCCCATGCTTTGCGCCTTTTGGCCTCTCTCCCTTTCCCTCGTATCCCCACGTGCGGAGCACATGGATGACATTCAAGTCGCTAAAGAAATTTAGCTCTCCTCCTGATTCGGGCAGGCATTGATTGACCTTCGATGGGATTGCCTTTTCAGGGTTTCTGGGGTGGGATCGCTGTGCCAACAACACGTTCAACTTTCTCCTCGACAAGGCTCTTTCTACGAATATACACAGCTCACAGAAATTTGGACTCGACCTGGTATCAACTATATTTTTAGTTAGGGTTTGGAGCCTCCGAATGCCCCATATTTTGACCTGTAGTACCCTGTGTGATGGCTTTCAACCCCACATATGTACATACAGACGGAGCATCCCGGGTGAAGGCATAGAATATATGCATGCAGCTACGCAGTATCGCAATAACCTAGCAATAGCTTGTGCTTCCCCTTCACTAGGCATGCACAAGCCTCTTGCGCTTCCCAAGTCTTGCTCCTCTACTGCAGATAAAGGCTTTGCGTGTCAGCGGTGCGTACTCGTTGTCTGTGAATGTGTGTGTGTGTGGTATGCATGCGCCAGAGCGGCACCACGAATCTGCACAAGTCCTTGCTAAACACCTGTCAGGCAGTCTGCTGCGCCTCGACGTTCGCTTTTCACGCATCAAACTATGCAATGCAGATCATTGAGGAGGAGGTCTTCTCCCCCACAGCCGGACGGCTGCTCATAGTAAGTCGGCGTGCCAGCAGTGCTCCCTGCTTCCTGCCCTCCGCACGCTACCTCCGGCGTATTGCTGTGCTGGATTTTTGAAAACCCCTGAAGCATGCCCTATCTACAGAGCACTTGAGGAGGCGCACAAGAAGGATATGCCAGTTTTTAAAGGGTGGCTGCCTGCGTTGGTGACTCCAAAAAGCTCTCGTCCCCTTCATAAGACCCGTGCTCTAGCCATCGCACCCTTGTTCCTCCTACACGCTAATGGGTAATCTTTCAGGCGCTCTGTTCTGCAGGGTTCACTGCCCTTCTACCGCAACGACGAAGACAGCAATCCGCAGGAGACGAAAGAGCCTGAGCCCACCGAACCAAAAGCCAGGCAACCCCAGGAGGGCTTACGGGTGACTTCCACGAAGTGCTCCCACTTGCGTGATCTTCGCACGTTTATGGACAAGTGGAGAGAAAAATATCATTTCCGTCGACTTCCTGCAGGCCACCCCCTCCGCATTTTCGCTCTTTTTAAGCGTGACGAGGTGAGTCCCCCCTCGCTTTGCCCCCAAGCTCTGCGTGAGACAGGCAGCAGCTGCCTGCATGGAGAAAATCTCCCCCTTTCGCCCTCCGGCCAGTCCACCCTTTGCTGAAAAAACACCATTCCCCTTATCGGTACTACACGCCGAATCAGATGCTCTACATAGCAGCAACAGGGTGCACAGAGACGGACTGTTACGCATTCGTCCACAGCTCTTCGTAAGCCGACAAGGAACAGGACTCTCTGGCTCAGGGCTCCTTCTGGCGATTCTTGTCTTGGGAGATGAGAAGGTGGACGTAGAAGAAGCCAGCAAGTAGTTTCTCCTGCAACCCGTACTCGGCACTGTGTCTAAGCGGGGAACCTCTCTAGGCGTGAAGTGTATTCGCATCGCTTAGCAATCGCGCACTTCGGCTTGGCGGCCAGCTTCTCTAGACCCCTCCCCCCCGCCCCCATCGGTCGTCTCTCCCCCCACATGGCTAGGCCCTCTGTGTGTCGCGCGATGGCGTTTGTCTCTACGTTTTCTGCGATCAGGCTCTACGGGATTGAGATACAGGCCCAACAGATGATCAACGATGCAATTGTCGCGCTGAAGAGGCAGACCGCCCAGGCGGTAGTAAGTTCTTAGCGTGCTCTGCTCTCAGAAGTGCCAGCCTCCGTCCCTTTTCTTTCCTTGGCGTCTTTCCGCCAAGCTCATGCCATGGTCGTCTAGAGGATCTGTTCACTGAGGAGGGGGAAAAAGAGGACGAAATAGGCTGGATTGTGTCTCGCTGTTGATTGCCGTTAGCCGGGGAAGGCGAAGACCTCGAAGTCGTCCAGACTGACATGTCTCAGCACCTTGCTTATGACAGGTGCGTCAGCTCTCTGATGAGTGTGGCTTGCGCTTTTCATCATCCTGACGACTTCTGGCGCGACAGCTTTGGTGACAGGCCAAAGGAGATCGCCCCAGCAGGAGGAGGCAGGGCTCTCCCTCTCGTGCCCTTTCCTAGTACGCAGAGTGCTCCTAATCTGGCTTGCTTGCACTGTTTCATGCGCATTTTGCTGCAGCTGTGGATTACAAGGGATTCAGAGTAGTGGTCATGCCGCTGTCAGACTCGATACCAGAGGTCCTTGCATGGCCTCAGCCGCTCTCTGAGCGCATCCGCCACGTAAGCTGGCTCAACATGTGCAAGTCCTCTTCTTCCCGCAAAAGGCTTATTTTCCTGCACCACTGAGGATTCACGATCTTGCCGTCCAAGCGTGCAACGCCTACCGCAGCGTTTAGCCTACGGGGCCTTGGATTTTGGGGGTGTGGCACTTGTGCTTTCTGGGCTTGCCAGAGGCGTTAGAAGGCATGTAGCTGTTGCTGCTGTCTTTGTTCCAGGAAATATCCTACATCGAAAACAAGCTCAATATTTGCAACCTGCTGAGGCCAATATGCCCCTCAAAGCTTCCTCGCGACACAACAATCCTTCTCTCTCTGAAAAACAGAGGAGCCGATACGATGATGCTCTATAGGGTGAGTCTCTTTTGCACATGCCGTCGCGCTCTCACTGCACCCCTGCTTGCTGGATACCAGCGCTTTTCGCTGGATGCAGCTCAAACGTGGATAGTGCTGCCTCCACCGACTCTGCTCGGCTGTTTCTGCGGGAACGCTGCAGCCAGACACAACACTTCTCCAGGGTTCCTTGAATCGAAGTGTGCATGCCACGTTGCCGCAAACAGGCGCCTTGTGCACTCTTTGTTAGATGCATTTCTCCGGCCGGCCGCATGCGTTGTCCACACAGACGTGCTACGCGCTTCCGCTTTTCTCCGGCAAAAGCGAAGCCGCCTCGATTCCTACGCTTGCACAGCGCCTCCGTACTGTGGCAGTTGAGCACTCGGCTGATATGGAACTCGCCCTGAAGAATATTCAAGAAGCCCCCCAACAAACCACCCTAAAGGTCTGGCAATGGCAGCACGGATTTCGAGTGCCCTGCTGAGAGCAATGATGTCATTTTGGAACCTATGGGGGTGAAAACTCGAGAGGGAAAGCATTAAATGACAGCAGCACTACTGCACCTCAGGAAGGAGGCACGCGGGTATTTTAGTCGATTTGTAAGGGGCTGTTTACTCTTGGATGGGCGGCGTTTGTGCTGGCTGCGTCTCTAGGATCCTACGGCACCTAGCCACGGGTACAACGATGTAATGGAGCGATCTCCCTTCAATCGCCTCTATGCTCCTGTGGATGATCTGTAAGGCATAGAATGCTCCCACCGAGTTGCTAGAAACGCGTTATTCTTCCACTTTAGTGCGTCTTTCCGCCAAATAGGCAGATCAGGGGACGATTCGGACTCTGCTGTAAACGTCTCCGTCTGATTGCAGCCTTCACTTCATCACCAGCAAATACCAGTGCAAATACAGAGAAGCCAGCGAGCCAGTTGTTTGCGGGCAAGCTCCTCCAGGCAGCGAGGGTCAGCGGCTGGAGACGCTTATCAAGTCTGTAATAAGATCGGTTATCCTGAATGAGTACGTCGCCCTTCATGAACGAGACAAATATCTATATATATACATGGCGTGCTGTATGCATTAACCGCAGCTTTTGCATAGCATGGACACATTGTCCATGCTTGCATTCTATTTGTGGAGTTTGGAATGCAATGACTTACTGTATGACTGCCATAGTCAGAGCTAGTTTCGCATGTTTAATCTGCCTTTGGCAGTCCAATCTGCTAATTGAATCCTAAGAGGTGTTCTGCTGGTGTCCGCAGCGTCGTCGCTGAGCTGGAAAGGATGGATCCATATGGCCCTCATGATTCAATCTCCCTTACCAGTTACTTGCATAGGCGTGGCATCAACATGCGTCTCCTAGGTATCTTTGTACAATCAGGTTTCTTTCTTTTCTCACTCCTTCCTTTCCCTCGCCTGTATCTTTGAGAATGTTTCAGCACATTGCTTCGTCTAAACGAGCTAGCACGCTTTTATGGCATGGATGTACGATCCCCTTGGCACACCTTACAGCATCCAGCAACGCACACAAACGCAGCCTCCGCTTTGCAGCACCTAGCTTTCCGCTTTTCAAGGAAAAGCTGGTCTCAGGGCTTAGCTTAAACTCGAAGATCTTGAACACTACTAGAGCGTGCATATTCGTCACTCTGCGCGCAGGCATCATGTACAAACGCACTAGAAGCCCCTGGGTACAGCAGATGCTCTTGGTGGAAATTGTCGGTAAGGCGAACTATGCCGTTGCGTGTGCCGTTCTTTGAAGTGGGCTCCCAGACCAAATTGTTCTACATGGCAAAAGGAGCATGCGTATCTATGATGCCCGCATGTTGTCATGTGCACAGTTGTAAATATGTGCTTAAACCTCACCTAAAACATCCATATGTGTGCACTTCCTCATATATATTGACACGCGTGTGAACAGATGCATAGCGGAAGTATGTAGGGGTACTCCCCCTGCACACATGTCTGTCTGTTGGAGCTTGTGACCGTAATAGGCGCAGCAGCGGAAAATAGGATGTTATCACTTGAATCCTCACTTTTTCATCGTTAAGACAGACTTCCTTTGCTTTATCACAGCCCGTACTCTGAAACAGCTGCTGAAAGAGGTGCTCCGGCGTTTAATCTTCTGTACAAGTACGGAGCTCGAGGCTTTGGGAACAACGAAGGCCACAGGCAAGCATCTACCACGCTATTTTTCCTCTATCCGTTATTTCCTCACTTCTCGTGGGAAACGCACATATTGCCCTAAAACCTTATGCGAAGAGATGCCGCTTTTTCACTTGCCTATCTGATGTCTACAGAGCGTGTGGAGGGTCTGCTGCGTAATGGCGATGAGCAAGACTTTGTTGATGTACGTGTGTGTATGTGTGTTCTGATTTACAATGCGAAATAAAATTTCCCCGCCCCTCCCTCCCTCCCCACTTTTGTGAGCCTCCGCCATGTGGACAGCAAAGTGGTTTCATCTCAAAAGCTTCTTTAGTGTTCGCCACACTGAGCGCCCGGAGAATGCTATTCTGCGTAAAGGAGCACGTATACAGGCGTTTCAGAACACATACAAGGCTGCTGCATAAGCCTGAGCTTAGTTGAAAATGTTCACTAGTCGCGTGCTGCGCTTTTGGAGCAACTTGCCCCTGCAATGTTATGGCCTCTACGCCTGCCTACGCCACCCACCTACGCTGCCTCGATATTTGTGCCATTTTCCTTGAAGCAGTGCTCTTTGACTGTCTTTGCGTTCAAGGGCGTCGATGACGATGCACTGAGTACTGCCACAAGCGACGACTCCACCGTTTTCGGCGAGCTTGTGAAAGCTGGAGGTGTGTATGCTCGCTTCGAGGCGTGTCTTGCTTAGTGCTGTTTCTATAACACCCGAGCCAGATGCAGGCTGCCATACGAGGAGTGTCCAGGCTAAAGCAGGCTTTGCTCCCGTCCTTCGCCTCGCATCGTTGAGGACCCTAAGAGTTAAAGGTTGTAGCGGTGTGGCGAGGTGGCAACTGGTTTACGCACTCCTCAGCTTGTTATCACAAGTACAGCAAGGAGTCCTTGTTGAGGGAAGGCTTCCTGGAACTTCCACTCTTCGTTGCCTCACGCTTGCTAGACGATTCGCCTTACTTGTTGAATTTATCAAAGCATAGATTTCGCTCCTTTTCGTGGTATGCAGAACGGCATCCAGTCGCTGCACAGCAACTTCATAGTGCCAGGCTGCACCCTACGTCGGCAACCTGCGAGTGTGCAGGGAGTAAGGAGTAAACCGAGAATAGAATAATGTCATCAGAGTCTCTGCTTTTTCGTGTTGCAACTGCAGGCCTGACATTGTAGCCCTAAATTTGTTTAATATGACTATTGGGAGCTGCACCGAATCTGAGGGATTCTGGCGAGGTTTCCTCTGCTGCAGGTACTACTCTCCTTCGGTGTATCACAAACCCTACTTCCTGCAATGTGCACCCCAAACAGTCCGTAGCGAGAGGAGAGTTAATCAGGTAGAAAGACTAATTAACTCATCTTTAGGGGCTGCTTGGGCGCCGGCTTTGCTTCAGATGTTCAAAATTGTTTGGCGTCGAGGCATCGATGGTGCGAAAGGAGCGAATCTACCTGCCAGCTCTCTATGTATCATTACAGGTGAGTTCAGTAGACCCTACACGCAGCGCGTACTGAGGGTCACAAGCTTTCGTTGGTTCCTCCAAGAGCTTCTGAGGTACTTTTGAGCACACATGTCGCTGTATGGATATCCCGTATCTTCGCAGCATCACTGTGGAATAAGTTTCCTTCCCTGCACGGCATCAATTGGCAACCTGTTGGATCGAGCATTCCCCCTCATGCCGTCTCACATCCGAGTGAGTAGACATCTTTTTCTTAGAGCACGCGGTGATTCATCCATCTAAAGTGCACTCTCTCACCCTCAGCCCGCGTGTAGCTTGAAAGCACAACTTCTAATGGTGGGGTAGCAGGACGTTCTGTAGGGGTTTATGAATAGGAACTTGATTTGGAATGTTGTTGTGCGTCTGCTTCCGCATGAAGACATGGATGCCCAAGCTTTCTCGTTCGGTCATTGTGCCGAAATCTCTCCCACTGCTATCTGTGGTTCGAGATCCCTCAAACCTGCCGCTTCTTAGCCCTGCCAGTTCTACAATTATACAGATGCCTTCTCCGGCCCAAACGGTTGTGGCGCGACTCTTAGGCCATGCTGTAATGCAGTGCAGCAGTCCCTTATGGCACGTGATCAAGGAAATAGGCAAGGGTCTAGATTCTCGCGTCCTCACCTCGATGTACAGTACTACACAAGGTCATCCACTGCTCCTTGCCCAGGTAAGCTACGAAAGCTGTACCAGTCAGGACTGGTCTTTGCGAGGAGGTAGCCGCGCACGTCACGTCGATGCTTGACGTGTGCATATCAAGTTCAAGGTGATGAATGTATCCTGCATGTCTATTATTCTTTGGCATTAGGATTCATGGGATGTGGAAGATGCCACGGTGGAACTCATTGGCATCGCCTTGCGGTTAGACCTCTAGAACCAATTCTTAAGGCCATCAAGCCGAAACCCCAAAGCTTGGCACGCACGTATCCTTAGTCGTGCACATGACAGCTTGAAGCTGTTGGACCTCCTTTCGAGCTTCGAAATGCATACTTTTGCAGATACGAGTCCTGGGATGTTGCCCACCTCCTGGCACAGCGGTGTATCGCGCAATACCCCGAGGCGCATGCAGCATCGGTACGTGAACCATGGATGCATACCACCGCTTTCGAACGAGCGAGATGGCGGCCTGCCATTTCTCATGACGGGAGCGTTGTACAAGACAAAAGCGGGGTGTTGCTCAGGAGCAGCATTTAAAAACAGCACGCAGCACCGCCCGGCTGTTCTAGACAGATGCTGCTTTCGTCAAAGTGGTGTGACACTCCTTCCGGGGTATGCATGTCATCTACTGTTGGTTGTAGGTCCCGGCACGCCTGCTGCTTCTCCTGGCAGACGCACATGGCTCGTCACAGCCTCCTCCGAGGGCACAACTAGTGGCTAGTGCGCACAGGATCCAGCGGGTGCTGGACTTCCACTGGGGCGGCCATCATCCTTCGACTCTTGATGTAACAGTTGCACAGGCCTGGTGAGTGTTGCAACGTGTGTGCCTCCAAAATAGCCTTCCACCCCCTCCCGAAGTACATCTCGCAAAAGCACATTACGTGTGTGGTGACTGTTCTCGAACCTCCGAGCTGCCATGCATGCGACGCATAACTGAGCTAACAAGCCTCTTCCGCCGTCCTGCTCTTGCTAGCTTGTGTTCTTGCATCAGCAGCGTCGTGTCGCCCAGCGTCCGACACCTATACTGGGATGCTGGATGTCGCTACACGTCTTGTCTTGACTCGCTTGTGCGTCCAGGGTTTCAAGCCTTGGGCGCGATTGGCGACAGTGCGTTGCGGGATTGCAAGCAGCAGTATCCCTCAGCGCAGTACTCTCTGTGTCTCTGAAAAACGAAGACGTACGAGCAGTTTGTTCCCCTGCCCTTGCAATTCGATTGCTGAAGTATCCCAACTGGTTTCTTCGTCCCTTCGCATGCTACTGATAGCTGATTTTGTGGCCCGTAATGCGCTGCCTTCGAGCACAGCTAAACTTGCGAGCACAGCTAAAATTGATCAATAGGAAACGGCCCTGGCACCCACCTCCACACACTGACACCAGACTTCCTGTAGCTGAAATTCTTGGCTAGCCATGCGTATCGGGGTCGCCGAGGTGGTGCCACTTCTTCCCGCTTGTTATGGGAATGCGCAGCTTACGAGCCTAAAGCAGCTTCTGACTGTCATCGCAACGGATGATGCCTCTAAGGTAAGGCTTGGTGCTGTACATTCTACCTTCGCATGTTTACAGGCAACTCGTTTGTACGAAGGTTTTTATGCAGTGTAAAATTGAAGGTGTCCACCAATCGTTATACAATGGCCGTGGCAACCCGAATCCAATAGCACCAAAGTCAAACTCGGGATGTAAAGCGGGATACACAAGTGCCTACTTAAAGGGCTAAAGAATTGTGGTGCGGCTTACGTGTGTGCCTCTGTGTAGATCCCAGCGGGGATACCCCCAGCGCCGGTTACTCCAAAAATGGCCGGCCTCCTTCGAATGCTCGCGCACTGCAAGCTTGCGCTTGTCTATGGTCGCCTTCGAAGCAATCGCAGGGTCTGTCTAATCGCAATATTTCGTTTTGTGAAGCTCCGAAGGCCCTTTAAGTGTGGCAACTTGCTTGAATCCTAACGTCTCTATTGTGTAACGACTCATGAATGTTGCGCTGCAGTTACAGGAATTCATCTCCCCAGAACAAGTGGCGATGATGGCGAATAGTGCTTCCTTGATGCTGCAGTGGGCGTTGGATGCCTACGACTTTCATTTTGTACGACTCCTCCAAATATTCACATTATCTAGAGCCCATGCTGGAGTTCCTCTGCCAATCGTTAGCCTGTTCAACATAAGCCTTATATGCAAGGGCTAGAATATAAAAGTGCACTACATCCTCATATGGACTAGTGCCCTTGCGTTGCTTTGTCTCAACGTTGCTTACTTAAGGGAGCAAGGCATACTTTAACAATGACAGCAGCGCGCGAGTTTTCCATGTCACTACTATTGCTGATTGACGCCACAAAAAACGAATCAGGAGGAGTTATTTTGGAACGAGGGATTGAGATCGCATCCAAAACTTTAGAGGTACTCCTCGCTGTGGCTCCTCATGGTGCCTAGGCGGTCTACGCGGCTAGTCATACGATAGCACCCGGAAAGCTGGTGGTTGTTGCATTTCTGCTCAAGGCTTATACAACTGACGTCGTTGTGTGGTGCGCTGTTTGGTTTACATGTCTATTATCAGTGGCAGACCAGAGTTCTCGGGAGGTGTCATTTGGAAACACTCGCCACAGGTACCCCGTGCGACTTGGGCCTCCTTAGGGTGTTTTAGGTGTCTCAGTTTCGCGGCTTCACAAGGGTAGCAAGAAAGGCGCACCTGAGCCATTCGACAATCGTGTGAATGAGGCGCGAGCTGCTTGCTACACAAGCGTTTGTAGGCTCATTGACCGGAGGTGTATTACATCAGCTTGCAATGGTAAATTTAGCGGCGAACTGAGCTGCGTGCTTCTCATCACACTGGCAGCACCACTACGCATTTGTCTTTGGTTCCCCGGCAGGTCAATTGCTTGCTGTCTTGTTAGCTAATCAAGGCCGGTATCGCCGCTGCATTGAAATTTACGAAGCCGTTATTCGTAATGCATTTACTAGGTATGCTTCGTAGTGGCGATTTGCTTGCTGCGGCCTGTAAGGTGTTTTTGCCTTTAATGTGACAAAGCAGCGTGAACAGGCCCGTACGCTGGCATATCTGAGGTTGGTCCGTTGTTTCCTGCATTTTTAGGCTAGTGCACAAACCATCGCTGCGTCGGTACCGGCCTGACAATGAATTTTCAAGGTATGTACAGTGGGCGATCAGTACCAAGCGGTTTTGTTGGCCGGGTATCACACAAAACGGGAGTTGCCTCTTACAGCACCTCCATTGGTCCTGAGTTCAGCACTCCATGATATCTACGGCTGCATCCTGCCAAGGTGCAACTGCCCTCATGCGCGCATGTGCTGGGTTGAATTGCTTTTCTCAGAGTCTGCTGGTGCCTACCTGATCCGTATTTCTACGACATGTTCGAAACGGTTCGTCCTACAAACAGGTTTTTCCCGAAGATCAAAGCGGTCCTCCCCAACTTGGATGACGAACAGGCTCTAGCAGCTCTGAACCGAGATATTGGCGTACCAATATCTGGCCAGGCCGATACCTGTAAGATTCTTTTTCACAATTCTTGACTCCCTTGCCTGGAGGCCGACTTGTTATCCATCAAATGGTGGTAGTAAGCGAGTGCGAGGCAGCAGAGGGCTGTTCAAACCTCATCGTGCTCAGGTTGCAGTGCGTCAAACAATCGCGCGAAGTCCTTTGGGGCTAAACCTAATCAAGAGTATATACTACGTCCTAATCAAAAGGTCAAACTCAAAAGCCGATCGCTATCAAAGAAAGTATGCCGTCTTGAACCGGGCCTTGCTCCTGTGCCAATCATATGGGTATGTTCTACAGCCATGAGTAAACCACCAAACGCCAGTGGTAATCATAAATCGCCAGAGCCAACGGATGGAGGAGCTCCGGTGACAGCTCCTAAGCAGCCGAATGTCCCGTCCCCCGTCACTTCTAAGGACGCAAGCAAGGCAAACTTCATTCAGCTCGACCCTACGGATCATCCGATCTTTCGTGCGTATCCTATAAAGTTTTTAATGATGAATGAATAAGTCCCGCGGTACTTCTTGAAACAGTCGAGAACCATGGTTAGCTTCAATGACATTGAATTCTGGGTTAAATAGTATTCATCTCTGGTGCAACTAAGGAAACTTCACACCTGTTATACAGAATATTTTGAAGTCACTTCGCAAGTGGTGACTTATGCAGCTCGGTCTTACAGTGTGTGTTGCTAATACATTAGAATGAACTTAATGCGTTGGTTGTGTGCTGCAGCCACTATGCAGTCGAAGGCTGCAAGCGACAAGATGTGCCCTGTAATTCCGGACCTAGTGAACGATATGTTTCTAGTTTATATCAACTTTGCGGTGGAAAAGCACATTGTTTCTAGGCTGGTTTCTCTCTTTCTGCTTCTTGACTATTTTGAAAAGCAAAGTACGTGCCTTGCAGTATTCAGAATTGTGCCACAGTCTCCCAACTCTAAGGAGCAATTGGCAGAATAGTCCTATCCCAACCGACTGCTGCAATCAACCAGTCTTCCTGGCAACCTTCGAAACGTGGTTTTTAGCTCACATAAATAAATACTTTTGGTTTGTGTGGTGAATGCGCCTCAGGCTACACGGCCGTGTCATATGATGACTTTGAGACCGCATGTACGAAATCTGAGGGTGATGTTACATCCCATTCTTTTCTGACTTGGCTACTCGACCTCTCCGAAACGTAAGCAGCAAAGACTAGCCGTTTGCTGCAAGAGAGACGCCTTATTTTTGCTTGAAGAATTGGGACCCTCTACTGCTAAATACATGGCTTACGCAAGCGTAGCAGATTTGTGGGCACTGTTCTCGCAACCTGTTGTCATACGCTGAACCCCTGAATAGGTCTGACGTGCAAGTGATGGAGTACATAGAGCATTATCCCTTCAGAATCCCAAAAGAGGAACTTTTTAACCAGGACAGCGATGTAATCTTCCTTCTCTGTCACCCCAGTAAGACCAACTGGCGCTGATAGCTATCCATGAAGTTACCGCTTCCGCAGGGCTCTTGCATCATAATACATAGTTGAAGGCATCAAAAATCTGTTTCACTGCTTAAAGAGAAGCAGCTAAACATTCGTGTGCAATCTTCGACCTGTGCCATTTTTTCTACCTCAGAAGAGAAAGACAGTAAAAGTGGCACATCTCGCGACTGCATTTTGGACCACTACCTTGGGCATCTCCTTTCAAAAGCGGAAACGGCAGTATTCAACGCCTGCCAGCTCATCCTTTCAGGTCCGGAGTTCCTTAGCTCTAAAACTTCATAGCGGGCCCGTCATGTTTTCATTAACTCGAGAAATATTTCTGTGTCACTTCATCACCCCAAGCGTGTGATTGTGTGTACTTCTGTCATAAGACGTGTGTGCACATGTTTAATATGAGTTCTGGTTTTGGTCCAAAGGCCAAAGCTCTGCGATTCTAAGCTCAAACTCCTGATTGAACGCTAATGAGGCGCATAGCTAAGAACTTTTACTTGGAACGGAGGACTAGTTGCAATGTCAGGCGCTGTACTTGACTTTGTCCTTCTCTGTATTAGCTTAGTTTTGATCCTGCTAATTTCTTACCTGTTCTTCCTGCTATTGTTACTACTTTTTCTGCTGCTTGTGCTGTCGCCACTCAGGGGACTCTAAGAGCTTGTCCCAAGCTGCCCAGGCCTATTCTTCTCCTCTGGAAAAATTAAAGCGGGCGATTTCTAAGCTGAAAGTGATATTACTTTTGCTCGGAAAGTGCGCAATTGTTTTTGTATCTCACTGCGTCTGCTTTGAGCCCTACCACCACAATAGTTGACAACATAAGCTAAATGGGGGGAGGCAGCTCATATACTTGGCATGAATAGTTGCAAGCATAGAAACTGGAAATAAAATTCATACACCTAGAGTCTCATCCGAAGTCCATACGCTCAAAGATGCGCTTTCATACCTTGACTTACAGGTTGAAGGAGAAGGAAGAGCCAGAGGTCGATAGGCCGCCGGATTCCAGTCTTTTGTTCAAGAGGTAGGTGACTCATCTCCATTCAGATAAAGTCTTCTGCATTTGCCTTTTTCTTTAAGCTGTAGTTCATACGCATCCCATCTCCCTATTTTGCCCCGGAGATTTATGTCACACTTGTTGAAAGTTGTGTTAGCTGTAGATCCTACAGGATCGTTATGGTGAGAGGCCTCTAAAAAATACCCAGTTTTTGGCTTACTGCTATTTTTCATCTACAGGCAGTCCGTGACGCAAGGGCTGCGCAACGAAGCGCAGGAAGAAAGCGTCATAACTGGAGGAACTTTTTTTGAAGAGTTGGCAGAAAATGCAGAAGAAACAGTCAATAGGACAGAGATGAGGGTGAGGCTACCCAAACTGTTTGTTGACAAATTTAGTTGTGAAACCATACTACGTTCTCCAGGTGACAAATGTTATTCCCTAAAGCACCCCATTCGTCATTCCATGTAGTCATTAATTTTTATAGTGAGCCTATCTTGTGCAATTTTGATGTATGTTGGGTACATGAGATACCTTTTGCTATACTGAAATCTGCATGATTCAGTTCTCGACTAGAAAGGACAGTCACGTTGCCTCGTCTATGAGCTACAGAGAAGCATGTAGCGTTGTTTTCACACGCCATCCTTAATGCTGGTTAGAAAAAGCTGTGTGGCTTTCCAGAGGCGCTATCGGCATTTCATGGCTCACATACGCACCAGTCTTCGCCTTCCTACAAACCTCCGGTAAGCCGCTATACACTCATTTTGTTGTGAATGCCCATGAATAAAGGCGTGCAATTTGTAGATAACGGGTTCCTGTAGCCATAAATCGCTACTGTTGCGAAATAAAAACTAACAACAATGCACCAGTATTGAACATGCGACAAAAAATGAGTTATCTCGGTGTAAAATACTTCGTTCAAGAAAACGATAATAGGAGTTTGCTGCTCTGTGCAGATGTGAGGAGCTGGACATCCTGGCAAATTTGATGTACTATTATTTAGACGTAAAAACGTTTCGCACCTGGTGGGAAAACCGCTACAAAAGCGGCACGAATGCAACGTCCCTATTCGGGGCTAGAAAGACAGAATATTGCGACGAGCTCACGCGTTCATCATTCGAAGAATATTAGCTTTGTAGGCGATATATAAGGAGCAAGCAACAGGCGGTGCATACCTTAACACTGCACTGACAATTCCGCCCACAGAGCTATGAACTCTTGGTCTGGGATTGGAAATCGGACTTGGATTCTGGGAATTTCGGCCTCAAGTTTATGGATCGGGCACCCTCAGAACGTTGCATATGCGTGAAGTCTAAACGAAAGCCAGGGCGTGTTGTGTTACGCATCACCATTTAGCATGCAGTCGTGCTTTTCAATATAAAAGCGCTTGGCAAAACGCTTTCGTGCCCGCTTAGACAACCACTATACGCTTACCATACAACGGGAACCGAGCAAGGTGCGAGTTTCCACTCCAACAAATCGGTTTTGTTTTATTAATTTCCTTTTTGAACGGGTGCAGTCTGTCTCGAAGCCGTCAATGGAGTTGTAAGAGTGCCTCTTCCTATGCTAGATCGGGCAAGGCAGTACGAGAGGTGTGTCATCACGTGCTTCAGTTTTCTAGTCCCTGGGTGTATGGGAGGGTGAAACAGAACTAGAAGACCGCAAGGGTGTGGGTGGCGGCTCAACGAGGGGGCAGTTCTTAAGTGGAAACGCATAAAACGCTTCGAATACGACTTTTGGAATATTCGGGGGCGGCTCAGTGCAGTGCTCCTCCTCCAACACAATCCCAGGACTGTCCTCACCCGCGAACTGTTCATACCGGAACGCTCCCTCGGGTGTACAACTTGATGTCGCATCAATATGGTGGCCAGTGCCGTGGGGATGTCCAAAACGCCATTGGCCGCAGTGGCGTGCCCCACTGTGTGTTATCGACTCCTAAAGAGGCGCACGACAGACCGTGAAGCTTGAGAAAAATAGGAGGCGGGAAATCTTCATGCAATTTCCCTAGGAGACCGCATACTAAGAGAGGCCGTGCCATGACTCCATGCATGTGCAGCATCGTCTTCCTATTTTGTCGAGCTCAGGGAGAAGGTATTGTGATCACATAATTCACGAGGAACGCGCACATTGGCAAGCCCACAGGCCAATCACAGACCCCAGCTCTCTGCCGCCTTGCGCAGCCTCAGATCCGAAGGTGTCAGGGAAACGCCAACGCGAAAGAAACACAGACAGACGGGCACGCACGGAGAGGAGAGGAGGGCTGCATACAGGGAGTGGTTCAATTAGAGTTTCACGCATTTTTCAACGCTAAGCAGGCATAAAAACCAGGCAAAAGACTTGTAAGGGCCCCCCAAACCCAAGCATGGAAAGATCCCATGACATACTCCTTTTCCGTGTCGCATGCCGTCCATCCACTGCCCCTCGTACACTTCCCCCGATGCTTTCAGTTTGCAAAGACCCCAGCCGTGCGGCACTATATTCTGGCAATGTTTCCGCCGTCCTTCTGGACTTGTGTGCGGGTGCTCTTCTCTGCGTTCCTCCCGCACGTCAGTTGCCATGGGGGCGTCCTCGCCTATGGGGACCTTCGCATTTGGGAACTTGAGTCTGCCTAAATATTTGTCACCGTTGGGGAAGGTGACACTCCACTCTGCATCCGGTGCAGGCTTGTCATCTAGCCACTGCCCGTCCATCATTACCACTTCGCCCTCAAGCGTAGCCGCTCCCGCGTGTGTCTCCTGCGTGTCTTCGACAGGACCTCCCTTTGTGCCGCTTCCCTGTAACACCCCAACAGGGATGCTTAACACCCCGGCTCCATGTCGCAGTCCTCCCCGCCACTGGCCATCGTAAGCGCAGCAGTCTGCGTAAAGCATGCTCCCGCTTCCGTCTGGAAGCAGCGACTCTGGCTGGGGACGCAGAGGCGGCAGGCAAATGCCAGACACACACGCAACGGAGCAAGCCAGGCAGCGATAAAACAAACAGACACGCAGATCAAAGGATGGCGGTGTACACGCAGAAGCGTTTGCCTCGGTCTTTCAGCACAAGTCACGTGCCTCGATAACGAAGGCAGCCGACAGCATGCTCATTTAAGAGGGTGAAGTGTCACGCAGGCCTAGATCTTCCGAGTGCGTTTCGTGCAGCAGCTTCAGCTTAAGGCAGCCTCACCGATAACCCTCCTGTATAAGTCCGTCCGTCAGCATAGACAGCAGTAACAGTGCCTGACACTTTGCCGCCTTCGAAGCCGCCCCGAATGACAACACCCTTGCGATAGTTTCGAAGCGAATTTCTCCCCGATCCACTCTGGCTTATTGTTAGTTTCCCGAGACCTTCAAACCTGCCCTTCGCGAATTCGCCTTCGTACTCTAGTCCGTCCCGCTGGACATACCGCCCCTGCAGAGACACAGGTTCCAAAAGCGCTAAAGTGTACAGTGACAGCAGTGCAGCACAAATCTCATGGTGTGCGCTTGAGCAAGTCTGTGGCTCGTCGGAAAAACATAGACACCTCCAGTTGCACACGGGCTAGCACACCACCAGACATGTGTATATGGGTCCATAGGTGTGTGTGTATACGTCTGCATGGGTATAGATATATAGATATCCAGATATATATGTATGCATGCATGCATGCAGGCGCATGTGTGTATAGGTGAAGATGTGCGTGCACATATATTAATATATATCCAATATATATTCATCGGTGCGTCTGTGCCTCTGAATTAGGGGTGGCTGGCCGTAGGGGTAGATGGAGAGCTGACTTTTCCGTGATATTTGTTATCGTAGAACTGGCCCCAATATCTTTCTTTTTGCGAATAAAGGTGCCCTTCGCCACTCTTCTTATTGTGTTGCCACTGCCCGACGTACAAATATCCAGCTGCTTCGTGCGCCAGCACCCCATGCCCGTGCCGCTCATCACAGAACCATGAGCCGTCATATCTAAGAACGCAACAACGCAGAGAGCGTAGCCTGCCGACGAACTAGGGGACGGTGTCTCGCGGAGAGACAGTTACGCAGATGCCGTGGTGGCCGTTAGGAAGCATCCGCTTTCGCTGCCGCGAGGCCTCTGGAGCATCGAGGGCAGCCGCCCAGAAGCCCCCTAAAATAAGTTGTGGCAAAAAATGCTTCCCGCGTGTGTCTTCCCTCCGCCTCATCCCTGTGGCTCCTACCGCATGCCGTCAGCGGAGGAATAAATCCCATCTCCGTGCCGAAGCGATGCCGCGAACTGACCCTCATAACAGTCCCCGTTGCTGTAGAAGTACCGGGCATAGCCGCTGGTAGGCGGGGACTGCAGTGTCTCATGTTTGGCTGGAGCCGCTTCCTCACTCGGCAAGCGGTGCTCCTGAAGCCACGCCTGCAGAGGCCACAAAGTGCGCGCAGGAAGGCAGACATATGTATAATGTATATCAGGGAAAGGCTGGGCAGGGAGGGGATACGAGGCGAGGGATGTTCGGGGACGGATGGCAAGGGCACACACACACACACACACACATACACGCATACACATAAACACACAAACATACACATACACATAAACACACATACACATACACATAAACACACAAACATACACATACACATAAACACACACACACACATACACATACACACACACACACATACATACACACATACACATACACACACAAACATACACATACACACACATACACATACACACGCACACACATACGAGGTAGCTAACTGCAGAGAGCGACAGCACAAGACAGAGAGAGGAAGGAAGCGTATGGATTGCTGGCCAGGCAATTTTCTAGAGACTTTCCTGATTAATTCAAGCCCCAAGTCAGGTGTACGGACACCTAGGTCGCGCCATGAAGCTGGAGGGGCGAAGAATATCACCGCAGCACCCACCTGAAAATTGTAAGTCTCTGTCCATGCCGTCAACCATTCTGCCCCAAAAACACTCAGTCCTTCGCTGTTCGCGGCAGTAGCGGCACGCTGCTGCTCTTGCTGCAGCACTCGCAGCAGCTGCTGCCGCGAGTGCCCAGCACCCGCGGCAAGGGCAGCTTTTCTTGAAAACAGAGCGCAAGCACACACCAGAACGACACGCTTCGCCACACACAGATAGAAGAGTTTCCCCCGCGCGGTTCGTACATCCCTGCAGCATCGCATGCCTTGTTGCGCTTGTTTCCCTTCTCTGAGACAAGCCTTCCTTCGGCGCTACCTATTTTCGTAACAAGGGGAGTGCGGCAGCAGCTCCCGACCTGCATAGCTGCTCCAGGTGCTGCGAGAAGGCCGCACGAATCAAGTCTGCATGCGCTTCCCAATTGGGGTCAAAGAGCGACGGGGGGGCTGTAGCGTCGCTGGTACTTCTGCTGCTTCCTGCGACGAACCAAAGGATTACAGAAGCCGCCGTGCGCCCTTTCAGCCGAAAGCTCCCCATGTATCCCTTTTAAAACACCGGGCAAGCGAGGCCTTTTGAAGCATCCCTGAAAGCGCTCTCACGTTTCCACATGTCGCCTCAACAGCACACACGCTTCCGTAGCCTTCTTGCCACGCGCAGGAGTAGACGCGCACTCGAGCTGTATCCTCACCTGAGCGCTCCCAAGTCCACCGAATTCGGCTGCTTAGCCAGCCACTGCCTCCGCTGGCTAAGGGCGTGGCAAACGCGTCAGAAGAAGCCTGCTCCTGCTGATACTGAGCAGCGTTGCTGGTGACTGCTGCCCCTTCGCCGCTGGATGAGGGAGTAGCGGCTTCCTGAGACGGAGTTTGTGCCCCCAGAGCGACAGCTTCCTCAAATAGGTGCTTGCCGTCTTCGTCGAGCTGACGGCTGCCATCGCCGCTGCTGTTGCTGCTTTGCCCCCTACTTCCGTCCGCTGGCAAAGCGTCCCCCTGCTTCTGCTGCTGCAAGAAATCCGTCCTGCTGGAGCTCCCTCCTCCTCCTGAAGGGGGGCTGACAGCCTGGGAGAAGTCTGTCAAGGCAGCGCCTCTCGAGGGAGATCCGCCTGCTGCACCGCGACAGAAACGGAGCAGAAATGCTTGCATTCTCCGGTGTTCGCTTGCGAGATACGCTTTTCCGAAATCTATTTCTTTTCGACGCCCTAAGCGCCTGTCTCTCGAAAAAGTGGCCTACACAGTGCGCCTCAACGAGGGGGGGAGCCTTGCCTCACAAGGCGACTCTGAGCTCTCGCGACAGCACGCCTAAGTGCACACTTACCTTCATCTTTGCCTTTGAGAAAGGGGAGCCCATGAGCTGCAGCATGGCTGGCAAGAGTCGAAATGGTCTGCTGCAGGAGGTCTGTGGCGTGCTTTGAGAGGCTGCTGCTGTTTGGGGTCTGTCCATCGAGGGACTGACTTCCAAGGAAAGCTGTTTCCCGTGCAATGCGCTGAGCGAAGTGCTCCTCCCACGCTGTCAATTGCAGCAGCGGCACCAGGAGATGGTTCTGAATTGCTACCTCCAGCGCGTCCACGTCGACTGTACACACAGCAAAAGGAGCATTGTTCCCCCACAAACAGCAACACCCCGCAAGCGACTGAGACTACCGACCGGCACTGCCAGCTTCCTGCATGCACACTCAGAATAGCCCCTTCTCCCTCCCTTCGCCTCGACGCTTCTGACAAAGTGCCGCGAACGAACAACGCGCCACGCAGAGGGGGACAAAACGGCGACACTGCATGCGCCTTAGGGCTTGGGTGTGAACGGCGTGTGTGTGAGTCTTGCCCGTGATGTCTGGCTTCCCAACTGGATGTGTCGCTACTGCCCGATTCGTGGTGGCTATGAGGAAGCCTCGCTTTTGCAGCAAGAGATCGTCGACGAGCTCTAGAGGGAGCAGGGGGAAGAAAGCCGAGCGGGAATCGAAGATCCTGAAGGGCAGTCCATGACGCTTCCATCGGTATTCGTGTTCTCCGAAGCCATCGCTTGAAAATCCACATGCCAGCCCACCTGTACAACAGAACACAAGCCGTGTAGACTGCCGACTGCCCCTCAGGCACCTGCTCTTCGGCAACCCCTTTTCGCGAGGCGGGAACGAGGCTTTGTCTCCCCAGCGCCCGTGCGCAGACACATCGCTCACGCACAAAACAGCAGCAGCGCACCTGGCAAAAGCGAGATCAGGGAGAGGACGGCAGTGGAGGCCTTTGACGCGTCTCGAGAAAAGAAGAGGATTTTGCTTTCTAGCAGCAGCGCCTTCACCAGCACGAGAAGCTGCTCTGTTCTCAACAGCGCACAGGGTGAACAGCAGCCTTTGCAGTGCAAGGACTGCGCCTCCCAGCCTCGACGATCGAAATCAGTCAAAAACGCTCCTGCCGAGAGCGCACGACCGAAACACGCAGTACGCGTAGCAAGAAAAGCAGCGAGAGAGGGACAGAGAGAAGAGAGACACAATAAAGGGAAACGAGGCAAAACAGCGCACGGGGGTTCATGGCCATTATAAACGGTGGGAGACCACCCTCCAGGTTGAACGTGATCTCCGTGTAACGCAGCAGATGGAAATTGACGGTGTTCAGCTGATCGTACAACTGCAGAAGAACCTGCGTAGGCAATCCCGAGGAGCTCTCAGCGGTCGAACGCCCACCCCCTGAAGCCGTCTCCATCAACTCAAAGAAGGCTGCGCTAACGGGAAGGAGACGAAAGAGCAATAAGCCCCAGAAGGGGATGCGCGCCACGACGCAGACAGCGCAAAGGCCTTCTGAAGACTCGGGGGCAGAGACTTCCCACTGGCAAAACGCACATACACACACGCGTGTGCAGAGGCTCACATACGTATAGCCACCTCCCCTCTAATTAGCTTTCTCCACTCCCCTTGGCCTTGCTAGTCTAGTTGGACCCCTTTCACCCCTCCAGCGCTAATAGCCGCCTTGCCAGTCTGTTCTCTCTCTTTCTCTCCCTGTCTCTATTTCTATCTCCTTCTCTGTCTCTCGTCCTCTTTCTTCCGCTGCCTCTAGTTCGCTTTCCTCCGCTGTCTCTAGTTCTCTTCCTTTCTCCATCTGTTTTTCCCTATCTTTTCCTGTTTCTATTTCTCTTTCTCTCTCTATCTCGTTTTCTCTTTCTCGTTTTCTCTATCTCGTTTTCTCTTTCTTTCTCTGTTTTTCTCTCTTTCTCTCTTTCTCTGTCTCTATTTTTCTTTCTTTCTCTGTCTCTATTTTTCTTTCTTTCTCTGTCTCTAGTTCTCTTTCTTTCCCTGTCTCTATTTCTCTCTCTTTCTCTGTTTTTATTTCTCTTTCTCTCTTTCTCTGCCTCTCTCTCTCCTTGCCACCCAACGAACCCCTTGTTTTCTCACCAGCCGTTCGCGCCGTGCAGAATAGCAAGACACACCAAAGAGGGAGCACGAACTCTTTTCCATCGGCACGGTGAAGAAAAGATGAGAGGACAGCCGCATGTCTGCCGCAGCTTGCCCCCCACTTCCTAAGAAGCCGCCTGTGAGGCCGTCAACGGACTCCCCCTGCAGCAGCGATCCGCAGCCTGAAGGCAATTCTTCGGGAAGAGCGAAGCGCTCTATCCACTGCAGCAGCCGCGTCGAGCCGCTGTTCAAATTCCAGGGAAAGTTGCCTTGTTCGGCCGCCTGGGAGTGCCCTCGCCACACAGATCGCTGCACGCAATGAAGCGCACGAAGCAGCAGCAGGAGACGTGCAGCAGCAACCTCCAAGCCGATGCAGAGGCCTCGCCAAGGCGCTACACACGAACCGCCTTGCAGGCGCATGCAGCTTTTGCAAAGACTCGCGCAGAAAAGTGCCTGCCGAGCCACTGCCGCTTGCAACAGCGCAGGACGGAAGAGGAGGAGTTTCGCCGGATGCGTCACTTCGAGACAAGCAGCAGCCGTCGAGAAGAAGGAGGAGAGGCGGGGTCTTTTAGAGGGTGCAGCACCAGGCAGCAGCGTAAATTCAGGAGGAGACTGGCTTGAAAGAGGCGCTAAGAGAGAGGTCTCTTCTCAAGAAACGAGGAGAAGGAGGCGCGAAACGATCAGGAAGGATAGCGGCAGCAAAAGAACGGAAAGAGCAACAACGCAGCTCTCTGTACATACAGGCCGCCGCTGTGGGTAAGTCGCGTGCATCGGAGTGGAGAGTTTAACAAAAAGGCGGAAGCAGAAACGCAGGGAAGAGCCAGAGAGGGCGGCAGAGGCGAAGGAGGTCGGCTGTGTACCTCTGTGTATCGTGCGAGATCGTGAGAATGCAGAGGCAAACAGTTGCATGGCGCCTGCTGATGCGCGAAAAGAACTTCTGGACGCCGCAAGGCGGCCTTTGCAACTACAAATATTCTGCATGCGGCAAAGCAGTAACACACACACACAGTCGCCGTCCGTCAAGCCCCCTCCAACCCAGTAGAAAAGACGCTTTCTCCAAGAATTAGAAGTAAACCTACCCGATAATGGGAGGACCATCTGTCTCTGGTCTGTAAACCCAGGAACCTTCGGATGCTCGAGAAATCCGATGAGCCGCACGGCCGCTTGCGTTGGCAGTGCTGCTGCTGCTGCTGCTGCTGCTGCTGCTGCAGCTGCTGCTGCTGCTGCTGCTTTCGTTGGAAGGGCCCTTGCCGCTGCTGTTGACTGCTGCTGTCGTTCGCTGCTCCCCCTTAGCCGTCCCGCGTCTGCTCCTGCAGACGGTTTGCACTTCTGCATAGCCCTCTCTTCCCCGACAGGAAGCAGGCCGTGCAGCTGCAGAAGCGTAGGAGCGTGCTGCTGCTCCTCCTTCTCCTTCTCTTCCTGCCTTTTCTTTGGGGAATCCAGCACAAGGGGGTGCCCCCTCTTTGGAAGGGGAGGAAGTCGCTGCTGGCGAGCCACTTTTAAGGGCTTCTTGAGCCATCTCAGGGGAGGCATCTAGGTGTACAGACACCCCAGCGGCGAGCGCTCCCAGGCGGCGTGCTCCCGCGGCGAGGAGGTCTTCTTCTTGTTCCGAATCATCGTCTCCAATCGCGAAAACAGACTTCCCTGGATGCATAAAGAATGCTTGTTTTGGCAGCGAACTGCTCTGTGGAGCTAGTAGAGACTGCACGCCGCGTGTCGCAGCCAGCAGTGGGGATCAGCAGGGTCGGAGAGCCACGCGTGTCAAGTTTGCGATTTGCGATGTTTCCGTCTGCCGTAGGGGAGCAGCAAGGGGAGCAGGGGGAAGAACCTGCTGGCGTGGGCTGCTCTAGTTGGCGCTGCTGTGAGGGGCCTACGCAAACGTGCTGCAGTCTTCACAACGGCGTATTCAACGAAGGGAGGCAATGCCGATCGTGCGTTCAAAGCGGCAAGGCAACGCGTTACGGGGAATGGAAGCTGGGAAGAAGTCGCCACAAAGGATTGAGGCAATAAGACCTCCAGCGCCTTACTCCGGGGGCAGGGGAAACTCCCGACGCGGCGCACGCGAGAAAGCCTTATAGAGATATACATATACATGCATATGTATGTGCCTTCCACTCGAACGGCCGCAAGCTCGAGAGGCGGAAGCAGTGGGCAGGGGACAAGCCAAGGATGGCAAGGAGTCACGCGTCTCCAGCTGTGCTAGTGCCGCTGCAATCTCAAGGCAGATTCTGGAGGCATGGAAACAGCCAAACTGGCGGATGTATTGGGGATCGAGACGAGCAGTGCAAGGAGGGCAACACGGGATTAGTAGAGAGCAGCCCTTTGGGGGCGTTCCCAAGTTGTGCAAGTGACTATATGGAGGGCGGTGCCTGTTTAGACGGATCGGTTGGGAAATGATCGCATGAGAAGAAAGCGAAACGCGGCATAAACAGGTGGAATCGAAAGAGGAACAAAGCACCCATAACAGAATTGGGGAGCAGGGGGGCCGACCGCTGTGCTGCGTCGAGGACACAGTCTATATCGAGGGCGTCAAATGCCTCTATTGACGCAACAAATGAATTCACCCGCTTTGTCTCTGCCCAGTTATGTGGTTTCGAAAAAGGAAGGAATGAGAACAGGAAGGACGGGAGAAAACCAACAAACAGGAAAACGCCCACTGTATTATTACGCTGGTGCTCCTGCTACGAAGGGCAGCGGCCTCTGACTTTCAAAGATACAAAGGGGCGAGTATTTGAAAAGCGATGAGATATACGTTGTATTTTACTGAAATGTTGCCCAGAATGCTTTGCTTTATGGGTTCGTGAAGTAGTTGCGTGGAATGACAGAACATTTAGGTGCACAACCACGGATATCTATAGATACGTATAGCTGCATACACACCGGGGAGGTAGGCCGTGCGCCTATAGTCATATACGATTACGATTATACTAGTTTCTTAGTAACAGTCCTCTTCTCCTATCAGTGGTCATTCGCCTCCATTGGAAGCCAACGAGTTCCGCATGGAAGAAGGCAGAGCGAAAAGTTCTTCTCTCAGCAGCAGAACTGTATGGAATGTCTCCATAAGAACAAGCAGAATATCAGCAAGGCCAAACAGATCTTTATGCGTTTCCTGATCATATGCGGTAATTTTAAACACATAAGCTTGGGATTCAGCCATAGTGGGATATAGTGGCATGGGGTAATGGCTGTAGCACATGAAACAACTCAGAATGGGCAAAGAAGAACTAGCAAAAGCTGATGAAGAGGCTTGCAAAGGATACAGTAGGACGCTTGAGGGAAGTGAGCTACAAGTGAACAGAGTAGGCGTGCGCGACTTACCCCGGCTCCGTTTACATACTACGATTTGGTTGCTGGTCTTCAATCCTCACTCAGGAAGTTGCAATTTCTGTACTTTATCATTGAGCGAGCTCTAGCGATAGACTACAAGGAAGACAAGTTTAAAGTCTGCCAAGAAGCGAAAGCGGCGCCTAAAGGACCAGAAGCTGCTAGACAGTTTGTCGAGTCTGCAGTAAGATTGGTCACCTAGGGGTCAAGAACAAAAAGTGTAGATGCTGATTCGCAAGCAAAAGCGATACATGGATTCGTGATGTGTGTACTTGCATACTCGAATTACTGTGAGGTCAGGTGTGGCGAAATTTGTCCAACTAAAAGCATATTAATTACTAGCTTCAGCCGCCACAACGTAATTCTTCGACAGATTCCGCGATTGCTGTGCATAAATATCGTGATTTGGAAAGTCAATAGGATCAAAACTCTTATTCAAGATAGCTGTGTGTGTGAAACTGTCTCTGTTAGCCCGAAAGTGGATGAGCGGGCGATGTAACACTGAAGTACTTTCCACTACACTACTTATGTCCAACTAAGAACCCTTGAACAATTGCCTTAACGGGGTTTCCTGTCGAGATGCCCTATTTGTTGCACAGAACTGTTAGTGCAGCACAACGAGATGCAGTGCTGCCTGCGCATGATCTTGATGCTAAGTATAACTTAGTTGTGAATGCTCAGAGTGGGCGGTGCAGCAACACGCAACCCAGCTATTCCTCTTCGCTCATGAGAAGAACTAACAGGGATAAGGACACGAGCAGGAGTAAGACTTCTCGCTTCTATCACGCTTGTCCATGGTCTAGGATCATTTGTCTACTTACAAAGACCTTTGATGGAATGTCAACAATGTAGGTAACTACACCCATAGTAGACCCCTTCTCTCGTCAGTCCAGGCGTCCGTCACCTCATGGCAAGAAGTGAAGATGTATCTTGTAAAAGAAAACCAGACGCTCTCTTTATTCGCTTTCCTGGCCTTCCTCTCGAGGGTTTCCAGAGACGCGCATGCAGCCCAAATCGATGCGAAACCATAGGGGCGAAATACCCCGAAATCAGTTCTTAAGACAGACATCTTCCCTCTTTGCGCTCATAGTAAGGGCCACCGGGTCCAAGATTATAATGAACAGTGGGGAAGTACGAACGGCACACTCTGAGCAGTTCAGGCACTTTCGTGCAGGTGTACAGATTACCTCAGGGCAGAATGGCACGCAACCGATGGGGTAATAATATAAAGACAATCCAGCTCCGCAATACGCAGAGCAGAGCATCATCGAATTGTGCATTCAGGCCTCATTTAAATCGCTTATTTACTTAAACTAGGGCGAAACGTTTCCGATTTTGCTTGGGTCGAAGAAATAGATTATCCAGGACGAGAGTACAAAGAAGTGTGCCTTAGCTTGCCTAAGGACAGACACTCCTGGGCACTACTTTTTTAGTTGTGTCCCTGATTTTTTAGCGCCTCATTTGCTGGAGTTTGAAAGAAATGTTGCACCTTGTGCACTTTTGTGCATACGTTCAGTGACAGGCTTGTTCGGAGCTCTGAACATTGATCTGGCTTACAGAGGCCAATACAATAGTCAAGTACTGCATGCTCGCAAACGTGTGCATCTGATTTCTCATTTAACACCTTCCGTGTATGCATGGACACCCCGTTGTCCACAGAAGAACGTGAACCAGAGTCTAACTACAGCGAAACTATGATTGAGGACAGCTAAAAGCCAAAAATAATGAATTTAATTGTCGTACTTAACATTCGACAATAAAGGAAACGGCCACACAATGACAGAAACCGCTGGAAGCAAACGCAAGACAAAAATGACCTCTCTCCCTCTGGCGCCGCGCGCTGTCTGTCGCATGGCCGAATGGTGGCTAATGCCCCACTCCCTTTTTTCTGTTTCTTCGCCTTATCGGCTTGCAAAAGGCAAGAGGAATTGTTTTGTCTGCAGATCATCTTGAACCAAGGCAGACATCCCCTGTCGTCTGCCTCCCCTTGTTTCCCTCTCCCTCGTACTCGTTACCCAAAATGGCAGTGAGTGTACAAACTGGAGATGGGCCTCGCAGGTCTCTGACTTTAAAATGCGGAGGAAAATATTCTGATGTCTGCGGAAAGGCACGAAATGTCGAGGGGGGCCTCCAGTGCTTATCTGTCTCAATGCTCGCTCAGTTGGGTGTTTGCATGCTTGTTTGGCCGTGTCTCCGATCGTTCTTTCAGCCGGTCATCTGTCTTGTTGTTGTATTGCTTTTGGGCACTTTTCTGCCAAGGAGAAGATGGATGATCCTCATTATTTAGCTCAAGTGCTGCTCTTTCCTTTGGAAGGCCGATGCGATCCTCCTTCTCATGGGCGCTTTCATTTTTCGTTGTTTCTGCTTTGCTATCCGTTCTAAAGCCCCTCTTCCATCGCTTGGCACACCCATTTGTTGGATTGGTGCTCTCTCCCACGTCGCTTGTCTCCCTTTTGGTAGCCGCCCTCCTCCGGCTCCGCCAGTGCCCCGTGCGTTCAAATCACTACTGCTTATTGCGCTCTCGTTCATTTCTGTCACGTATGGCTCAGGGAACCAGCAGGAAGTATTCCAAGAAGATTGAGGCGTTCGACCGAAGCGTAACCAAGCGCGGTCAGGTTCCCGAGAGCAGGCAAAAGAAAGGAAAGGGCTACCCAGTGGGTCCAATCGTTTTGGGCGTCTTCCTCTTCGTAGTCGTGGGGTCGGCCATCATTCAAATCATCAGCTCTGCACAGAGAGGCGTTCTTCTCTAAACTTTGACTGCGGTTAGGAGGGCCGCCATGGCATTGTTTAACAGCTCCATTGATTGCTACGGCCAGTTAATGGTTCAGCTACCAGAGTTGCGGCTTGCTGCCTGTTTATGCTTCTCCGTGTTTTTGTAGCCGTTCATTTTTATCACGGAATTTGATGTTTTTCGCGACCTTTTATTTGAGCGAGACTGCAGTCGTTATCGATGCTATAGGAATTGGGCAGTATGGAGGGCTAGCTACTGCACCACCCGAGGTCGTTTCTTAGCCCTGTGGCATTCTCTTAATTAGAGTTCTGTTTTTGAAAGACTGATAGGTGTAGGCTGCAACGCAGCAGCAACTAGTCTAAAGCCAAAGAGAAAAGCTGCGAAAGATGCAGCCCGAGGAGAGGCAGGACGCACGCTCGAAGCACTGCACATATTATCTCCTTGCGTGAGGGAGCGATCAAAGCGAACACAAAAACAAAGGGAGGCAGAGGCAGAACACCGTCATGAGGGAATGGCACTTAGGCTTCACGCTGTCTCGGTCATGGTCTGTGGTGTCGCCGAGTACAGCAGAGAAAGGTGACAAGACGCCCCTCCTAAAAATTCCGTTTACCTCTCTCCCTTTTTCGACTCATGCGTTCTCCTCCACGAAATAGAGAAACTAAAGCCAGCGAGGGGGCGCAAGGGGGCGGCCGCTTGATTGAGGACGAAGAGGTTCCGGTCCGTAGCTCGCCAATGCTATGTTGTCTAGCTTCTGAAGTTCCTTTGCGCATCGAGGAGAAGCTCCCGAAGACAGGCGGGGGCGTGCACCTTGGTCAGAGGATTCTCGTCGATGACTGGGAACAACAGGAGAGAACTGCGATGTACACGGGTGTGGCGGGGGTGCAGCGCCTTGCTAGCGAAAAACGCATCGATAAACAAGCTTGCGTATTTTCTGTTTGATTTAAAAGTGACTCTGTGTTGTGCAGTACCTGGCGGTTGGACAGACTCGACGAGGAAGCAGTACATGAACGTATCGGAGACAATATCCCATACGGACATGAAATGGAGGGCAATGAAAAAAGCGCACAGAGCGGTGAAGAGGGAAACGCAGAGTGGAGCCGCCACAAATGAGGCGGAAGTAATGGAGGAGTACTTCTCTGTTGCAGTTAAGGTCTGCGGAGCAAAAAAAGCAAAAGTTGGAAGAATTGCTCGTGCAGGGAAGAAATGTAACTGCAGAGCAGGTGAAAGGTGCGTCGAGGTGCTCCGACGATCGGATGGCGCGACAAACGGCTTTATTTGCAATGCATCTACTTCAAGTGTGGCATTATGAAGCACCCACAGCAACAGGTAAAGGTAGACACAGATAAGAAAAAGGACTCACCGAGTAGGCCATGGCGCCGATGAGCAGAGAGATGAACAACGAGCCCACTGCTGAGGCGGTTGACACGATCTGAGCATCAGCAATGAAGAAGCGACTAGTTGGTGGTATGTTCAAGCAGCAAAAAGGCAAAAGTGGGCGCAGTGCCCCACAGCGCATTAGAAACATTGGCACGGGGAAAATCAAAGTAGTGTAGAACACAACACATGCTGGGGTGTAACATGTAGTCTAGGTAGGAGCGTACACATCGGAAGCAAGAGCGTGAACCCGGTGGCTGTGGATCATTCTACAGAGACGCAGAAGGATATCTTCTGTGAGCACATGCGACGGATGCAGCGAATAATGCTGCAGTTCGCTCTCAGTAAAGAGCAGATTAACGCACCCCATGAAGCAAAGTGGCTGGAGACCGAGCTTGAGCAAGGCGAGCGTATGATTTATCCATAGCGGGGAAGAATGGCTTGGAGGATATGGACATCTGAACCACAGCCCACATAGCATAAGCTGAGGTCGATGGACACCAGAAAATAGTAGAATATTCACTCTCTAAATTCGGGTTCAGAAAGCGAACCGTAAACCCCGAATTTCCCATCTCTAGAAGGCATCCAAACAACTTGAATCCCATTCTCTAATCCTTAATGGAACGCCTCAAAGTGCAGCCCTCATTCCGTTACGCATCACCGAGACTGGCAGTCTCTTATGGAGAAAGGGGGCAGAGGAGCATGGGATGCGGCGCATTGCCCATAACATGTTCCCGGCAATCTGACCTCGATGTAGCCGGAAGACGTAAATCGATCAACGATAAACGTTAAGGGGCTCATGATACTCCCTGTAGCGAACACAAACGTAAACATTCTAATGCGTAGTTTTGGGGGCTACACGTTACGTTTGATCGACCACCGAAACACTGCAGTGTGCTTTCCTCGAGATAACTTTCAATCCGCTTCTGCAACGCAGCACTGGCTGCTTTGCACTCACACCAGGACCGATTTTATGAGCTATTCTGCTCGGTTATTTGGGGGTTCCGCTACATGAACGGCAGCAAATCTAGTCGCGCGCGAACAGGAAGGGTGGCGCACGCCAATAGGATCCAAGGACACATGAACACCACCAACTAAGTACGGGAACTCACCAAATGAATCTCTGAGACTTTGGACAACTGGAGAGTCTTCTGTACCCGCCAAATGTTTTGACGCTGTCCAAGGGAAGAGCAGACGTATTCCCCTTGTCGCTCCCATCACTAGACCACCGACAGCGAAGCTACCGAGATGATGAATGAAACCGAGCCCCATGGCTACAAGAGGCGGGAACCAGCCCACGTCTCTTTCGTCTGCTCCTTCGGGAGGAGAGAAGTACCAAACTGTTGCAGAGTACGAAACAGCAAAGTGCGAGAAGGCAAGGAGTGCTTCGAGCACCCAAAAGAAGCAAATCCACCAAACGAAGCCGAAAAACATGAACCGAACGTCCCACACAAATTCCCTGTGGAGCGGCAGAATTCCGACGTCGCCGTTCTGTTCCAAGCCCATAGGAATCTGCACAATGAAAAGCAAAATTAATGCTTCGTGCAGCTAGAGGGAAGAAATGCGTCGATCCCTGAGTGGACCTCAGATACACTAGTCGTTAGCACATCAGGAAACACAAAGTACAGGGGAACGCACAGAGGGAGGCGTAGAGTCAAGCAAGCAAGTCGGGCAAAAGAATCAACAGCATCCGAGCGCAATCGAACAGGGTGCTATCTGCAGTCCTTCAGTAACAGCAGCCGCTGCAACGCAGCACGGCTGGCCCCTTGCATGCAACAGGAAGGAAGGCGATATTCAAGTGGCAAAGCAGTGCGCGCATTTCATCAAGTACAGGGTTACATTGACTTATTTATCCCGCCACAAAGCGTTTACCTCAGTGGCCCCCACGCTTCCAGCCGAGGCGATATACAAGTACGACCAGAGCCAAATAAGAACCCACACGATGGTTCCTGCAGAGGACAAAGCCAGAAAATGCCAGTCATGCGGAAAAGTTTCACAACGTCCCGCATTGAGCAGTGCATGCATTTTCCACATAAGCTGGTTTTAAAGCCCCATTTGGAAGAAAAGAAGCTAGAGACCAACCATTAAAAATCGCATGTGATTTTGCGGTTTTGCATGGCGCCACTCGCCCTGTGGAAGTCTGTTAGCGCGTATTGAACTTGAACTCGACGTGTAGTCTTGCTTTATTGGGGTGTATGCCGAGGTGCCAACAAGCCTACCTGCGGAGAAAGAGAGGGGTGCGATGAAGATTTGTTGCATGTCGCTCATGGCTTCCGCGATGCACTCCATGACCCGCAAAGATGCTGCAATAGCTCTTCTCGCCACGAAGAGGGCCGCGCAAAGGAAGCAGCCAATGAAAAGCAGAACGAATCCAACCTTGGGCAGACAAAAAGGGGGGAAGGATTAGCAGAAAGCACCCGACAGTAGTGGAAGGCAGGCAGCCGGAAGGGAAGCAAGGGAAACAATCGAGGGTCTGAGAGTAGCAATAAGGCGATGAAATAAGGAGAAATGAGCCAAAGACGACAATAAGAAAAAAAAATCATGAATTCACGTAAGCCGGCAGAGACATGAGTGAGACATCCATGGGAGAAGGCAGAGGCCAGGAGGCTCCCACCTGTGCACACGTGCAAGAACTGAGAGGAAAGAGCCGATTATGAGGGGAAGCCAGATATGCCTAAATTTGGGGGTGGCTTTGGTGCTCACAATCATGGCAAGCGTATAGTCGAAGGAATAGAAGCTTCCCTTGTCTTGATCGAGCACCCCATTAAAGCCACTCTTGATGAGACTTCCGCCACTGATGAATGCAAGTGCAATGGTGCTGACGGCAGCGCCCCCAAGAACAAATCCAGGAGCCGCTCGAACGGAGGCAGCGAAAGCCAAGGAGAAGATCACAGCGAGTACGAGATAGCCGAATACTGATCCCCCGGCGCAGAAGAATGATCCGATGGCGAGCTGCAGCTGCCGGAAAGTGCTGTTCAGCGCTGGCGCCAGCTGCGAGCGGAGGGAAGGGTCTAGGGGGATGCAGTAGGCGTCTGCCATGAGGGTGCTCGCATAGGCAGGTGACAGAAGCAGAAATTCAACTGTCATAGCCGAAGTCTTAGAAGTGTCTACCGTCGTCTCGCGAACCGGAACCGGTATGGCAACTCCGTTTTCGACGTCCTCTTCTGTAGGGCACTTTGCTACGCAGCGCCCATCTTGAAGCATAATCGAGGCAAAGGATTCTCGCGGATCGAGGGGGAAGTACAAGTATGGCAAATCCTTCACGGCTTCATCTACCCCGCACGCCTTCCCTTGGTAGTTCATGCCCTTGTAAAGGCGAGCAGGACTCCCCTCGGTGAGCGCCACCAGCACGAAACACAAGCAAAATAGCAAAAATGCAGCAAAGACAGCAAGCCAGTTTCGGTCCGTAACTCTTCTTTTTGGTTCCATATCGGAATTCAGCATAGCCGTCGTTGCACACGGCAAGGGCCCCGCGTAGGCGCCTTCATGCACTGGAGCGCCTAATGCATACACGCATACATACATACATGTACATATACACACGCGAAATGCATTTGTTAGAGCCTGTGTAGTGCGTGGCTGCAACATTGAGCTAGGTGGCGTGTGCTTGGTGGGCCCTCCCTCCCCCCCCTTGCCCCCCCGTTTGCTGCCATTGTTGCAGCAGGTTAAAACCTCCTTCGGAGGAAAAAGACTTGACTATGCGACACACTGGGAAGGCAAGGCTGTGCGAAACACTTTCTAGCTACACACGGACAGAGAGGCAGAGGCAGCTAGAGCTCTATTCACTCGCAAGAAAAGCAGTAGAAGCAGCAGGACTAACAGCACTAGCAACTGTGGCAGTAGCACCGCTGACAAACCAGGAGAGCCATCGTGAGGCGGATAGGGGGCTGTAATATACCCGTGGAGGGGTGGCACCCCACCCCCTATGGGTATATAACTTTCGGGGGCGCCGGTGGGCTGCATCTTTCAAACTGAGAGAAACTGGAAAGCAGAAAAGGGACAAGGGAAAGAGCCGAGTTATGAGAGGAAGGGACGAGGCTACAAAGATTGGGCAGCAGCGCTGGAGAGCTTCTAGAGTGGCGAAAGAATGCTGAAAAAACGAGGAGAGAGCTATGCGTAACGGAGAAAATGCGCTGCTTTCCCCGTGCACCGGAATGAGTGCTGCCTGCTGCGGCGTTTCGGCGCATTGAGTGCTGCTGTGTCCTGTGCGCCCTTTGGTGACCTTTGGCCTTTCTCTTGAGTGCTCGTTATCTCGCAGAAGATGCGAGAGAGAGGACACGTTCATTGGGCAGAGGGTGAAAGATTTAGGAGCATGAGGCCTGCTGCACCTTCGCTTACAGCTCGATAAGCCCCCTTCCCACGTGAAAAGAAGTCTGCAGTTCCGTCGCTCCCTGCACATGCAAAGACGCGCTTTATTTTTGGAGGGGTGTGGCGAAAGAACTTACACTTTGCCCGCGGAGAACCGAGGTGTGAGGAACACCTGGAAATGCCGCTGCAGCGGTCGGCTGCGACTTCTCCTGTGCGTTGTGCAGCACGGAGCACGAGACAACAAATTCCCGTAACTCCCCTTGAATATAATCAAAAGAAGAGAAATCGAAGAACAAAAGCAAACATGGACGATTCCGCCTTTTACGGTAAAGGGGCTTCGTGTCGGCTGCGCCTCAGGAGGACCACAGGCACAGCAGTCGCTAGCACCAGACAGACGAAAGATGGACGGTTTCGGACCAAGATTACCTTGGTTTCCCACAGGAAAATTAAAATAAAAGAGTTTTCATTCCTTCTGATATCAAGTGTGCGCTGAATGAGGGCTGGTGGAGTAGGCATCTTTATTATCTCACTCCCTGCACACTCGGGTGTACGTCCACATTGAAACATGCAAGAATGATGGCAAAAAGGGCTGCCTTCTCGACATCAAACAAAGCTCTTCTACGGCCAAGAACGACCTGCTGAAGGGCTTTATCGCTAGGACGACGAGCAAACTGCCTTTTTGTTCCCGCATGTACTTTAATGCTGCCACGTCCCTTCGCAGTCCCTCAGTCCAAGTAAAGTTAGTAGAGGCAGCAGCATCAAATATTCACACTTCTCCCAAAGCTCCAAAATCTGTGCTTATCAGGGGAGTGCCGAGGTGGTAAACCCGCGGCAGCTACGGGATTGTATATGCCCCAGTTCGACTATAGCAGATGCTGCAGGTGGATATGGCAGGAGGGCGGCGGGGGCCACCCTGCAAATGCCTTCAGTCATTGAGCATGCCATGAACATAGAGTCAGTGCTGCTGCATGATCCCCTTGGGCAGCAGGCACTAGAGCGCACATGGCCGGGTCCTGTAGCGCTGGAGTGGGCTAGTGTACTAAAACACTTTCCACTATGCCAGTAATACTTAACTATGTATAGTTGAAGGCTAACTATCGGCGTTTGGCTGTTAATTCACCTTACTTATTGCCGGGTGGCGGTAGATCAATTGAAGCAAACGCAGCTTTGTGTGTGTGTGCGCTGGACGCTATGTGCAACGAGCTGCGAATAATGGGAATGCTTATACGTGGAACAACGCGATTTCTCTCGCTCGTCCTTGGTTTCCATTGACGAGCGCCTTTCTGATCCATGTGTGGATCTGGTGACCTAGAGTCAGCGGCCACCTTTGCAGCGGAGCGACGTAGAATGCAGCTTGCTAGTCCAGGCGAGTGCATGCTTAAGCCTCAACAAAAAGAGCAGAATTATAACACACCTTAGCTATGTGTGTGCCTTAGTCTAGAAATTCGGTTCGGATGGATCGTAAGGCTTTACGAGGCGCACCATAAGGTGACCCAACAATGTAGTTTGCGGTCAGTAGCCTACGAACATTTGCTATTTTTCATGACTCAGTTCTCGTTCTCTATTGATTAACCCAAGAGCTGAAAGTGTCACAGAGCTACCATTGTGCGATCAATGATATGTGCAACTAGGTGCTAAGGCTCGAAAACCTTAGAGAGTGCAACAATGCGCACCCTACTAGCCCCTCTCCCTCGCCCATAGAACTCCCTAGGGGAGAGGTTAGGGAACAGCAACAGTTCTTTTGGGAAACACGCGATGACTTCCTAGTAAGTTTTTGTTCAGTCGGTAAAACAGTGTCCCCCTACAGAGGCCGTAGATGAAGCATAAATCCCAACTGTGTGCAATAATCACTCAAGTAAAATAGAAGGGAAGAATGAGACACAGTCACGAATGAGCAGGGGTACAACAGAGGCAGTGCCACGGTTCGTTGTAGCAAAGCGCTAAAATATGCGAGCCTGCTGGTACGAGAAAACAGTAGACAAACAAACTTGTAAACGAAATCAAACTACACACTATTTCAGCGGAGCCCTTACACCGTAAAAGCAAAATCTGCACGCTGATACCGCCGGTACATGCAACCTAGTCTATTTCAAGACCCCCAGAAGCCTTTCTAAAACAATATGAAGACAGCATACATACGGGTACCTACGAATAGACCCCAATGTAAAGAAAACATCAATAATATAAACCGGGAACTGTTCAGGCAAAACTCATAGATGAAAGTAGCTATCTGGGCAGAGCAAGCGCTGGAAGATGACACTTACTAAGGGGCGCGATAAAGACTGGCCACGACGATTAGTGTTGAGGGTAGAGCCAAAAGCTGGTCTGCAGCCAATGAAGCCCGCAGTTGCTAACCCAGGAATTCGGGTTAGCAAGGGGTAGGCGAGAATCCTGGTGTACTATAGGTTCTTCTAAGCACAAGTAAGACCACCAAGCCACTTATATAAATTTTTGTGAGCATACGGTAGCAAAGCATGCAGAAAAACGGGCGGTTGGTGAGCCTCGTGCGCTCTTACTAGCTTCAGATCCCAATTCGCTATTACACTGCTGGGAAATGTGTAAGGCCTCCAGGGATAACTTAAGCATGAGTGGGTGACCTCCCAAGCCATTTCAGACCTAAAGTTAGGGATAAAAGGGACATCTTTACTGAGTCAGTTGACGTAGACGTAGATGCTATCCTGACCCTGGACCACCTACACTCTAACAGTGAAGTCCAAAGTCAGGTGCTTCCGAATCCGCTCAGGAATCGGAAGAATTTGCAAGATGCTGGGCGTAAAAAATTTTCGGGGCTTCAGCCACTGAAGTTCGGACCTAACAGTGCATGCTCCTCTGCCGCGTAACCTGCAATGTGCCACCACAAGGACCCTGCTAGCTTTTCCATTCTAGCATGAATTCTACTGTATCCAAAACGTGCATAATGATGTGCGTTTGCGCAAAAGAGAACTGCAGAGCGAAGTCGGACTCTACAAGCAGCGGAGTCCCTGCCCTGCGTTAAACCACACCAGGCCATCCAGAAAGTGGTGGTGCTTCGCGCGTTTGCTCTTGTGGGTTTTGGCAAATGTTGTAGGGGATGTGTGGGTTTCAGCACCCCACGTCTCAAACAAAATGGCTGAAGGTCGTGAATAACCAAAGACAAGAGTGGGTGCGCAGCACAGCAGCAAACTGCTGGGGCGTCGCCGGAGAGCGTCGGCAACCGCATCGTCGATTCTCCTAAAGTACTTCACCATAAAGTCATACTGCAGGAGGCCTCCGTGAGAGCGGACAGCTCTCCACTCAAGAAAGGCATAAAAACTTTTTGTTAGGCACATCAAAAACTGAAGATCGGATTGAGCAGGAACGTGCCAATATGAATAATGCTGGCGTTTTTTGCACTCCCCAACACACCGCAGCCTTCCTTTTCGCGCACTGGTTTCCCCTGCTTGATATCGGTAGAGCGCTGACAGTAGCAGGCAATAAATAACCCCTTTGCGGAGCCCGTAGCCTGTCGAGAGAGAATGGCGCTCTCCACCTCGTCATAGTTTTGCATCCTTAGGAAGACTGACACTCAAATTCGGGCAGCACAAGGACCGGAGAAGTTGTAAGGCGACCGATAAGCGTCATTGCTCATGCATCAGCCTCCTCTGCCTAGATTTTAGGCTACACCTCATGAAATAGGGTACTCGACGGAGCACCGGCCCGAGCAAATTGAGGGATGAAATGTAGGTGAGAAGATGCATGCACTTCGAGCTTTCCCAACGTCCTTACGGGTGCTTGAAGGTGAAGACCACACCCTAATTGCTCCAATTTTTGCTGGATATGGTTCGATCGCAACACAATATCTCATAAACACAAATATTCCCATGAGTCCAAACACTTGCATGGCTTCGCATACCACTCCTTCTTCACAACAGCCATAGAGCATGCCGTAGATGCTGTAGATAATTTTGAAGGCTGCGGCTCAATACTGTGGCTCTCCATGTAAAAAACCAAACGTTCTCCTCAAGGCCCTTGAAGCCTCATTTAAATTTCGGCCTCAGTCCAGCTGGGGCATTGAAGAGCCGACAAGGCACAAAGGTATACTCGAGACTGCGAGCGCAGCAGTTTTGAGCATGTTAGCAAGGTGAATGGGGATGGGCGAAGTAATATGTTGAATAATGTATTGATCCGTGTAGCGCAGGCAACTCGTCAATATGAGGCATTGGGACCTTTTGCTTTGTCGTAATCCCGTTCAGGGGCTAAAAGCTAAAGGGAATGCTCTAGTGTTCGCCTGCTCCTGCAGGAACACCGAGTTAAACCTAAAATCGCCGGTCGATTCCTACCCTTAGCCTGTTTTCGATTGATCATGCGCCTGCTGCTTAATCTAACGTTCATGCAGTGGGGAATATTCTTACCTCTGGAAATAAGAGGAGGCCCACTCGAGAGTTACCTCTAATAGGTTTCGTGCACACTCAGCAGATGGCCCGCCTGCTAGCAGCTCGTCAGTTTTGCACAATTGAGAGCTGCTGCTTATTTGCCTGCTATATTCCTTCGCTGATCGTTCGTACTAATTCTTCAGTAAAAAAGAAATTGCAGAGCCAATGAGGCTGGATGCATGCTCAGAATTGTCTTCTCTCACTGCCCTAATAAGCCGCCCGCAGGTTGACTCTGCCCCGCTAGACTGGTGGAGCAACCCTACCTCGAGCAGCACAAAGGATATCAGTGTTGTCGGAGAGACCAGAATTCGGTTCTTCGTAGCACTTGCTGACACGCTATTGCTCCACAGCACGTAGCGTGTGGCCGCACGCGCTCCTTCCACTGGGTAAGCCATGGCATGCGTCAGATTACGCAGCATAAAAGCCACAGACGATGTTGTAGACCCTATTTCCAGTCAAAGTAGCATTTAGTTGCCACAGCCGTGTAGATCCTTGTGTTATGCTGACCGTCAGTAAGCCTGAGTCTTAGGAACGGCCTACCAAGTGAATGGGCAGAGAGCTCGGTTACGCCGTGTCCTCGGACAACAAAATCACTCTACATCCAGTGTCAGGTAATTCCAGATTTTTTGAATATCACTATCAGCTGCATAAATGCACAATTTTTTTTGGGTCCCTAACAGCGGCTCTATCCTCTGTAGCCTCCTTCGCTAAGCCGCAGAGTTTTCTTAGGGGCTTTCCTTGTCCGTGATCTGCCTTCTTTGTCCTCTTCCTTCTACTTACTTCCTCTGCATTCAATATCGTTTTAAATGTACTTTGGATTTTGCATGCGCCTGTCCTTATGACTTATATGACCCTAGCAGGTGCGTTGTTGGGGGACTGTATGGGCTGCTGGGCAGCGCGGGTCCCTGGGGCTCTTTCTGTTCAGCGTAGACTGTAGCCTTGGGCTGGCTGAGACTTCATATATAGGCCCCAAATGATGGCGTGTATCCGTTTGACCACAGACGCAAAAAGGTACCCTCATTCGCTTCAAAAGCTCCAAGTAATCCATCGCTTGGTGAAGCTCCACGGCCGCTTGTTTATCAGTGAGTTGCCCATGTTGTGACTACACCTAAAACTTTGGGTAAACCTAAGGTAACGACTGATAAAGCAGCTGATATTCTACGTTGTGGACTTCGTGAACCAAAGTCTTATGGCTCTTGACTTGCGATCCATTTATAGATTCCTCTGCTCTAGCTTTCTCAAATTTCCCAGAGCTAGTTGCGGGGCCGATCTCAGCACAAACCAATGGGTCGAGACTTGTAGAAAGGCTTGAAGTGCAATAATTCTTGCACTAATACGGCTTATGATACATCAATAGAGCCATTCTCGAAATGGGCTTTCCTCCAATTTGCAGGTCACAAGATATACTCGCTTCTCTTTCATACGGTCTAAAATGCGAGGTATATCCTCAGCTTGCCGATAACGTTTCGAGTATTTGCCCATCCTTACACCTGTCACACTATTCTGGTCGGCATACCCTTAGCAATGCATGCACCAACATTTTTCGGCTCACAGTTCGTGCATTTCTCCATGCTGCAGAGATACTATATTCGCATCATCTTGCGGGCTGGCTGTTGCCGCCGACCCCCGCATGGGCTACAGTCCGCTTCCACCCCGATAGGGTCCTTCTGCGGACTGCTGCCCAAAATAGAGTAATGAACTTTCAAATAATTTTGTCGGAGCTATACAAATGTTCAGGGGAAATGTGGAATCCCACTTCTTCGACATTTAGCAGACGAGCGGCGAAAAAGTGCATCGAATCATGGGGTGCTACCGCCACCCTGTTCTAGGTCTCCGTTATGAGACGCTCTACTCCAGACTCGAAACAATACAAAGAAAAATTTCTTCAGTGCTTTCAAGAAGAGCTCCTGCATCCCCCTACCCTTTATTCCCAGAATTGCCGATGTGAGGAAAGACGTACTGTGCGTGCGCTAGCGGCTATGTATAGCTAGCTGTGTATGCTCAGAGGGCAGCTAGGGTGCACATAGCCGCAGCATTAAAACGTCCGCTCATCCACAGCTCGTTGCGCATAGCACTTAGCCCGCATGCGCGCAGCCTTGCCCGAAGCCAAAAGTTCTCTGCAATATAAAAGATGTATGAACAGGCAACTCATCAGGCGTTTTTCTAATTAGCCTCTGATTGTATATAAGCAATGTATTAGAAAGGGTTTAAATGAGTGCACGTAAACTTGGGCATCTAAAGAACGGAGCGTGCTGACGTTTCACTGCAATAACCTGCACTTACAAGCAGACACCAAGAAGACGATACACTCAACCTATGCTCCATCAAATCCAACCTGTGCAGTAGAAAGCGTCGAAGTGTACCACTCGGTCCAGTATACTGGGACTCTAGCGCCTCGAACCTAATTTCTGAGGCTTCAATAGCGAGTTTACGCACTAAGCCCTAGAGGTTTCCTATGAAACTGAGATAATTTTTGCGCGTGCTTTCAACTACTTCGTCTGCACAGACGATACAAAGCAGAGCGCAGTGAGAAAGCGCCTCTACCCTGCTTATGAAGAAACAGCATTCCGAGTTGCAGCACTTCCTTGGCAATGCCTTAACAGACCTCTCTTCTCTCTGACAAGCCTGCAGATATTTCTAGAAGCCCAAACTTGGGGTATTGATGGCACTCCTGGTATTGCACTCTGTTTTTTCCGTGCAGTTCCCCCCAGCGCTTCTCTCGGCTCCCCTCCCCTGCCTGGCGGGGAAGGACGGAGATACGCCTGCCAATAGAAACCATGTGCCCCGCCCGTGCCATTGAAGTCAACGGTTTCTACCTTGTGCAAATTTGTGTAAAAGGTTTAAAAACAAAAGCCGACGACGTGTTCTAGCGCGCAGCGCGAGAGGGCCCAGGTGGTTTGTGGGGGGAGGAGAGGCTTCCTGCGCAGCATTCGTTGACGGTGTCTGTAGCCTCACGCATTAACCCTTGGTGCCTAAGCATGTTGCATGGTCTCTGTTGTCCATCTGAATAATAAATACCTCGGAAAAAGAGACACGGGCTCGGCGGCAGCGCTACCGGAGAGTGTGCAGCTGCAGCACCAACAGAAGCTGCAACAACGGTAGAAGATACCACGGGGTGAAGAAGCCGTGGCACAGCCGCAGTGCAGCGCTTCGCCTTCCCTCCCCACCTTCATCTCTACGGCAATTTGTTTCGAGAGTTCAGGGTCTGTAGGGTAGAGTGCTGTTCAGCCTCAGTTTCCTCGTGGACCGTGGCACTTGAGAAGCGCCCGTTCCCTTGCTCGCGGGCTTTGGCTTGAGGGTTGGTCGTTTTCAGTTTATTTAGGACGTGTCAGAGGCTTCCTTGAGCAGGAAAATGGCGGTCTTGGGGATTGACATCGGCACGCAAAGCAGCGTGCTCGCCACTATTCATAAAGGGTCTGTCTCAGTGGTTCGAACGGAATTGGCGGACAGGTTGACACCTTCGTTAGTTCTCTTTGCCCAGGGGCACCGCCTCATGGGTGATCATGCTGCACCTCTGGTAAGCTGGCGATCATGCTGCACTGGCTTCGGGTGGAAAAGGCTGCTTTCTGCACCTGAATCTGCCCGTCCTGCAGGGGTTGAAGATCCATGCCTCGTCTGAACCGACCAGAAACGCGCTCTGTATCAGAGCGCGTTTCTGCACCGCCCGTTACGTCATTGAGAGATGGTGTTTTGGCCTGTGGCGGCACCCTCTGGGCTTTTTGGGAGGGGACGGACGGTGAAAGCAGAGGCGTGATGGTTGTTTTGAAACGCGCGTTGCACAGAGATCAGTAGCGCTCGAGGGGCAATAGGAATCGCATATGAGGGGAGGAGAGGAGAGAGAGGGAGACCAATGACTCGTGCATGCAGACTTGTGTTCTAGAGAAGGTCTTTTCTCATGAGCTCGCCTAAGTGCTCGTGTTTCAAATGCGGGCTTGTGTGGGACTAAAACGTCAAGTTGGCTTTTTGTTGCACCCTGTGCTATCCAACGCGCATACTCAGCGCTGCAAAAGGCATCGCGTTTCCAATGCGTCATCGCATGCATTCTTTGGGATGTCGAAACTTTTTGCGATTTTTTGCATCCATGTTGCAGGTGAGAAGTCAGGCGAAGGCCTGCTGCCGTGGTTTCAAGAACCTTTTGGGTGAGGCGTTTTCTGGATCGTCGCGCGTCGAACGAGAGAGGATGTTTCAACTCGCGGAAATTGCGGAGGCTCCTGGGGGTGTCGCTGGCTTCAAAGTCGGTTTCTTCGGCTTTCAACGCCGATTTAGAGCAGGCTTGCTGTTGCCTATCCTCCCCATGGTTTCCTTGCACCCCATCGGGAAGACTCGCACTCGAAGACGCTATGTAGTGGCGTTCATCTTTTTTGAAAGGGGAAACACCGTGCATGCAGATGTGCATAGAGCTGCGGCTTTCCGCACCTGCCTGCATTCGAGCCAAGTGCCCAGCTCTGGGGGTGGTGTTGCCCCTTTTCAGCTCTCTTTTTCCTCGTGTTTCGCCTTTGAACTGTGCGATCACTGACTCGGTGTTGCTGAGTGTTGGTGTACTGGGTGCTGTCTGGCTGGCCCTCCTTTTGGTTGAAGGACATGTACGTCGGTAGCTGTATGCATAACTGTATATGTTTATATGTATGTATGAATGTAGGTATGGACGTAGGTGTATGGACAGCCTAGCAGTGCGTTGTCGGTGGGCGCTCGTGGTGTGCTGCTGCCGCAGGTAATGGTGGGAGATGCCGAGGAAGTCATCTCTGCCACTCGTGTCTGCGCCGCCCTTTTAACCAAACTCAAACAGGTGGCGGAGGTTTCCACACAGCGACCTGTAGGGGAGGTTGTAATTGCCTGTCCTGCATGGTTTCGAGAGGCGAATCGAGAGGCTCTCCTTGATGCTGCGCAAATTGCTGGTCTTCCTTGCCTCCGGATTATTAGTGACATGACTGCAAGTAAGCCTCCCTGTTCACGGGTTCGAAAAAGAGGCGCTTATCAAGCCAGGGCCAGTAGGTGTATGCGTGAATGTATGTGTGTATGTATGTATGTATGTGTGAGTGAATGTATGTATGTATATGTGAGTGTATGTATATATGTATGTGTGAGTGTATGTATGCATGTATATATGTATGTGTGAGTGTATGTATGCATGTATATACGTATGTGTGAGTGTATGTATATATGTATATGTGAGTGTATGTATATATGTATGTGTCAGTGTATGTATGCATGTATATATGTATGTGTGAGTGTATGTATGCATGTATATATGTATGTGTGAGTGTATGTATGTATATATGTATGTGTGAGTGTATGTATATATGTATGTGTGAGTGTATGTATGTATATATGTATGTGTGAGTGTATGTATGTATGCATGTATAGATGTATGTGATCTATGTATATATGCGTACGTGAATCTATGTATGTGTGTACACCTGCATATATTTTGTATGAATGCATGGAAACATGTATATGTTATGCATGTATGGGCGAATGTATGTTCATATATGCATGCGCGTGTGTGTGTATGTTAACATTTGTGTAAGTACGTTACGGGGAGGGGGGGACTCGACAGAAGGCGAAGCGGTGGTGTGCTGCTCATGAGCATTTCTGGCATGCGTTGCTGCTGCTTGGGGCACTTCTTTCTTTGTTGCAGCTGCATTGGATTATGGCCTTTATCGTCGCCAGCACTTCTCGGATGCAAAGACGATCGTGGCGTTTGTGTCAATTGGTCATTCGACGGCGTCAGTGTGTATTTCGTCTTTCACCTCCTCTGGAGCCGAGGTTCTCGCTCAAGTTTCGAATCCTGATTTGGGAGGAAGAGACATGGATCTATTAATTGCAGAGCATTTTGCAAAAGCATTTGAAAAGAAGCATGGCATGAATCCTATGACAAACGTCAAAGCGAAGCTCAAGTGAGTAGACACACGGGAAGCTGCCAGGGGCCCCCTTTTGCACTTTGAGGTTACGCGTCTGAAGTGGAGAACGTTGGGAGGGAGCACGAAGGGAAGGTGTTAATGAGAGATGAGTGTAGGAGAAGAATGGTGGGGGAGGTGTTAATGAGAGATGAGTGTAGGAGAAGAATGGTGGGGGAGGTGAAAATAAGAGATGAGTGTAGGAGAAGAATGGTGGGGAAGGTGTTAATGAGAGATGAGTGTAAGAGATGAGTGGTGGGGAAGGTATAAATAGGAGGTCGGTGGGGGGAAGGTGTAATACGATTCTCGCCATACACGGGCGCTCTGTTGTGTGCCAAGTTTTGAATCGGGCACTTGAGAAGTTCATAGTAATGGGATATGGATGTGGTTGGATAGTGGTCTGTTGCTCTTGTCGATAGAGCTGTTGGCCTTTTGCCTTCTAGGATTACCATTAAAAATGCACATTGCAGAGAAGAGAAGAAGTGCTGTGTCTTGTGAAGGTGTCGAAACGGCGATTACACCGCATCGCGCTCTGTCCATGGGCATCCTGTGGTTCATGCGTTTCCTCTGACGTATTTCTTTTTTTAGCTCGTTCGTCCCCCACCTTTAATCGTTGTCTCGGGTACTGCGTTTGACGCATGCTGCGCAATTGCGCCCGTGTCTCGCAGGCTGGAGGATCAGGCAGAGCGAGCCAAGAAGATTCTTTCTGCAAATATCGAAACTACCTTTGCCGTTGAATGCCTGATGGACGAGAAAGACTGGTCGGGTCCAATCACTCGCAAGCTTTTCGAGGAGCTGTGTCAAGACACTTTCAAGCCACTCCTCCTGAAGCTGCTTCAGCAGGCAATCACTCTGAGTGGTGGGTGGTGCATGCTGCGGGTTTACCTCTTCTGAATCCTTGAAACTCCGCACATAACCGTCTCTTGTGGTCGTGTGTATAGATGTATGTATGTATGCACATATGTATGTATGCACATATGTATGTGTGCACATATGTATGTATGTAGGTACATATGTATGTATGTGGATAGATGTATATATGTATGTGGATACGTGCATATATGTATGTGTATATTTCTTGAACATATGTGCATTGGTCTTTCCCATCAAGAGGTTCTGTTTGTGCTGTGTGCCGCGGCTTGTTAGGGTAACGTGTAGAATTCTTTCTTCGCTCTTTGGAGCCTCTTCTTCACCCATGTGTATTTATGCTTTTAATACTTGCATAGATACAGCGGTGGTGCTATACTGTCTGCATGTGGCTGTATGGTTTCAAACTCTGGTACCTGTGGATGTCTAGGGTGTTTTTTTCACTGGGCACAACAGGTGCAGGTTTTTATTGCACTAGGGCTTTTTTGTCCGTACAGTATGTGTGTGCTGCATGCCGTGCATGCGCGTTGCTGGCGTCACGTTATCGCTTCCACGCATAGGCGCGCTCGTGTCTTTCTGCTCTGTAGGCGTGGATTCCGCGGATATTGCACACGTCGAGGCCATCGGCGGCTGCACTCGCATTCCCTGGATTCAACGCTGCATCAGCGAGGCTTTTGGAAAGGGCATTTCGAGGACGCTGGTTGGAGATGAATGTGTAGCGAGAGGCTGCGCCTTGCAGGTGTGTATCGCTGCTCAGGTCGTCGTACTCTCCCTTGGTGGGGTGCGCGGCAAGCGTTAGGAAGGTGTTTTTGCTCTTAAATTGGGTCCACGTTTTGTCTCCGGCGAAAATTCACGGAAGAAATACAAAAGAAACGAATTAACACTTTAAAATACCCGGACAAAACAAAATAAATAAAATACAATTAAATCGTGTCATAAAAGCACACGCTCAGCCTAAGCCCCTACATGGTTTTGTATGTCGCTTGTTTCGTCTTTGAATTTTCACGTTCAACTCTCTTTCATTGCAGTGAGAGATGCTCTTGAGCTTGAAATATGTACATATATATACATATATATATATGTGCATATGTAAGTGCATTGTATTTGCCGCTTTAGGGTGCACAGCTGCAGGGCAGCAATTCAAGACAGCGAACGCCGCATTTGCTGTCTTGAACTGCCACCGCTGCAAAGTCTGCAGGCCTCTCTCGAGACAGCCGACGCGTCAGGCATTCGGGGTGCCTGTTCTTGCACGAATTCGCAGAGCTGTGTTCTCCATTTCGTGTGCCGTTTTGTGCCGACGCTGTTCCTTTTTCAGGCGGCCATGGCTTCTCTGCACTTCAAAGTAAGGGAGTTCGACTTCAGCGAGAAGCTGTGGTATCCCTTGTCTATCACATGGTCTGGAGAAGGCCCTCTCTCGGTGTCTTCCTGCACCCAACCCCAACCAGCGGACGGCACTGCTTGTTCTGACAGCCTCCCCCCTGTTGGCTCGCACGAGATCGAGCTGCCAGTGGGCACGCCTACGAATTCTTTGAGGAAAATCACCTTTTTGAGGAGCGGCTCCTTCGATCTGCGCGTCGCATACAAGGATTTGGGCAGGGACTGCAAGGCTGCTGATCTGGGTGCGTGCGAAATACGGATGGGGATCGTGTTCTTGAATAGATGTACAGCTAGTTTTTCGGATGGATGTGTACTGTGGTGTCGAAGGGATGTGTACTGTGGTGTTGAAGGGATGTGTACTGTGGTGTTAAAATGGATGTGTACTGTGGTGTCGAAGGGATGTGTACTGTCGTGTCGAAGGGATGTGTACTGTGGTGTTGAAGGGATGTGTACTGTCGTGTTGAATGGATGCGTACTGTGGTGTTGAAGGGATGTATAGCTAGTTTTTTTGGATGGATGTGTCCTATGATGTTGAATGGATGTGTAGTGTGGTGTTGAATGGATATGGATCGTGTTCTTGAATAGATGTACAGCTAGTTTTTCGGATGGATGTGTAGTGTGATGTTGAATGGATATGGAGGTTTTTTTCGGATGGATGTGTAGTGTGATGTTGAATGGATATGGAGGTTTTTTTGGATGGATGTGTGTATTATGTTGATTCAGCATGTTATAATATGTGTATCGTATGAATGTAACATATATATATAATGGATGTTGTGTATGCGTATGACGTATATGTATGCATTTGCACGTGACCGCAATGGTGGTGTGCGTTTGCTTGCGGCTTTCCTGCCGCGCCGAGGTTTAGGGGCACACATGCGCCTTGGACTGAGGTCTGCATTTATTTTTTTTTCATTTGACTGAGATGAGGCCTTAGATTTATGAGTGTAGCGAGGCGCGGAGAGCTCCTCTTCCTCATGGAGAGCTTGTGTCACAAAGGCATAACTTTGAGCCTTTGGCTCTCATGCGTCTGTGTGTGTTCTGCATGTTTGTCGACGTTTTTGCATCAGGGGGTTGCCGCGTGGAGCTGCCTGAGGGATGCGGCCCCCGCGAAGTGCATGTATTCTGCTCTTTGAATTACAACGGACTCGTGCGTTTCCCGCGTGCCTGCATGAAGAGTCTGGAAGCGGATGTGGCAGACGCATCTGCTGAGCAGGGAGATTCAGCGGCAGGGGCAGCAGCAGGGGGAGAAAGCTCCGAGGTTGAGCAACAACCCCCCCTCGCAGACCCCGCCGCTGGCTCGCCTCAGGCACCTCCTCCTGCCAAGACAGTGACGGAGGTGCCTGTGCACAGGATCCCTTGCGCCAGCCGCTTGACGGAAAAGGAGCTGCAGACGTATCGGGAGCTGGAACTGCAGATGGAAAATGAAGATCGCAGGTTCAAGGAGATTCAGGCGCGGCTCAACGAGCTCGAGACGGAGGTGTATGCTGTACGCGACGATCTGGGTGGTCCACTTTCTGTGTTTGCGTCGAGCGAGGAAAAGGCTGCCCTCCTCAAGCTTTTGGAGGACCTCGAGATGTGGGTTGGTGACCATCAGGATGATCCGAAGCTCACAAAGAGCGCCATCGGGGAGAATGATCAAGCGCTGAAAAAGCTTGCAGGTCCTGTACAGTACAGGCGGCAACAGAGCGAACTGAGACAAGTCGCAGTCAACAAGCTGCGAGCAACCATCCAGGTAAAATATTCGCAGGGCCTCCCAACGCTTGAGGTGTATGTGGATGTGTATGCGTGTATGGGGATGTGGATGTGTATGTGTATGTGTACATGTATGGGGATGTGGATGTGCATGTGTATGCGTGTATGGGGATGTGGATGTGTATGTGTATGCGTGTATGGGGATGTGGATGTGCATGTGTATGCGTGTATGGGGATGTGGATGTGTATGTGTATGCGTGTATGGGGATGTGGATGTGTATGTGTATGGGGATGTGCATGTGTATGTGTATGCGTGTATGGGGATGTGGATGTGGTTGTGTATGCGTGTATGGGGATGTGGATGTGTATGTGTATGGGGATGTGCATGTGTATGTGTATGCGTGTATGGGGATGTGGATGTGTATGCGTGTATGGGGATGTGGATGTGTATGCGTGTATGGGGATGTGTATGTGTATGTGTATGCGTGTATGGGGATGTGTATGTATCGGGGACTAGTCTCTCTCTCTGTGTATATGTGGATGTATGGGGGTGAGGGTGGTGCTGGTGCAACTTGATACGTCTGCTGCGTGAGTTGTACTGCGCTTGCCGGCGCTGCGAAGCGTGCTGACGCCTGTGTAGTTAGAGCAATGCGGACTGTGGAATGTATTTGTGTTTCAGGAGAGTCGGCAAGCTGCAACAGGAGGGTCTCCCGATTACGCACATATCGAGCTCCCGAAGATGCAGCAACTGTTGCAGGCAGCAGAGGCGGACGAGGCGTGGCTAAACAGAGTGGTGTGTAAGATTCATGAGCGGCATCCCGAGACTCTGTACATCACTTCCAATGCCTTACTTTGCATTACGGGCAGCAGGGGTTTTGGACCTGCAAAACGGTGTCTGTGGATGCAGGTGCTTGTGTGTCTGTGTGTGTGTTTGTGTGTGTGTTTGTGTGTGTCTCTCTGTGTGTGTCTCTCTGTGTGTTTGCGCGTCGGATGTTGTATCCGAAATTCATGAACCGTCGATGTACTTTGCATCATGAGTGCCTTTTTTTCGCGATACTTGCAGCGTGTTCTCCGGCTTCATGTGCATGCAGCTTGAAGAGCTGGCTGCCATTCCACTCTTCAAGGACCCTTCAATCCTTGCGGAGCAGATCGATCAGCGATGTTCAGACCTGGAGACACTTGCGAAAAAGATTCTTTCTACGCCCAAGCCTAGACGTGAGGACTCAGTGGCTGCTGCCTGTTGCTTCTCCCACGCAGCTGTGTTGTGTGCACAAGCACAAGGGGACCCGTTTACGATTTCTGCGCCTTCTTTTAACCCCCTCCTGAGCCTATTTTAAAGGGAGTGAACGAGGTTTCTTATAGGGAAAGCGGGGGAGAATGAATGGGGAAAAACGGGGGGGACTAGAGGGCAAGACAGGGGCCAAGGCGGCTGCCTGGGGCATGAAGGATGCATGAAGCATTGGGGGTATGGGGGGGGTAGGGGAGAGAGAGAGTGCGCAATTTTTCTTGTTTGGCGGTGACTCGGCACGGCTAGGATCTGACACGCCTTAGAAGTGTGTGCTAGTGATGCGGGAGGCGGCAGCAAACGAAGCCTGTGAAGGAAAATTAGGGAGGCTTAGGTTTTTTTTCGCGAGTTTTTGTCCCTTCGCCGTGTTGCATGCACTGCTAGTACGCACTTGTATTGCGTCTGCAGCCTTAAGCCCGGTTCCCCCTCCCCCTGCCACGGAAGAAGACATCATGGATGTTGAGGGGGTGCCGTCTGAAGGAACAACTTCCTCAAAGACGCCGCATCATCCCCAGCAGGGAGCGTCGCAATCTCAGCAGACGGATGACGGGCCTGAGGAGCCTATGGCGGAAGAAGGGGCTGCAGCCGCATGACTGCATGCAGCTCTCAGGGGGGTTCTCTGTAGAGTCGTTCAAGAGTAGGCCATGGCGCGAAGCTGCTTCCCGTAGGATAAGGGAGAGCTTTTCGAAAGACTGGGGAGGTGCCTTGGCAGGTGTGCAAGGGGAGTAGAGCAGTGCAGCAGCGGAAGCATCAATCACGACGAGACATGGGGGGAAGAGGGCGGGGATGCTGCGGAGGTTCATGAACATAAGGGGACGGAGCTGTGTAACTTTCTCGGCGCAGCAAGCAGCCTATATATTTGTGCTATCCTGCCCTTTCTTAGATGGGATAAACAGCATCAAACAGAACATTCATGGCTCCGAGAGCTGTATTATTTTCTTCCCAAAGCCTTCTTCACGTTTCCTCGAGGGAGGGGCGATGTCACGCACTTTGGGGCAGTGTAGGGGGCAGCAAGAGGGGCCGCTGCTGCCGTAGGCTATATTCGACATGACACAATCTACAAAAGAACTCGCCGGCTGCGCAACGCGCTAGCTACACACGTACATGCACGCAGCTCATGCAATACCGTAAGGACCAGTAAATTTGCAGCTAGGCTGCCTGCCTGTCAGCGCTGTCGCTTTTCTTGACTCCCGATAGGCTGCGAACGCACCGCCGTGCCTTTGCGCAGCTTCTACATGAGGGAAAGTTTTTGGCACAAAAAGTGCCGCATGCACAAACAGATACACGCATTTCTCAGAGCTCGGCTCATGGGGAAGATGCATCTGGTCGCTGCACACGCGGGCTGTCTACGGATCCGCTCAAGGCGGGTGTGCATCAAGTTAGGCACAACGCCCTCTACACGAAATCCATGCCGCATCACTGCTGAGATTAAAAAGGAAGCTCGGAAAAGGTCATGAAATAAGAAACTATTTGCGGCTGCATTCGCCCTCACACCGCCTACTTCCTGCAAAGCACTTGTGCGGGGAGCAGGCCGCCCTCTGCCTTACGGAATGACGTGCAGTGTCAAAGCGAGCCAGACAGTTCCTACATCAGTAACACTGCCGCCGTTCGCGGCGCTTAGCTATCTCTACGCAGCTGCCTATGGCACCCGCACGTCGTGCAGGAAGGAGTCTGACTCCGTTTCAGACTGCCGTCCCGACACGCTGTAGATTTCCTCTAACTAGCGGCCGAGTTAGCTGCTCCGATGGCGCGCTGTTGCAGCCATTGTGCAATTTTTTCCAGCACAACATCGCCGTCGCTTTCACTGGCGATGCTGTGGTGTACATCCAATCCGTTGAGCGAGCAGTCGGCACAGGCTTGCAGCTCTCTCTGAAGCTCGGGAGAAACGCGTTTGTCGAAGTGCAACGGCTCGAAATGGCTCCCTCGGGCGATTCCGTCATGCTCTTGCGTATCGCCTTTTCCTTGGAGCAGCCCTCCTTCTTGGCCCCCCTCTTGCTCCGTTTCTGTGCGCACCATGCGTTGCTGCTCCTCTCCCGGCTCTCGCTCAGGGGGTATCGCGTTGATTGCAAGCAGCGTCTTGTCTTGAAGCTGCACGCCTTTGAAAAAGGTGAGAGCTCCCTCTATGCCACACTGCTCGTCTAGGGTGTTGTGAACTACCAAAAGGGCGCGACAACTACTTTCCTTGATCTTAGCCGTTTCATCCGGGTGTACAGGCACCTCCGCCTTCTGCAAGATTTCACAGGCAGTCCGCGCTCTTGTCCCTTCTTGAATATACAGAGTATCCCTTTGTCGGTGCTCTGTTTCAGTCTTGAATTTTGTCGTGTGGGTTCCCTTGCTGATGTGAACGTGAGGGGCCCATACCGCCAGCTGCTGCACGAAGGGGCGAGTGTACCGCCACATGGCGGCAGCCTTCGCCATGGCGACATCAAACATGGCAGACAGCAGCACCAACCCTTGAATGCGCAAGCAAGGAGCAGCTGCTGCCCATTCCAGAGGCTCTGGTGACTGCTGCTCCCCTTCTCGCGCTGCTGCTGCAGAAGCAACGGCGGGCAGCGCTCGCCTTATGGCTGCACTATCTCTGAACAGCTCTACACACCGAGCAGCAGTCCAACCACCCAAGGAAGAGCCTATTAGAAATACCGGCAACTCAGTATTGCCTAAAATGGCATCCTCTGTGCTAGTATTCCCTGCCTCGAGTGCCTTCTCGCCCTCTGCCGTTCCCCCCTCCTGCGTCTTGCCCTCAGCTCCTAGCTCCCCGCCTGCCTCCGCATTCGGCTTGCCACATATCCCCTCATCCTCCTGAAGAACAGCGTGCATCCTCCGCCGCAGCACGTGGAGCAGCTGCATCGCATCCAACGCCAGATCCTCCGCCTCTCGAAAACCCCCCCTACAACCCCCCCAGCCCTCGGATAAACCTTGGCTTTCCAAGTCTGCCGCTGCCACGACGAAGCCTAGACGATTCAAATGCTCCACAAAGCTCCCTCTGTACTGAGGGTCGCCCAAGCAGCCTGCGCAACTGCCACATGCCTCTAAAGAATCGTCTTTTTCACTTGCTGGCTGTGCGGCTGTTGCCGATGCGACTGTGGTGGCAGCGAGAGAGCTCCCGAGCGCAGGCACAGTATCCTGCGCCTTGTTTGCTGCAAGAAGGAGAGACAAATCCTCATGCAACACATATCCATGAATTCTGGGGTCTCTCTTTACGGGGGGTGGAGCTCCCCACCGACGAAGCCAGGAAAATCGTGCATGCGACTGATAGCCATGCAGTAGCACCACGATGCCGCAGCTCTGTTTCACGCTTTCTCTTTTGCACTGATCGCACAGCTCGCCATGTTTCTGCTGCTGTTGTTGGTCTTCGCATGAGGCAAAGAGAGACTCGCCAGCGCGCTTGCACACACTTTTCACATGGGGGTGGAGCGTTCCCCTGGACGGATGCCGCTGCTGCTACTGCTGGTCTTGTGGCAGCAACAGCTGCTGCGGAGTCTGCTGCTGTTGCACGGAGGATACCATATGTAATAATGTATCTTTAATTGCAGGTGGTTTATGAACTGACCGTGCTCAGGGCGTCCGTCTAGAGGGTAGTAATGCAAATCCAGTGCTGATGGTCGAAGTACTTGTGAACGCGAAACTGTATCCGAAGATAGGGCTTCCCAGTTCAGTGGAGGGAGGAGGCTGGCAGGGATGGTGCTGTCTGCGCCATCGATGTTCTTTCCATTCTTCGCGGAAGACGAGGACGCACTCCCCATCTTTTAGCTAAAAGCGGCTATTTCTTAGGGAGCAGAGAGCACAGAGGAAAAGGCAGAGGGGAGTGGGGAGGGGGAGGAGGGAACGTTGGTGAATGAGCTTTGAAAGCACACGGTGCAACGTCAGCGGCTTAAAGCCGCAAAAGAGAGCGCCGAGGGGAGGTTGGGAGGACGGCTAAGTCAAGAATGTTACAGATAAGGAGGAATGGCGTGTCTGTCTGTCTGGCAGAGGCTGTAAGTGTTGTTGCACGCTCCTGCCTAGTGGCAAAGACACAGGGCTAAAGTGCGGTTGTTTGTTGCTCTTTCCTTCCTGCTATTAATTTCATTGAGTCATGCGGGGTGTTGTTCGCTCGGTATCCGAACAAAACAGGGGTCGTGTCGAATATGCAGCTTTGCAGTTGGCTGGTCACACCAGAACATGCATGCGCTCGGGTTGGTGAGCGAAACCGAGCTTAGATATTTGGTTTTAGGGTTTCTGACTTGGAAGAATTTGAGGCTTGAGTGGGCAAGGGAAGCTGATGAAGAAAAGAGGGATTTTGAATTGCACGGGGGCGCTGCATCGCCTTCTGTTCGCCGTCCAGCAGAGGCGTGCGACTTCCTAAATCGTAGGCGCACAGCTTCACCAGAAAACGGGAACCCGTTCTTTTCTTCGTTTTCTTCTTGAATATATTTGAATGGCCTCCACGAGTTCATTGAAAAGGCCCGCTTCTGGACCTTAGAAGTAAGGTACACCCAGCACGTTCAATGCTGTGCTTCCAGCCTTAAAGCCTGCTTGTCTCATGATCAGCTCGGCGCGAGTGACCGCCCATGAAAAAGACGCGGCGGTTTCTGAAACCAAGAGGCCGAGAATCGGCTCGAACAAAATCCTGAGTTTCTAAAGGAGGGGCGTAGGCAGGCAGCAAGCTCCTTCTCGTGCCGTGCTGGCGTCGAGAGGCATCTCGAAGCCTCTTTCGCAGCGGATTCAGAAGCCGCGCGTTTCTGCCAGAAGGTGGCTTCAAGAAGCCTGCGGCTGGGAAATTTTCGCGCTTCAGATGCGCAGGCCTCTCCAGCACCAAGAGATTGCACATGGCACCCCCCCGGGTGTATCGGGAAGGAGGTGCGCCTTCAGGCTGCCACAGCCAGCAGCAGCAGCACCAGCAGAATCCGGGAATGCAGAAATCGGGGTTGCTGCGGGGAGCCTTCCGCCGCTTGACTGCGAAAGGCTACAAAGCCAAGGCAGCAGCAGCAGACACGCGGCATGAGCGCATCCTCTCCTTGAGGGAGATCCTGGCGAAAGACAAAGGCGTGCATAGCGTGGAGGAAGACTATCCAGTACCAGCCTGGCTTCGGCGCCAGGGTGTATGTGCTCCTTGCGACTACGCCAAGACCTTTAAAGGCAAATACGGCATCATCAATTACGAGGTTTTGGGGATGCAACACACCAAGACGGTAAAGCCAGCTACAGGATCTCACCCTTGACACACATTGCGAGGGCCGTCTAGCCGCGTTTGTGTGCATGTTTGTGTACGTGTAGGTGTAGGCGTGTGACGGGGGAGGGGGGAGGGAACTACCACCAGCACCATGCGTAGCAGTCGCTTGCCATGAATCCTCAGTGGCACCTCCAAAGGGGATCTTCTTTTGCTCTCTTAGCTGCGAAGGTTTCCCTTTTCGCCCCTCTAACAAGCGCCCTGCGTGCAGTGCAACGCGATGCGTCTCAGGTGTTGACTTTTCATGGGCTTAACGGATCCATGCAAACCTTCCAAGACCTACAGAACGTTCTTGCCAGTTTTGGATTTCGAGTGATCACTTTCGGTGTGTTGCCGCAACTGTGGTGGCTGTCATGAGGGCTTAGCATGCCCTCGTTGCGAGTGCCACTGCAAAACTGCCCTCGCTTGCTGAGTGGCTTGCCTCGAAGCAGTGACAATTGAGGGGCACTTTTCATGAGAGAAAGAAAGGGAGAACTTGCGGAGCAGCTTCCGAGGTGGGAAAGATGCGGAATTGCAAGGCGGCTTCGATTTTTTTCGGGGTTGTTCTCCTGCGTGCAGATCTGTACGGCCATGGTCTCTCTGCAGCCCCTCAGTACAGCTTTTTCAAGAAGCGTTTTTCCGCAGATTTCTTCGTTGCGCAGAGCCGCGAACTCCTCGAGCATCTGAACTTGAGCGACACGCCGCTGTCACTCGTTGGATTTTCCATGGGCAAGCAAAACGGGGGAGCATGAGGGGATGCTCGCAGTTTTCGCGGCTGTCGGCGGGGGGAAGCAAGAGGCTTTTTGCACGCGTTGCTGCCACATGCGTGCGCGCGAGGCGCAGCTTGTTGACTTTCTGGTACTGCTTTTCTGGCGATTCCGGGGGCAGCAACAGCAGCAGCAGCTGCTGCTGCTGCTGCTTCCTCTAGGACCGATTGAGTGCTTGCTGTACAAAGACAGCGCGGCTGTCTCTGAGACGTCTGCATGCGCTTGCAGGAGGGATAATTGCGGCACGCTACGCCTGCATGTATCCTTCGTTGGTGACGTCGATTGCGTTGATTTCTGCCGCTGGTCTTCTCCCTAAAAAGCCCTTCCCCGTGTCTCTTCTGCAGCACTGTGGTTGGTGCTGCACCCCCCTGTACTTGTGTTTTCCCTGTTGCCTCTGCCGCTGCTGCTTTGAAAGAGAGGCGTTTTTAAAGGTAGGTGATGGAGTCACATTCTCCCGCCGCTGTCTTCGCATACACCGAGGCCTAAGTAGCTGCTCACTAGCGCGTCTGCAGGAGTATTCGTGAAGCGCAGGCATACCTATGAGAGAGGCTTTTTCGCATGCAGCGTCTTAGTGCCTGGGCTTGCATCTGCTCATCTGCGTACATGCGGATCAGCCGCGAACGAGAGAATTGCTTTAGCAACCAGACACAAACCTCCCTCGCTTTCATAGTGCTCTTTCTCCTCTCCAACTGCTTTCTCTTCACGGGGGGGCAAGCCGCAGCACTGCTACTACCGATCTTTATCTCTCTCTCTTTATCTCTTTTTATCTCTCTCGTTATCTCTTCATATATCTTTCTCTCTCTATCTCTCTCTCTTTATCTCTTTTTATCTCTCTCGTTATCTCTTCATATATATATATCTCCCTTTTTCTCTCTCTGTCTCTGTGTGTCTCTGCATGTATGCATCACCATGCTGCACTCTATCGTCGATCCTGACGGCTATAACGGCGTTACCGCTGCTTCCTTTTGCCATCCCTTTAGGGGAGCCGAGCAAGTCTTGGGGGAACAGCACTTGCATGCGCTGCGCGTGCTGTTACCTGTGCCTGTGTGTATGGATCTGCATGCATGCAGCGATACGAGCTGGAGGGTTCAGAGAGAAGTAGGCGACCTTGCGCTGACGAAGATCCTCAAAGCTCTTCGAGGGGGAACGCCACTCTCGGAGTGAACGCAGCGGAGACGCAGCAGCAGGCGCAAACAAACAGCCGCAGCACTCGCCGTCAACACGCAGTCAACAGCAGCACCGCAGAAAGTCGATCTGCCGCAAAAGCGCAGTCTGTCAGCGCTGCTGCAGCTCGAGAATCGCAATTTTCCACAGGCACGGAAGGATCGCACGCCAGGGAGACAGCTTCTCGGAATAGCGTCGCCAACAACCCTGGCATTCTTCTGTGGAAGCGCCTCACATGGCAAATTTTTGCAAAGAAAGGCAGCATTTCAACGTTCGTCGGCTGCGTCACGCATGTGCCGATGTGGAACGGTCGAAGTATATATGAACAGGTGTAGTGACGCAATGCGATCTGCTGCTGCTGATCTTCCCCCCGCTGTGCTGCCTCACAGGAGGACTCTTCGTAAGCTCAGACTGTCTCTCTCTCTCTCTCTCTCTCTCTCTCTCTCTCTCTCTCTCTCTCTCCGCTTGGGCAAGCCTGGATGTATGCTGGCTCAGCTTGCATGCATGCATGCATGCATGGTTGCTTGCCTTCTGCGATGTTCTTGTCTGTATGGGGGGGTACACCTTTTGTTTTCTTGACAGAGGCGTGTGGCTGTGCGCCAACCGCAGAGATGCTCGTTCCTTCCTCCCTTCCTTCTCGCGGCTGGCAGCCAGAAGAAACCTCCCTTTTTTACGGCGCAGTGCCTCCTGCTAGCTAGCAATGCCCTTGTTTTTTTGCGCTTGTTTGCAGTTGTTGTTCTTGTGTAGAGGTGGTGCTACCGCTAGCTAGCTAGCAATACCCTTGTTTTTTTGCGCTTTTTTGCAGTTGTTGTTCTTGTGTAGAGGTGGTGCTACCGCTAGCTAGCTAGCAATGCCCTTGTTTTTTTGCTTGTTTGCAGTTGTTGTTCTTGTGTAGAGGTGGTGCTGCAGCTACTAAGCAATATCCTTGTCTTTTTTGCTTATTTGCCGTTGTTGTTCTTGTGTAGAGGTGGTGCTGCAGCTACTAAGCAATGTCTTTGTCTTTTTTGCTTATTTGCCGTTGTTGTTCTTGTGTAGAGGTGGTGCTACCGCTAGCTAGCTAGCAATGCCCTTGTTTTTTTGCGCTTTTTTGCAGTTGTTGTTCTTGTGTAGAGGTGGTGGTGCTGCTGCCGCACTAGCTCGCTAGCAATGTCTTTGCTTTTTGCGTGTTTGCCGTTGTTGTTGCGTGATGATGCTGCAGCTAGGTGCTCAGCAAACACCCTGCTTAGTGCTTTGGGGGGGAGAGGATCCCGTGGTAGACGTTCAATGTTGCAAGCAGCTTTGTTCACTTCTTCCGAATCACGCTGCCATTGTGTTTCCAAGTTGTCACCACTTGCTGCTTGCGGAGCGCCCACACGCATGCATTGCCGTGGTGATGACGTTTCTGGAATTCCCCGCCTCGTGCATGCATCCTCTTCCCGCTGCCGCTGACGGAGAAGCTCGCGCTGACACTTCGACTCCCCCGTATTTGCCGCTGTGGCGCTGCATGCTGCCTTTCAGCCCCGAAGGCGAGTATGTGCCTCCAGAGAAACGATGCCCTCAGAATTCGACGCCAAGGGAGTTTCATGAGAAGCTGAACTACAAGCCAAGATTCAGTATCTGCTTCGGGGAGAGCGCAACCACCCCCCCCTTTGCACATCACGCTTTGAGAAACGGGGGAAACAGCAGTCTTTCGCAAGCAAAGCCTCTGCCGCCACGTCTGCACACTCAACGCAGACGCAAGACTTCGGAGACGACGCCCACCCCCGCAGCAGCTCGGAGGCAAGAGCAGCGGCAGTCCTTGTGCAACGAGACCAACCACTCGCGCAGATCGGCGCAGCCATCACCACCCCCCCCCACCCCCCCTCCACACGCACTGTCTCTTCTCCTTTCACAGAGGGAAGAGGCTACAGACAAGACGAGGGAGAGCCCTCAGGAAGAAGAAATCTTCGTCACATCAGAATCAGGTCCATCCAACGCCTCGCTGCCTCACAATCCACTTCCAACAACCTATTTGTCACACAGCTCGAGATTATATATATATATATATATAGACATATACATATATATAAAACACCGCCCTCTTCTCGCTTCTCTTTCTCCTGCTGCTTCTTCTTCTCTTTCTCCTGCTTCCTGGCCGCTGTCGGTGTGCTCCCTGTGCTCGTGCCTCTCTGTAGCCGTCCGACTGCTGCAGATGCACGAACGTGTATCGCGTGTATTTGGGAGTGCAGAAGGCATGTGCTGCTGCTGCTGCGGCTTGTTGAGTGAGCCCTGTTCTAGCGGGCACGCCCATTATCTGTTTCCCATTGTTTCGGCGGGGTGTTTCCATTGTGCAGAAACTGAGGGCATACCAACATGTTCGGTTTCTGTCAAGCGAGATCGACAGTGCGCTCCACCCCGCATGCAAAGGCAGCACGGCGAAGCAGCAGACGGCCAGCATTCGTTTCCTCAGGGAAATCCTGCAGCCCTCTGGGGAGGAGCGTCCTCTCTAAGTTCTTCAGGGTCGTTCCAGGATCTTTTGTTCACGGGCAATGCCGAGCAGCGCCGCTCCACATCTTCCTGCAGTCACTTTTCTCGAGCACCTGCAGCAGCAGCAAGGACGCACGAGCTGCCGCTTTAGTAACGCGAGGGAAGGGGGGGAGGGCTGATGTCATGTCTACAGAACACAGACGTTGACGTTGGATGCTAATAAGAGGCCCCTCTAGGGCGCCTCCTCAGCCTTCTATCTACAAACGTCTCCTTATAGATAGACTATAGCTCGCAATAAGCGGCGGCGTGCCCTGCTACACTGGTTGCTGCCTGCTCCCTCACGAATTCTGTGCACAGTGCGATCGCACTGCGTTTCCTGCAATACAAATAAGTGCAGAAATTTGTGCCTCCAGGCACGGCCTCAACAACACCCGCAGCACTCGCCGCCTACGGCAGCCCCTCCACAGTAAACGGGGGAAAAAAGCGGCCTTGTCTAGGGTTGGCAAGCATAGAGATACCTCCCCCGACACCTCATGGCGGGAACGTCCCCGCAACGCCCCCTCTTAGCAGCAGCAGCAGCGCCCCCCATCACATGCGACATATTAGTAGGACCGCGGAGGAGGAGGAATACTGCACTTCACGGACCAGGTTACCGAATGAGGACTAGGTGATGAGATAAAGCTCGACAACACAGGCACCGGTTGCACCCTTCCTGACACTCTCGCTCGCTACTCCAGCAGCAGCTCGATGGATGCGTGCTCGAAATCATATCCGCCCAAAAGCAGTGCGGATGACGAAGGGGGGGGCGCTGCCGAATAAGATGCAGCTTTCTTTCCGCCACCCCGTCCCCGTGCCTCTCTACGGTATGACCACGATTTTTTCGTGGATTTTTAATGATTAAAATGGATGCGTATCTGTATCTACTATGGCTACGGCGAGCAGCACGTATAGAAACTAATTCTTGTTGAACCCTACGCAAGACAGCACAATGTGCACGCGAAGCGTAACCCACCCCCTGTATGTATGTACACCTGGTGGCTGCACCGTTTGCGGCGCCTACACGATGACGTACAAAATCGCGCACGCCCTGTTGATCAAACCAAAGCCTAACTTTCAATGTAACGCTCATTTCGGGTGTCAGGGACGAAAAAACACAAGATCATGCATTATCATTAAAAGATAATACTGTTTGTTCTTCTCTGCCCCCCGCTGCCGTGCCTCGAGTGGTGTATAGTAGGGCCTCCCTACACGACGCCAACTGCGGTTGCCAAGTGGATAGAGAGTGATCGCTGTGTCGTGCTCTCTAAATGACAAATAAACAAACTCCCATGGCTGAGACGCCTAGTAGCCGCCCTGGAATAGATACTCGGCAAAAGCGAGCGTTGTGTTCAACGCCTCGACCTTGTTCTGCCCCTTCTCCTCATCATAGAGAGCAATGGCAACGCTGTCATTGGGAGTCTTGATCAGGAAGCCACCGCCCTTCTGCTTTCCGAGGATCGCGATGTCGTAGTTCTGATCGTTGTAGGTGAACTCGCGTTTCTGCAAAAAAATTCAAACACGTTAAAGACCCTACTACTCTACGCACAACGCGTTCACAACTCGATCCAGATCAAGCAGCGGCTTGGACTTAGTCTTCTGAAAGCACTTTTTCCAGAGCGAAAGTCCGTGCAGATGTACTAATGATACGTGCCCTTCCCCAGGTAGAAAGAAGACCGCCTGTGCTGTGTTGCTGCCATAATTTCAACTCACCACATCCGCCAACTTGTAGCAGACGCCCCCAATGTACACCCCATTGGGTGCGCGTCCATCAACAATCGCCTGTCGCATAGTTTCCGCCTCGTCGCAATCGCACGTCGTGGTGGACCCGTCCTCTTGAAGAACGTCGATCTGATAGCCGCTCTTCACCAACTGCGTCCAGGGGTCGCCATTGTCAATGGCGGCACCGAACATCCGGCACCCATCAGCAATCTGAAAACGCACATACACACACAAAGCACTGCCCTCTACATCCAGTATTCCGCTGCTTCCTCCGCACAAGTCAAAGGAAATCACACGATCTTCGATACTGAAACTCAGGCCTTTGATATGAAACCGAGCGGCACGCCCCACTACACATTAAATAGCGATAACATTGGCACTCAATACAACTTCCTGTACCTCGCCGATGCTACCAAACAGAGACGTGCCCCAAGTTGCTCATGAATATTGAAACGCCGTAGAACAAGTGGAACATGCAACGCCGAGCGGCTAGAACACGTGTGCAGGAAATTGCATTGCCCCCCTTCATAAAGTTATCGAGGGAGCCGTGAAAGAATAGGCAAAAGTGTACTCGCAAACAAGCAGTGAGTAGCAAGATGCATGAAGCACTGTTCTCGACAGAAAAACCTGCAGTGCGCAGCCGGAAGGCTAACATGACGAAGATATTGAACGCGCGGCGCCATACCCTCGGAAAATAGAAATGAGACGACAAATCGCGTCATGAAATGCTTCATGCGTCATTTGAACACCAAACAAAGGAGGAACCTGCGGGTACAGCGCGAAAGCGCGGCAGGACCCCCGACCGGCGCCATCTGCTGTAACCACGCAGTTGGCATACACTCGGGTTCTCCAAATCGCGTAGGAGTGCACATCCTTGTGAAAGTAAAGAAAGATCAAAGAGTCGTGCGCCGCATCCACTACTGGAAAACACTTACGCTAGCAACGCCGCCGGCGGCAATTTTCCCAGTGTCCACCAGGTACTCCTTGACGGCTGCATCCCAGGCTTGCGTATCTGCCTCTTCTCCCATTTTGCAGAGGAAATAAAAGATAAAGAGGGGTGGCAATATATGGATTAACTCAATGGACAAATAAAACACAAATACTTGCAAGAAGCGTAGAGCAACGCCAAGAGCAGCAGCAGCTGCTGCTCTTGGCCTGGCTTGCCGTGTGCGGGAGATGTGCTGCTGCAGCTGGATGCACCGGCATGGCTGTAAGGGGCCGCATGCGTGCGTAATCTCCCTAATGCTTCTACCGTTTTGCTGCCAAATACTTGCGCTCGTTGGCAGCCTCTTAATCCCCCTCGAATTCTCCGCTTTCCACGGGAGCGGCGGTGTGCAACGCATGCCACGTTCATGATGCATCGTGGTCCGCTCAGCGCCGCGTGAAAGGGCAGGACGAACAGAACATGCCCGCTTTGGGCAGCTTTGCACAGTTAGCTCGACGCCTCTACAATCCTGAATTCCAGCAGTGCTCTGCTTTCACGAGTGGCAGAATCGGGCGCTGCCATAGGTTCGGTGTGCAGAAAACACGCGACCCCTCTGACCTGCGAACCACGTGAAAAAGACCCGACCCCCTTGGCGGGATGGTGTTTATAGTGGCACAAAGTGCTTCTTTAGAGCAATAAAAAGCCCTACGCGCGTTTGAGCCTAGTTGAACCGAGTTCCTCCCACGGTGTAACGTTTAGAGTACAGATTTCCGTCTATGGTGAGTAGAGGGGGCCCTGCAGCAGGGCCCCGCGTAGGGTATTCGGATAGTTGAATGTTGCGCATGAGATTGCTTTGAGTTAAGGCATTATTGGTAGCACTGTAAACCCGTGAGCAAGGAGATGCCGCGCTCCTCTAATTCCTCTGCATGAGCGTCTCAGGGGGGCCTCCCCCCCCCAGCCGCTGCCGCACGGGCTGTACAGACAGCCGGAACGGCAGCGGCAGTCCGAGCAGCGGCTCAGACGTCGAAATTGTCGGAATTGGCGTAGGGGCCCCCGCATGCCACAGTTCGCGGCTGCGACAGACGCGGCAGGAGCAGGAGGCGGTAGGCGATGTGAGCTGCTGCAGCGTCAGCAGTTCTGACAGCAGCGGCAGCAACGTAGCTTCAAGCGACAGAGACTGCGGAAACAGCAGCAGCTCTGAAGAGGCGACCCTCAGCGACAGCGACACGGATGAGTGTGAGATCGTACTCCCTGATGGCTCCCCGCAGCCACAAACAGCAGCAACAGCCTCAGCGAGTCGTCTGCAACGGCTGCTGCTGAGCCCCTCTCTGGCTACCCCAATTTTGATGCTGCTGCCTTCGTCGGCGGATATCCGCAGCCTCCTCGTTGCTGTGGGGCCCCCCCGCTCGCCTCACGCCGCTCCTGAGCAACCTGCTGGCTGGAGAGACACCACACCAACCCCACCCCCAGCACGCCTTGCAGCGCAGGTTCCAGCGGCAGCCGCTGTCGAGGCGACTCTCGCTGCCGTGGCGTATAGGGAGCTTTGTTTGAGACGTCTCCCTGCCGCTAAGGCCTTTCGCCGCTTTGCAGCTGCACAGAAGCGGCAACAACAGCAGCAGCAGGCAGCAGCAGCAGCAGCAGCAGCAGGGCAGCAGCCTGACAGTTCGACTCCCAGAGAAGCAAGTGGAGGGGCAGCAGCAGCAGCAGCAGCAGCAGCAGCAGCAGCAGCAGCAGCAGCAGCAGCAGCGTGGCGGCAAGTCTTTTGGGGATGCATCCATAGTCGGTACTGTGATCGCTGCGGCAAGGATCTGAGGAGCACCTGTGCAGCAGATGCAGCCGCAGATGCAGCCGCAGATGCAGCCTCGGCAGCGGTGGACGCTACGCATGCGTCAGCAAGCGAGGGGGTTGCCGCAGCATCAGATGGAGAAGCGGGAGAAAGAACAGCCGCTGGAAAAGGACTGCCACAGCAAGCACTGGAGACAGCAGCATGTGCGGCAGTGCCTCGTGCAGCTGTGCTGCTGTGTAAGGACTGCCGAGAGTCTCTCCTGCATCGGCGTGAGGCACTCATCATTGTACGCCGACTCCGTGCCGACGAACTGCTGCTGCAGAGACACCTGAAACGGGGCCGTAGCAGCAGCAGTAGCAGCAGCAGCAGCAGCAGCGGAGACGGCAATCCCCCTCTCCTTCCGAGCGCAGCAGTGACAGCAGCTGCGTGGTGTCTCGGCGGCTTATTTGCTGATAGAAAGCTCCTCTTGAGCTTGCAAGACAGGCATCATGCTGCAGCACGTCGCATCAAGACACAGTTGCTGCAGAGACTCCAGAGAACTTGGAGCGAAAACTGCGGTCCGGTCTTCATGAGGCAACACATTGCAGCAGCAGCAGAGACAGCAGCAGCAGAGACAGCAGCATCAGCTGTCTGTACAGCAGCCTCTGCCTCTGGAGTCACATATAGGGCGGCGGATGCTGCAGCGCAGGATCTGCTAGCCGTGGCGGCTCTCAAGGCTGCAGAAATAATGAAGGACGGTGGCGACGATGCAACGCGAAACGAAGTGCAACTCGCAGGTGCGCCGCTTTCCACCACTGCCGACACTGCGCGGTTTCCCAGCCGGCACCCTGCAGAAACAAGCGGGCAGAAAGCGCCTCTGGAGAGAGAAGCCTTGCCTGAAGGCGTTGCTTCCCTCTTTCTTGCCGCCGTGCAGCAGCACACTGCGGTGGGCGCAGCTGCTGTTGCCTTCTCCCTCCGCGAAAATCGCATCTTCGTGCAAGCTCTCGGACCTAGTAGGCTGCAGCTCATTTCTCTGCAGCCCGCTGCCTCAGCAGCAGCCGCTGCTGCTTTCTTCTCGCCTGCTTCGGAAGCTCCCGAAGGCAGCAGCGCGGCGAGGTACGCGCCCGCTCCACGCGACACTGCCGCTGCTCACTCGCCTCCTGTGGGCGCTGCGCCTCTTGTCTGCGATTTCACGGAGATTCGGCCCTATCCCTGCAGCAGTCTTATGTCTCTCCTCTCCAGCTGCTTTGCTGCCGTACTGACTCCGCTGCTCCTGCTGCTGCATCGCGATATCGCCGAAGCAGCAGACGAGCAGCAGCAGCAGCAACGGCAGAGGCTGCGACTGTGCGCTGCACATTCGGGAGGTCTGCGGCTGGAGGATTTCTTCTGCGCGTGTGCAACGGCTCAGAGAATCGTCAAGAGGTAAGTGCATTCAAATACAAACATGAACATGTATATATATGTATATATATGTGTATAGATGCAACGCCACAACTGCGACCTGTCCTCTCGTTTGGAAGGCCGCTCTACATATATGTGCATGTATGTGTATGTGCATGTATGTGTATGTGTATTATGTGTATGTGTATGTGTATTATGTGTATGTTTGTGTATGTGTATGTTTGTGTATGTGTATGTTTGTGTATGTGCATGTGTATGTGTATTATGTGTATGTGCATGTGTATGTGTATTACGTGTATGTGCATGTGTATGTGTATGTATGTGTATGTATGTGTATCATGTGTATGTTTGTGTATGTGTATTATGTGTATGTGCATGTGTATGTGTATTACGTGTATGTGCATGTGTATGTGTATGTATGTGTATGTATGTGTATTATGTGTATGTTTATTATGTGTATGTTTGTGTATGTGTATGTATGTGTATGTGTATTATGTGTATGTTTATTTGTATTATGTGTATGTATGTGTATGTGTATTATGTGTATGTATGTGTATGTGTATTATGTGTATGTTTATTTGTATTATGTGTATGTTTATTACGTGTATGTGTATGCATGTGTATGCTTGTATTGAAGGGGGTGGCGTGTTTGGCCTGTCTTTAGCCTTTGCGTAGGAGGGCTGTGTGGGGGGAGTGGCAGCGTGGCAGAGCAGTGCTGCTGTGTGTCTAAGGCGTTGTGTGGACTGTTTTTAGGTTCTTCAAGATTGTGACGCATGCGGATCTCGTTGCTTTGGACATAATGTTCAGTGAGTGGTGCGCAGCGGAGACTTTGATGCTGCGTCGGTGGCTTCGGCAGGTGCAGACGGCTGGCAGTTTGACGTCGCGGGGAGCCTTGGCTATCATGCCTGCTTGGGAAGCCTTTCGGCGAGGAGATCGAGGCTGGGAGGGGGGAGATGCTCGCAAGAAGTTTGCCGCTGCTGCGAGTTTGCAGCAAAGGGCCAGTGGTCGACGTCTACGTCGCAAGCGAGCGCATGCAGACGCGGCAGAGGGCTCTACCGAAACGCTGTCTGAAGGGGATGCCAGTCAACTTGCGCTGCTCGGTACTTGCAACAGCAGCGCTGCTACTCTCCAGGAGAGCAGCAGTGCTGCCAGCGACTGCCGCTTTGCTGCTGATCGTCGCCGTCTCAGCAGCAGCAAAACAGGAGAAGAAGAAGAGGGGGTGAATTCGACCCCCATGGGTGCTCTGGCCATGGCGTTTCAGAATCGTGACACTCAAAAGCGACGGAAGACTGCTGCCTATGAACTCGCAGCAGGAGCAGCAGCAGTGACGGACGGCAAGCGGCGGTGTCATGACAGCAGCAGTGAGTTGCGGCAGAGGGAAGCAGCAGCAGCAGGACCGTCTCCGACAGCGGCGCTGTATGCAGCGTTTTTATTGGAGTTGCTCTTTGGCTTCCTCTTTGATCAGAGAACGCAGCAGCCCCTTCGGCCTTTTTCCTGTAAGGCGAGACGCTGTCTCTCTTTGGCTAGCTAGCTAGAGAGGCGCTGCTGAAGTCTGTGTGCTGCTGCGGCGAAGATCGTGGGAAGAGTCGAAAGAGGAACAAACACGGGGTGGGGGAGAGAGAGAGGGCAAGAGTGTTGGAGAGGCGTGTTGGCGACTGCTGTTGCGAGTGGCCTGTGTGAGCCTGACGCTGCAACGTGGTGGTTTTTTTTTCGAAAAAAAATTCTGCATGCAGTCTTCTATCGCGGGAAGGAGCAGGGCTGGAGCGGGGAGCTTGAATTTTTCTAGCGCGCTGCTTCCGCTTCCGCTAGAGATCGCTTTCTGTGTGTTTCTTGTGTTTCTGCAGCGTTTGGAGCACGCGCATTTGTGAGTCGCTTGTATGAATTCGCCTCTCAGCCGCTATCCGCGTCTCGCCACGCTTCGCAGAGCCTTCTTTCGCAGCTGCTGCAGGGGAAGGCAGGCAAGACGTCGACTGCACGGGGGGTGGTTGCTGTGCGGCATTCCCCCCTGTGTTGGCTGTGAGTGCAAGTCTTCCTCACGCGCGGGGCGGCGTGTTTTGCATTTGTGTGCAACTTTGGCATGGAGGGAGGGGGGGGAAGGGGGAAACGAGAGAGGGTGGACATGGCTCTGCAAAGAAGCGCCTCTTGAATGCGCGTAGTAACAGGAGCAAAAGGCAATAAATCTGTGTGTGCCTCTATTTTGGCAGTTCGTCTTAGTACACAGCACCCTTGAGCGTTCGCGGGAGGCCTCTGGCTTTTTTGCACACCGAGTGGTCGAAACGAGGAAAGGAGCCGGCGCTGACATAAAAGCAGCACATCTAAACGTAGAGGCCGTTTGGCATGTCTCAACTCGTGCCTGCCTGCGTCGTATCTAAAAGGGTCGCTATTTTAGGAGGGATACAATCACAGGAACCAGCACCAGTGCTGCAAGGACGATGAAAATAACCGTTATCCAAAACATCCTCTGCATACACACACATACACACACAACTCCATTGAGAACTGTATTTTTATGTGTGTAGAAGATTGCGCAACATACTTTCGGCTAACATACACAAACATGTATATTTAATAGCCGTAATACACGGACATGCATACACTCACGAGGTGCGCGTTTGTGTACACCCCACACATACACGCATAATATATACAAGCATACACACACATGTATTCACATGTATACATATATGCACATTTGTACACACAAAGAAGCACATGTACATACATATTTACGCAAACATTTTAATACACAACTACAGACGCATGTAAATACATGTATGTGCGTGTACCTACACTTGCACATCGCATAGAGGTACACCTCCAAACAGGTATTTATACCAAGCATTCAGGAGGATGCGATGTTAAACCCCCTTCAAATTGTCCGTCCCTTCGAACGGTTAGGGTAAACAAGAAGCGTCTTGACCACGCTCACCGCCTTAGCAGACTTTTGATTTCGCCGCGCTTGCAACAATTCCTTTTCTGCCTTTGCTGCGGGAGCACGCACAGAAGGCTGGCAAAGTCGAATTGCACGCTGCTGCCACGAGCAAGTAAAATGCCCAGACACCCCCGCAGAGCGTGCCTCATGAGAAACGCTCTCCTACCTCCCCAGACACCCGAGAGAGACTCTAACGAAGGATCTACTCGGGCGGCGCAGACCATGCTGCTGCATGCAGCGAACCTGTATATTCCTTGGCCTGAGCTACGGAATACTGGATATGCTCCACCATATCCCCCTGCGCTTCCACGAGAAAAGACAGCTCAACAAACATTTGATGCAGCTCAGTAACGCCTGTGTGTATACACACACACACACACAGAGACAGACACACACCCTTCCCCTACATTCGCGAGGCTGCACGAAAACTGCCCGTCTCCCTCTGTCTGCCTCCTGTAAGGGCGAATACAGCCGCTGAGCGAGCCTCTTGATCTAAAACCAATCCCCTCTGCATGACTGCCTACGGCGGCAAGGCACACGCACGGTGCTACACGGCTGCCTTGCACGCACTGACGCTGCTGCCGCCGCCCTTTACGCAACGTTTGCTGACTTTGCTCTAAGCGGCGAATATCCCGATACTTGAACTGCAAGTCTGCGGTGGCATTGCGCAAGGCTTGGTTGCTCTGCAACGCATGCACCAGAGCAACACGTGCAGCCACATACCCAAACACGCACGCACACGGGGAGAGAGGAAGGCAGCTGTCAGCGTGAGAGAGGAATACTCTTACAGGCCGACGCGCCAGAAGCGGCTAGCAGACATTCCCACCGCTTCACCACTACCGTCCCGCGAGACTCTGCAAAGAGAAGGGGTGTGTGTGCAAGCAAATTAGAGGAAAAAAGGAGAAAAAATGCTGCACACACACTCCCGATATCCGCATCTTGATGGCAGTAACAGCCGTCAGCTCCCCGGAGTCCACTAACCCCTCGATCTCCGAATCCACAGCCTCAGGATACACTGCAAAATAAATCGACACAACGATGCACCAGCTGTCGGCTGGCAAACTTCCCACTCCAAAACTGCACAAGAAAACTTCTCTAGTCGTCTGCTTTTCGCGAATCAGTGCAAGTTGCAACGGGGGAAGTGCGCAAGGCGTGCAGCAAGGCGAACTTATAGGGCGTTCTGCGCTTGGATTGGGGTGGATACATGTTCATATGCGCTTCTATACTTGTATATATATATATATATATATATACACATGTGTTTGTATTTGTAGGAATGGGTGTATGTATGTGTGTATGTGTATTTGTGTGTGTATTTGTGTGTGTGCATGGGTGTATGGGTATGTATGTATGTGTGTATGGGTATGTATGTGTGTATGTGTTTATGTGTGTATGTGTATGTATTTGTGTGTGTGTATGTGTGTATGGGTATGTATGTGTGTTTATGTATGTATGTGTATGTGTATGTATATATATATGTGCTTATGTATGCATGTGTATGTGTTTATGTATGTATATATATATGTGCTTATGTATGTATGTGTATGTGTTTATGTATGTATGTGTATGTGTGTATGGGTATGTATGTGTGTATGTGTGTGTATTTGTGTATGTGTATGTATATGTGCTTATGTATGTATGTGTATGTGTTTATGTATGTATGTGTATGTGTATGTATATGTATATGTGCTTATGTATGTATGTGTATGTGTTTATGTATGTATGTGTATGTGTGTTTGTGTATGTATGTGTGTACATGTGCACATATAGATATATATTTTTGTCCGTGTTTATTTGTTAGTAACTCTACATGCGTGTAGCCGATAAAATGTGCTTGTGCATACATGTAGATTCACATACGGTTGCATAATATGTGTATATGTATGTCCTTTCTCCGCAAGGGAGAACGTGGCGTCAGTCAGTGTGGAGGCTAGTAAGGGAGAACGAGTAGAGCATACCGAGTTTGATCTGTCTGAGAACTTTTTTCTTCACCTGCAGTCTGTATTCTGCTTGTCGCATTTGCAGCAGCTGCAGATGTTGCTGCAGCTGCGCAGCAAGTGTCTGCTGGAGGTTGTGGCGTATGCGCAGCTCAGAAACACTTGACAAGCTGCCTCGTTGCGCCTCTGCGAATCGCCTGTTTTCCGTTCGCAACGTCTCAAGTGCCCTTTGTGTCTTCTGCATGAGCAGAGTTGTACCGTCCAACACCTTGTGCAGCTCATGCGAGACATCTGCTCGCAAGAAAAAGCTGCGCATGCATTGCCTGAGCACACAAGCTGCCATGCTGTGAGGCATGCGCAACTTGGAGACGCATCGCTTCTACCGGCGTGAAGAAACACTTACCCCCCTTCATACCCACACAGACAGAGAGACAGACAGACACACACAGATGCAAATACATACACAAATACACATACACACATATACACACTAATACACATACACAAGTACACAGACACACACATACAGATATACGACTGTACGCATACACACAAATACACAAATACATGCATACACAAATACACACATACATGCACATACACGCATACACACACACACAAATACACAGACACACGCATACACACATACACATACACAAATACACACATACATGCACATACACACAAATACACATACACACAAATACACACAAATACACACAAATACACACACATACACACATACATACACATACACAAATACACACACATACACACATGCATACACATATGCACAAATACACACAAATACACACAAATACACACATACATACACATACACACAAATACACACATGCACAAGTGGTCTTTTCCTGAGACTCCTCATCGGCTACCTTTTTCTTCTTCGGAGTTCGTGGCTTCGACAACCCTTCTTTTTAGCTCCTGCATCTTTTCTACGTTTTCTCCGATCTCTGCCAAGGCTGCTGTGAGGACTGCCACCTTGCGGAAGTAGCCGCTCAGAAACGCTTCCTCATCAGGGGGCCCCTTAGCCTCTTCGACGGCGAAATTTGCCAGCAAGCGATCGGGATGTCTTCCAGCCTCCAGATCAGCAGAAAGGAGAGCGTGAGCGTCGCCGGCAAGGAGGGGGGAGCCTCCTCTCCCCCTCCCCCCCCCTCCTGCAGCACTGGCGCTCCCAGCAGCTTCTCCCCGATGCATCAGGGCAGCTGCCTCTGGGTGTAACTGCACAGCTAATGTGCGCAGCTCCTCGAATCTGTCACGCATTTTCAAGATCGCAAGCTGCAAAGCCACGCTTGCCTGCACAGACGGCGGAGGGCAGCTGTGTGCCAGCCAGAGGCCTCCCCATCTCTTCCTCCGAAAGGAGAGCAGCTCTTCGCTGCAGAGGGGTGTCTAGACAGCAGACAGGCAGTGCAGAAGCAAGCGGGCAGCTGCGCAGGATAGAAAGGGGCCTCCACAAGCGCAGCCACGCAGCCGCTGCAGCCGAGCGTGGTCGCTCGCTCCTTCCCCCCGCCGCCTGAGAAGCCTAGAGACCTATGCTTACACACGAAAGACACTGCAATTCGAATGCGAAAAAGCACACGGGAGCTCTCCGCGGAGAGGCCCCTCAAGAGACAAAAAAGTACGAAGAGGGAAGCCGCGCAAACAGAAACCCTCCGTAGTGCGCGTGGGTGCAAAGGGGGGAAGGCGCTTCGCCGTTTCTTCGAGAGGAGAAGCAGAATCTGCTGTCTCTACACGCGAAAAAACATATCTTTGCCCTCCTTGAAGACAAAAATAAATCTCGCCAGAGGGTTCCGCGAACAGGGAGGGGGCCCCCCTGCTAGCGGACATGGGCGATAGGGGCCCCCCCTCCCACGCTACGCAGGGAGGGGGGGGGGCCCCTGTCCCCTGTTGGCAGAAAACTGTGCCTCCTCCTCCAATCTGTTTGGCATCGGCGTTGCTTTTTTCAGCCTATTTACAGCGGCTGCTGCCATCTAGCACACACACACGCGTTTATGGGGAAAAAACGAAACTTTTGCGGGAGCGCTCCGAACACCCTGAGGATCGACTTTTAGCCACGCACATAGAGAGGCACAAAATAAATGCAGCGTCAGCGAGAGCAGGGACCCTTGGCCTTTATGTTTGGAGTGAGTGCCATAAGGACGCAAAAGTTCGACGAGGAAGGAGTCGCGCAAGGCGCTCTCCTGAAGAAAAAATCTTTCCAGGGGGCACGATCGCACTTGCTGGCCTTTACGCCGCGCACAGATGGATTTCCTAAATGTCGAAACACTGCAGAATACGAGGTCTGAACGTGCAAATCAAGAGGCCACACGGAAACGCTTGAGACAAGGGGTAGCGGCTCGTTGTGATATGCACGATCCATGATTAAAAAGACGCGCATGAGAGAGAGAGAGAGACAAAGAGAGAGAGAGACAGAGAGAGAGAGAGAGAGAGAGAGAGAGAGAGAGAGAGAGAGAGAGAGACAGAGAGAGAGAGAGAGAGAGAGAGAGAGAGAGAGAAAGAGAGAGAGAGAGAGAGACAAAGAGAGAGAGAGAGAGAGAGAGAGAGAGAGAGAGAGAGAGAGAGAGGGAGAGAAGAAGACAGAGAGACAGAGAGAGGAAAGCAGACAAAGTAACGAGAAAGGCACACACCAACACGCAAGTAACCATAGGAAACCGGAAGAGAGTGAAGTGGTTAAAAAAAGAGAAAGGGTTGTAAATAT